ATTCCTAATATTCTGAGTTTAATTGCAGATAAATCACAAGCCTTGCTCTTTTTTTGAAACAGCCAAATATCTATTTTTTTTAAGCTATCCCTCCCAAGCATTTCCAGTCAATCCTCTGCACTCATTTTCCTCCGTTGGAGGACAGAGCTATATATGTCACATGACCTGTCCTATGTAGGGAAAGAGAGAAATCTAGTTCAGTTCACATTTAAAGGGGCACTGCCCAAAACAGTAGGAGAACTGAAACACAGTCATTCTTCTGCCTTTGCACTTGTACACATTTTACAATGAAGTTCTCCTACCAGTTTACAAAAATGCATATAACAGGGGGAAGGGTACGCAAAAATGAATATATTAGTGACATAACATAGAAATATAAATTGTATTCAGGAAATTTGCTTGCAAAAAATGTGCAGGTGACTCAAAACTGCTTACAAAAATGTGTTTATAGTAAGAGAAATTCACACTAAGCTGCTGGTGAATTTCATGAGATTTTTGATTTTTTTAAATTGCAAATTGCCAAAATGCGGGGAACTGAATTTAAGAGGGGAAAAATAAGAAATTGAGAAAACAGAAATGGACAGATCCTTCCTTCCCTCGTCTTCAGCCCTCTAAATTATCCAGCTGCATCAAGCGCAATGAAGGACACTACCCTGTTGTCAGTAAAATGCAGCTGCCAATCTAGTCATCTTCTGTTTGAGTGAGTACCATGGGCGTCACCTTTGCGGGACACTTTTCTCTGCCGGATGAGCATTAGAGAAACCATGCACACGCTTAAATGTCACTTATCCAAGAGACCCTTCATAGGTACCAGGGAAATATCTCAAGGGTGCCATCATGTCCATGGGCCCCATGCTGGCAACTCCTGGATTATGTGTTTAAATGCTGGAGGTACAAATGCACAGGACGTGTGAGGAACTGGCTGTACATATGAAGCCCCATCTAAAAGAAGAGGGAATCTCAAGGAGAGATTTGTTGGCTTATGCTTCCAAAAAAAAGGGAGCACAGCTCCAGGTTTGCCTCCACATTTGTTGCATTCCATTCTAACACGATTGCACATGTTCATAGGCAAAAGATACGAGTTGATAAATATGTTATTTGACCTACATATTTTGAGTACATAGGTACATTGATTTTATTTTTTTATTTTAAAAAAAAAACCCTCAGTTTGCATGCTCACTTCCAAGGTACAAATTGGCAAGGGTTCAGCGATTTAAAGAAATCGAAACTCCCAGGCCTGGTATTTCAAGGACACGCTGTTCTCTGATACATGATTTCAAGGGATGGATTTACATGTACAGGCATTGTGTTTCTCTGAGTGGGGAGCCGTGTACATTGTTCACGATAGCACAGAACTTGTCAGGGGAAGAAAATGACATGATTTTGGGGGGATGTTTGGGGCAATTCACAGGACTAAAATGCATGCTAATACGCATGGACGGAGCGAGTTGGAGAGACAGTCATGTGACTACTGTTTTCAGTGTCGTTTCACTGTCAACTCGACCCAAGACGTTTTGCTTCCTGAGGTGAAGGATAAAGATGGCACCTCTCCCAGTCTGTGTAGAAAAACTGACGAGTGAGCCAAATCTTTTTGTTGAGACAGCACTTTCTACTGCACTTGAAGGCAGCAGGCTAGCCGAAGGAGTGCAGGATAGGAAGCAAGGAGTTTCAGTGTGCTAGTTTGCTGTGTTCATAAGAAAATAGTAGCTAGTCGCCATTTATAGCCGTCTCCTCCGTGAATTTGTTTAATCTTCTTTAAAAGCCTTCGAAGGTTGAAGATTGAGTTGTGCCATTCCATTTCTGCCCTCAGCAATTGGTACAGAAAGCGTGAATAGGTGGATAAAAGTAAGTACAGTGGTACCTTGAGTTACAGACGCTTCAGGTTACAGACACTTGAGGTTACTGACTCCATTAACCCAGAAATAGTACCTCGGGTTAAGAACTTTACCTCAGGATGAGAACAGAAATCGTGCTCCTGCAGCGCGGCAGCAGCAGGAGGCCTCATTAGCTAAAGTGGTACCTCAGGTTAAGAACAGTTTCAGGTTAAGAATGGACCTCCAGAACGAATTAAGTTCTTAACCCGAGGTACCACTGTAAATATATTCACTGAGGGGCATAGTGCTTATTTTGTACTCTTGGTTGGAAAAAAAAAAGAATGCCAAGTTTCATTTGGTTAATTGACACGGCTTAGTTAGATCAATTCCCTCTAAATGCACAAGCTAGTTAGCAAAGCACTCAGATGTCCCCTAGCCTAAGCTGATCCCTTCCAAACAAACGGCAGCCCTCACACGAGATTTTGGATAGATGCTGATGGGAACCACTGCTGCGTGGGAAACTCGAACACCCAGGCCCATGCGCCAGAGGGAACATCCAGTTTTGTTTGCTCCTGTGTGCAGATGACTTCAAATTAGTCCAAGCTTCTTAGCCAATAGCTTAGTCACATCATTGACCCAAATGTTTTGAGATTGCTGGATGTAAAAGGGATTGGATGGAGATAAAAGAGGCATAATCAGCATCTATTTATTCAAAGATTTCCCACTAGTATTGTTAACCTAAATTTTCCTTTTCCCTCCTAGCTCTCCCCGGCAACTCTGTTTTGGGTGGTTTCTTGGAAACCTGTTGCATCAGCTGTCGCTTGAAACCAAATAACATGTTCACATGGCAGGTAAGCAAGAAAAGTCACCTCGTCCCTAGCCTTTTGTATAGCTTATAGCTAGGGGTGTGTGAATATGCCAATTTTTGCCTGTCGATTTCTCATTTTTCCAGCCTTAAATTCACAAATGTCCTCATAAAAAACCACCAGCATTTTAGTGCTCATTTCTCCTCATATATGCAACTTAGTTTGCAAATTTGCCCAGTGCACATCTTTCTGCATAGCTGATTTCCACAATGTAATGTCTTTTTTGGGGTGTGTATTCATATGGGCACTTTGTGCATTTATCTACACATTGATTGGCTGGAGAATGGCATTGCAAAAATTCAGAGAAGTGTGAATGTCGAAGGACAGCTTGTGTTTCAGCTCTCATACCATTTCAGAAAAGGTGGCTGCAGTAAATTCATTTTTAGATGCAAACTGAATCAAAATTCTCTCCACCCCTATTTATAGCAGGGGTGAGCCACAAGCTGTTACGGGGCTGCGTGTGGTCCTTGGCCTAATTTCACATGGGTGAGGGAGCTTGGAGGAAGAGAAGTGGGGGAATGCAAGGATGGGGAGAAACCCAAAATGGATGGGGCTTGGGGCTAAGGAGCAGGGAAGTCATCTGCAAGTGCCCAGTTAAGACCTCTAAGAAGAGCAAGGAGTCTGCTTCCAACTAGACAGGGAGAGAGAAAGGAGAGGAGAGGATGTCAGAAAGAAAAACAAAAGGGATGGTCTGTTCTGCTCCACCTTTCCTCTTCTTGTTGTTAGAATTCCTGCTTCATGATTGCAGTCATGGGATTGTTGTCTATCACATGATGGTATATGCTTTGACTCCACAGAGTGGGAAGTGACAGAGACAGGATGTTTGTGTTACTATGTTCCGTGAAGTGGGAATATTGTCCTTTGTTCTTTTTCTCTTTGCTGTCTGATGCTAGTGAGAGAGGGAGCCATGTTGCAGTGCTCCGTGTGTGTTTATATGTAAATAAAGTAGATTAGCCAAAATGCTGAGTTGCTGAGGTCTGTTACGCAAGCTGCGCAAACTCTGCGGATCCCTAAGTGTGCCAATGTCTGTTGGCATCAGTCGCTGTGATGTTTGGGCTGAAGAAAGCTTTTGAAGCTCCTGAACAATCGACCAGGAGGGAGAGAACATGCCAGTTGGGCATGTGTCTCTGCCAGAGTCCTACTCGAGTGTAGGACGAGCTCCTGACACTTGTCACCACTGGTATGTAGCTTGCAACAGATTATCTCCTGAGGGAATGTGGCCTCCTACTGCTGATTTATAGTGAAAGATGCAACTTCAACGCAAGGTGGGGTAACCTCAGGTCTAGGGGCTGAATGTGGCCCTCCAAACCTCTCTGTCAGGCCCTTGGCGCTTTCTCCAGGCCACACACCCCTGCTCCACACCCTCTTTGAGTGCTTTTGCCCAGTTGGAAATGGCCCTCGAACTTCAGTAATGACTCTGTAAGACAGAGAGACGTGTGTGAATGTGGCTAGAAACCAGCCTATTATACAAGACAAAATTTGCATTTGTTGCTCCGCCCACATTTCCCTCTGGCCCTGCCCACCACTGATATGTGGCCCTCTGGAGGTTCTCCAGAAAGGAATTCTGCACCCTGGCTAGAAAAAACACACATTCCCTAATCCTGCTTTAGTGGGAGGTTGTTCCCGGAGGTGGTTTACCTATCAATCCTTCTTCATGGGCACCTTGGGGAATTGCAGCTCTGGGATGGGAATAGGGGTCTCTTCATAACTCTCTTAACAAACTGCAACTCCTAAGATTCTTTGGGGGAAGCCATGACCTCACAAAGTGGCGCCGTAGTGCTTTAAGTGTATGCTGTAAATTTGGCGTCCATGATATGCTCCTTGCTGGAACTGCTCTGAAAACGTCTAGCCTGACTTGCCAGGAAATTTATATAGATGCTCCCCTTCCAGTAAGAGACTTTAAAAAAACCCCGAGGGAACAGCAGCTGATATACCCTTTTACCAGGTTTCTTATTCTGGCAGAAGCAGATACCTAGTATGCCCCGGGCGCTGATACCAAAAGAGAGCCAGATTTCTGTGCCAGTGTTGTGACTGTTTATGCCACTGACATAGAACACTCTCTCTCTCTCTCTCTCTCTGTATATATATATATACACACATTTATGTATGCAGGTATTAAAGCAACCTGGATGCTCAATAAACAAGGCAGATCTGGATGAACTGATGCTTGCCATTGTTCATGTTATGTCATAATCCAGATTTCTGTCATGTCAGTTTTGGTGAAACTACATCTGGGTTTTGACGATCCATGATCCCAGGGGCATACATAACTGCAGAAGAAGATAAAATCCAAGGCACTCAATGAAAAACACACACGAAATACAAACAAGGACATGTTTAATGGAATTGTGTTCCCCACATCCCTTTGACCGAACAAGATATCAGAGTTGGAACAAAATTCTTATTATTTTGGAGCTAGGGGGTGGACACAGAGCTATTGCAGAGAGAGTGTAAACAGATCCTTATAAGAGCGATTTGCATTATATATATAGCCCACTAAACATAATAGGCTTCTAGAAGTAGGAATACCTCAAGGAACCATAATGGGAAAATACATTCATATGTACGTTGGTTCTTTGGGGTATTCCCAGTTATAAATACTGTTAAATTTAGTGGGATTATGAAGCGGGGGGAAGCAAGGTGCAAATCCGACAATTTACTATTTAGCGTAATAGTGTTACATGCCACCCCCGGCTCTGAGTGGTGAGAGAATCCAGGGGTTCAAGGCTCTTTTTTGGGGTTGAGTTTCCTTGGAATGAAGGCCATAGGAAGGAGACTGTGATGCCTCTTGGATAAATTGTTTTATTTACACATATATACAACCTGAGCATAAGATGGAGGGGCTCGCAGCATTAACACCCCGATCTTGCTTCTCTGTTAGTTATAACTTTGGATCCAGCACAGAGCAAACATGTCTCTGCACCTACAGCTTCCAGCCTGCTTCTCCCTCTTTCAGACATGCTACACCGGCTATTATTCTCCTTCCTAGCAGCTGGGGGCAGGGAGACCCACCCACCTGTGCTATGGCAGAGAGCAACTTCTTTGGTTATGCTAATCGTGGTGCTTAACTAGTCAGCCAAAACCTTTACCTAGACAAAATGACTGGTTTGGTAAGTTTGCTCCCCTACAGTTTACCCCCACAGATACAGGATCCCGATAACTGGAAGGGACTCAGGGCACCATCCAAACTCATAATAACGGTTTCTACAATTCATCATCAAGGCTTAAGATTCGGTTTCCTCAAAGTGTCCCTCAAAGCTATTATTTCACAGGCAAACTATGAAAAATATATATTCAAAATCTAGTTCTGAAGTATGGCTGGAATGGTGAGTTTGTTGCAACATAATTTAGAACTGACCCAGCTCAGTATTTTAGGGAGCGATCCTAGAAGACCCACTTACCTTGGAGTAAACCCCACTGAACTCAGCGAGACTTACTTGGTCTGAGAGCAGATGTGCATAAGATTGTCCTGTTGTGATCCCACTGATATCAAAAGGAGGGATGTGCAGTGTAACTCTGTGTACATTGACTAGAGAGTTAGGCTGCAAACCGAACTCCACTCTCAGATATTCCGCCAGAATTCAGTAGGACTGGCTTCTGAGTAGACATGGCTAGGGCTGTATGTACGAAATCAGTGTTGCTCACTACCAGGCAAACATGCATAGGTTTGCACTGTTAAGCACACCATTGCTTGCCCTTCCCATTGAAATAAACAGGAATTAAAAAGCGTTTCCATGGTTGCTGAATCATGCTCATGGTTTGCGACATCAGATCAGCATTAGTACTCTACAAACAACAGAAAGTAGAATCAGATCCCTTGCAACAGATATATGATGTTTTTGCTCTCATACAGCATCAGAGAGAGGGACAGGGAGAAAAAGAGAGATGACCTGTACTCTTCCTTAGTTGAACTTCTGCTTGGGATGAGGGCAGAATGTCTGCATTAAGGACAGGTTGTCTGTATATGTGGCATGCTGGATTGGCTAACAAAGGGCAGGTTAGACTGCAGCGGTCCTCAACCTGTGGGTCCCCAGATGTTGTTGGACTACAACTCCCATCATCCCTGAGCTCTGGCCTTGCTAGCTAGGGGTGATGGGAGTTGTAGTTCAACAACATCTGGGGACCCACAGCTCGAGAAAGGCTGGGTTAGAGTAAGGGGGGCGTTGGTCAAGGTGGGACACCAACCATAGTTGGCAGTCAATCACATTATTATCCCTCCAAGGCACTCAGGGCATTGAGTGTTTAAAGTCAAACAGGGGTAGCCAATGTGGCACTCTCAAAATGATGCTGAACTCGAATTCCCATCAGCAGCCCGCAAGACAGATGGAAGCTGTAGTCTAACAGCATCAGGAGAGAGCCATGCTAGCTACCCCCGGAGGAGAAGCAGAAAGGCGACAGCCATTATATCTGAGGCTGGCATTAACACAGGCAAGTACCCAGACAGCAATGCCTGATGTCTGTTCCGGCTTTTGTAGTACAGCTGGTGGTTAGAACCAAAAGTTCTGGGTGAATAAGAGCAGGCCGCAAGCTGCTTCTTTTCCTCTCCTGTGTCAAACGGCTTCTGTTAAAACTCGTAAGCCGACACGAAGACGGTAATCTTCGAGACGTGCTTCGCTTGGAAGGTGCGGTCCAGGTACTCGGTCATGTCAACTTCCACTTCTGTGGTCTGAGGGCCTTGCAGGCTCTGGACGAGGATGAGCTCGCCGGTCTGCCTGTCCGAGCGCTGCATGACAAAATGGCCCCGGCCGTTGCCTGCTGCGATCCCAAAGCGCAGGCCGTCGGGGCCAGGCCGCCCAGGAGCCGACGCGGTTGCCATGCGGAAGAGGGCGGTGGGAGTGACCAGGTTGGATGGCAGAGGGAGGTAATGGAAGGAGATGGTCTTCGGGGCATGGTGGCAGGATCTGCTGTCCATTGGGCATGGGTTCCGTTCGCATTGGCTAGGAAGGAAAGTGAGGGGTGGGGGTACAAAGGAGATGCGTTTATTTCTTCGTCGTATGGAATATCTTTACATCCTGCCCTCCCTCCAGTCTGGAGCAACAGGCTGCAAACAGTGATGACAATACAGTGGTACCTCGGGTTACAGACACATCAGGTTACAGACTCCGCTAACCCAGAAATAGTACCTCGGGTTAAGAACTTTGCTTCAGGATGAGAACAGAAATCGTGCAGCAGCAGGAGGCCCCATTAGGCTGAGGTACCTAAGAACAGTTTCAGGTAAATAATAATAATAATTTATTATTTATACACCACCCATTTGGCTGAGTTTCCCCAGCCACTCTGGGCGGCTCCCAATCGAGTGTTAAAAACAGTACAGCATTAAATATTAAAAACTTCCTTAAACAGGGCTGCCTTCAGATGTCTTTTAAAGATAGGATAGCTGCTTATTTCCTTCACGTCTGAAGGGAGGGTGTTCCACAGGGTGGGCGCCACTACCGAGAAGGCCCTCTGCCTGGTTCTCTGTAACCTGGCTTCTCGCAGTGAGGGAACCGCCAGAAGGCCCTCGGCGCTGGACCTCAGCGTCCGGGTTGAACGATGGGGGTGGATACGCTCCTTCAGGTATACTGGGCCGAGGCCGTTTAGGGCTTTAAAGGTCAGCACCAACACTTTGAATTGTGCTCAGAAACGTACTGGGAGCCAATGAACGGACCTCCAGAACGAATTAAGTTCTTAACCTGAGGTACTACTGTAAAGCAGCAGTATAAGTGAATCCGGAGGCGCCAAGTTGCCTCCAAAATTGAGGGTACCCAATGCTCAATGCATTTGCATGGTGTCACACACATTGCATGTTGGGCATTGTGCGTGTGTGATGATGCATGTGCAATGCAGGAAGCCATACACTCTGAAGCAGCCAGCGCTGGACCTGTGCTGTGCATGTGATGTCACACACATGCACCACATGCAGGGCGCTATGAAGATGAGGAGGGTCCGCTCCCCTTAAAACAAATATCGAGGGGGCCTTCAACCCCACAGAGTTGGTGCACCTGAGCGAATCAAAAACCAGAGAGTTGGATAAAACGCAGTTAGTGCCAGTGAGAATATATGTTGGGTCGGCATACCCCTAACATAATGGTCCAAACACTTGGACAAATATCTAAACAATATATTAAATCTTTTTTTTAAAATACTGCTAAGATTTAGACTCCAGGTGGTCTTTGCAGAATCTTTAACAACGGCTTTTCTTCTTCCCAGCAAGGCTCTGAGATGTTGTTGGATTCCATACAGGTCACCCACCTTTGTTTTAGAGTCTGAAGGTGAAATCCAGATGACCTTTGGCACTTTTCATTTCCATTTATTTTGAAAGGTAAAAATTTGGCATATTGGATCGGAATTCAATGTCACGCTTTGATGAACTGAGCGTTCCATCTGCACAAGGGTTTCTGCTTGCCAGCTGGAACAACTCCGCCCACTTCCACCACCCCCATGCTGTTCTGGGGGTTCTCCCAACCACCTCTCAAGCCAATTTCGGGGGGGGGCATACAGCAGGAGAAGAGGCAGGGGAAAGCTCAGGGTGCAAGCAGAAGTCCTTGTGTACGGTTTCTGCTGATGGGGCTCATGAGGTGAATCCTGCCCATTACAGTGAACAGCACTAACCTAACCACATCTACTCAGAAATAAGTCCCATTGAATTCAATGGGCTTAAAGGCAAAGGGACCCCTGACCATTAGGTCCAGTCGTGGCCAACTCTGGGGTTGCGGCGCTCATCTCGCTTTACTGGCCAAGGGAGCCGACTTTGTCCGCAGTTTTTCCGGGTCATGTGGCCAGCATGACTAAGCCGCTTCTGGCGAACCAGAGCAGAGCACGGAAACGCCATTTACCTTCCCGCCAGAGTGGTACCTATTTATCTACTTGCACTTTGACATGCTTTTGAACTGCTAGGTCGGCAGGAGCAGGGGCCGAGCAACGGGAGCTTACCCCGTCATGGGGATTCGAACCACTGACCTTCTGATCGGCAAGCCCTAGGCTCTGTGGTTTAACTCACAGTGTGACCTGCGTCCCTAGTCAATGGGCTTACTCCCAGGTAAATGGGATTAGGACTGCAGCCTAAGGCTGAAGACACACTGTACATTTAAAGCACATTTTTCATTTGTAAATAATCCTGTGAACTGTAGTTCACCACTCACAGAGCTACAGTCCATCGCACCCTTTAAAAAACCACAGTTCCCAGGATTCCTTTTGGCGACAAGGAAACGCACTTTAAGGATATGGTGCCTCTGCAGAATAAACCTCTCATGGAAATCAGTTGGATTTAAAGGTCTTTAACTTCGTCTGGATTGTGCCCAAAAAGTTGTCTAAACTCAAACAAAGCTCCATTTGCAACACACAGCGATGGTGCATAATCAAGGCACAGAACATTGGCCCTGTATCAAAGAAAATATAACAAGTAATCTTACTGGCTGGAGGGGAAATATTCATAAGGTTGTCGTAATGTTTGATCACAGACCAGAAAACAATATGCCAACAGCCTGGATCATCAAGATCTTTTGGTTCCTAGTTTTAAAAGAAAGGAACTGGAACTGCACAGTGGGTTTCCTGGGCAGCCATCATTTCTTTCCTTATGCCCAGAACCAGGGACGGCTCTATCATTAGGCAGAGTGAGGCGAGGGAGCAGGGCAGGGAGTATGATGAGGTGTTGGAATACAGAGCTCACTCTGTGCCATGCATGACCTGCCCCGAGTGCCTTCAGCTTGTTGAATGGTCTCTTTAAATTTGAAGGTTCATTATTGTTCCACAAGATGTGTATGTCTTTAAGGGCCAGAGGAAATAACGAGACCCAGTTTTACAGCTGTGAAACAGTATAGCAGGTGCTGCTAATTTGTGTTAATTAAGCTGTGTCAGCAATTGGGTATAGTATATAAAGAGCAGCACCTAGCTCTCTCAGCACCCTGGTGGATGGGTCATGCTTGTTGATATATTATAATTAATGTAAAAGGATTTTTTGTTTTTGTTATTAAAACCTAGCTAAAGTTATTTTGCGTTCCTTATAATGTGTGGTCTCCCCAGCAAGCTCTCTGCAGCGCAACTAAGCTGCAAATAGCCAACAAAGCTAGCATACTGCTGTCAAAGGTGGCAAATGACAAAATCCCCGTTATACTTACAACGGCGATGTTTTCACATAGCTGATGTTTCCACTGGGCTTGGGGCACTCTGGATTAACACACTGAAAGCTTCCTCCTGTATTAATGCACGTCGTTCCCCTGGTACAGTTGTGCAATGAGAGAGCACACTCGTCGATGTCTGTAAAACAAATCATAGAATCATAGAGTTGGAAGAGACCACAAGGGCCATTGAGTCCAACCCCCTGCCAAGCAGGAAACACCATCAGAGCACTCCTGACATATGGTTGTCAAGCCTCTGCTTAAAGACCTCCAAAGAAGGAGACTCCACCACACTCCTTGGCAGCAAATTCCACTGTCGAACAGCTCTTACTGTCAGGAAGTTCTTCCTAATGTTTAGGTGGAATCTTCTTTCTTGTAGTTTGGATCCATTGCTCCGTGTCCGCTTCTCTGGAGCAGCAGAAAACAACCTTTCTCCCTCCTCTATGTGACATCCTTTTATATATTTGAACATGGCTATCATATCACCCCTTAACCTCCTCTTCTCCAGGCTAAACATGCCCAGCTCCCTTAGCCGTTCCTCATAAGGCATCGTTTCCAGGTCTTTGACCATTTTGGTTGCCCTCCTCTGGACACGTTCCAGTTTGTCAGTGTCCTTCTTGAACTGTGGTGCCCAGAACTGGACACAGTACTCCAGGTGAGGTCTGACCAGAGCAGAATACAGTGGCACTATTACTTCCCTTGATCTAGATGCTATACTCCTATTGATGCAGCCCAGAATTGCATTGGCTTTTTCAGCTGCCGCTAAAATGGAAACATGAAAAGCAAAGGACCAGAGTCGATGGTTTAGGTGACGCGCTTAACACAGAAAGGGGAAGGTATTATCTTCTCCACCCTTTGGCTCTCAAGGCCAGTGACAATTTGCACATTCTAACTGTTGCACAGAAGTTCCACCTAAATCCTTTCTATGTACATGAGAGGTATCTGGAGCTGAGCTCTGCCAAGGAAGTTTTCTGCAAATTGGTACCCTCTGACCTCTTCTTTTGGTGGTGAATTTCCTGTTTCCAGATGATGGCCTAAGTGGTCACTCCATAGATATGAGAAGACCCAAGCCTAACTCTACCTCATAGTGTTGTAGCAAGGATAAAATGCATGGATACCTTAGTCAGTAGAGCATGAGACTCTTAATCTCAGGGTTGGGGGTTCAAGCCCCATGTTGGGCAAAAGATTCCTTACATTTAAAGTACCCCCCTGCAAGAATCCTGGAAACTGTAGTTTACCCAGAGCTATAGCATCCCTAACAAACTACAGTTCCCAGGATTCTTTTTTGGGGGAGGGATATGTGTGCGTCAGATGTTCTTCAATTGTATGGTGTGCATGTAGGCAAAGTAAATATTGAGGGGAAATATTACAGGTTAATTGGCTTGTGGAGTGGACAGAAAATATTTTAAGCCGTGCAATGTCAGTCTGCTTCCCTTACACAAGATGCTTTAATTTTAGAAACAACAACAAAAAAGCCAACCAAATCCCAGCGATTAGCTCTGTTTTATCATAATCTGAAGGTATTTTCTGTAGCCAGCGAGAGCACAGAGTGCATGCTTCATGCATACAATATCGCTATTCAATTCCTTTTGGCGCTTGACCGCCATACCTCCCGACATATCTAAATGGTATTACAATGTCTACCTTGTTTCAGCGGGTCTCACTCCCTTGGCATTAACAGCCAGAATTTTAAGTAGCCGTGCATTACAAACCGTTACAAAAATCTGGCTTCTTGCACGGCGTTTGGGAAGTCCAGCTTCTATTCTGTTAGCATTTCCTTGCATTTATAGTCATAAAAATGTACGCGCGCCTAACCAAGTCCCTGCTGCTAGGAGAGAATGTGCAGGATTGCAGCTTAAACCCTGGTTGCAGAGAAACAGACTGCACACAATCTAAGCAGTTTTCGTGGACCAAAAAGTCTGCCTGAAGCCTGCACATTTTGTCATTCAGCGTCTGTGAAATGCCATCTGCCTCATGCCAAAGTCACCTTCACAGCTTTTCCCGTCGCTGAAGATCTGGTATCCTCTGGGGCAGGAACAGCGGTACGAGCCAGGAATGTTTATGCAGGTGTGCATACAGAGACGAGGGGCTCCCTCCAGCTTGTAAACTTCGCATTCATTCACATCTGCAAGGGGAAAGAAAAGCAACGTTATTTCTGCTTGGACAAATTTCATGACAGGCTGCGCAAGGGTGTGTGTGTGTGCGGAACTCTGAGATATGCTACTGGTGTTATATATATTAGCAGCATACATTTTGCCCTTCCAGATCTATGAACTGTGTGGGTTTATTCAAAAGCACAGCCCTTGGTGCTTCCTGCTGGATAACAACGTAAGGAGAGCCTTGCTGTACAGATCTGATTCTTAAGTTGCTGAAATTGCCTGCCGCTGGAAAGCTCTGGAGGGCCTTTTTGTTAAAGCCTGGGATGCTCAGCTCTGAATGATAAATTGGCTCAGGAATGCAGGCCATTGTGCAGATAACAGCAAGCTTGTTCCCACCAGTAGTTGCCTAAGACACAGTGACCTGGGAGTGACCCAAGGCAGTCCGCAAGGTGGTGTTGAAACCCTTTGGAATTCCTTATATGTGTGGCAGAGTTTGCCGCCTTCAGACATTTTATTGACAAGATGGTGCCTTCAGCCCATTCTGGCTGGACTAGCTGTTGAATCTTACTTCTCAACACCTGTGATGGGAAATCACCCTCTACCACACCTGAGGAGCAAGGCTAGTTCAGAGGGCCAGGGATATGTTGCATAGGATGTTGCCCAGGGGGAATGGGAGCTTAGGAAGAATAGCTCTGGTGGTGCCCAGTCTTGCTTGTCAGCACTTGACATTTGAGGTGGTGCTAAACCACAGAGCCTAGGACTTGCTGATCAGAAGGTCGGCGGTTCGAATCCCCACGATGGGGTGAGCTCCCATTGCTCGGTCCCTGCTCCTGCCAACCTAGCAGTTCGAAAGCACGTCAATGTGCAAGTAGATAAATAGGTACCGCTCCGGCGGGAAGGTAAACAGCATTTCCATGCGCTGCTCTGGTTCGCCAGAAGCGGCTTAGTCATGCTGGCCACATGACCTGGAAGCTGTACGCCGGCTCCCTTGGCCAATAAAGTGAGATGAGCGTCGCAACCCCAGAGTCAGCCACGACTGGACCTAATGGTCAGGGGTCCCTTTACCTTTTGTCTAACAATAGGGGCGGCTCGCCTTTTGCCTTCCATGGTTCTTACCCCCTTATCTTATTACCTTCTGGTTCTTATCCCCAACTGAAGCTAAGGTTGGACTTCTATGTTCACTTGATTTTGGAGTAATCCTCTGTGGTACTTGCTTCCAAGTAAAGGTTCTCATGGCTTCACCATGAGCTCAAGTGTGTGTGCTGCAACTGTGTTTCATTTATTGATTTAAAAATTGTATAAATCCGCTTTGCTTTTCTAAATCAATTCAAATGGATTTGCATTGTACACATCAATATTGCTTTCAAGTCATCAGTCAATTGGGTTTACACTGGCAAATCTGCGCCACTCATGCTCAAGAAATGGAGCTAGAAGCTTATAGATAGAAAAGTGGTAGAGAGAACCATCTCATTGTCCGGATAGGTTGTTTACTGGTTCACACTGAGAAGCTCTTTTTAAATATGCCAGGGGACGATTCGACCTGTCCCGAGTAATCAGTGGAGAATGCCAAGGTTTTAATGTCTTCCACCCCACCAAAAAATAAACATGCAAAAGCAAAACTAAACTAAAAAGCCCAACGAGGACTGAGGATACTTTGGAGATACAGAATTGTGGTTGATTGTTTGGGAAGAGTTGGGGGAGAACCGGAAAACTTTAAGAGAGAGAAGGAAAAGAATGGAGTGCTGGAACCCTTAACAGAAGCACTCCATGCTGCAATAAGTTGTTGCAGTTCCTACTGTTGTCAACTTTATTAGTGTTGGAATTTACTGTATTAAGCTCCTTGGATCAGGGATTCATCTTTTTTTTTAAAAAAACTTACGTTATTCTATAACGCGCCCCTCCCCATACAGCACTGAAAGTCTATAAATGAAAGGCCACACTACCATATTCTTCAGTTTAGACATGGCTTTAACTTCGACAGGAAGCCGAAGCAGCTTGTAGCAGCAGACTCCTCAGAGATCTCTTGCAATTGCACTCTTACCCTGGCAGATGCTGTTTTCTGCTGTGCCGCTCATATGGAAGCCTGCTTCGCAGCTGCACTGCTGCATCCGGTCAAATTTGGCGCAGCGAGGTTTACGGCTGAACGCCGGATCATCTGTTACGCTCCATTCTGGTGGTACTAAAGGACAAGTGGGGGAGGGAAGAATCCGCCTCCAGGACAGTGTAAAATCCCAAACCACAAATGAGAAGACATCCTTACTTTTAATTTTATTTTTACGCAGCTAATAAAATGGAGTGGTGGGTTTGTTCTACATCTACGACAAGGAGGGGGAAACTACACATTACACACAAAGTGTGGGGACGGAGATGGGCAAAACCAGCATTCCCATGACAAGTCCTCTGCCTCTTTCTGTGTAAGCTTTTTGATCACTTCCCCCACATGGAGGGAAAGGATATCAGTGGAAACCAGCGACTATGGTCAGTGTAGCTATTATTGAGCTAAATGAGCAAATGGTCTGACTCACTATAATGTCCTCTGTTTCTAGGGCTTGCCCTCCCCTCTCTCACACATTAAGGTTTAAATATTCCTCTTTCCCACCCTCCTTAACCCCTTACCACAATACATACCCGTCTGCGTTTGATATTGGCAGTTGGGGCCTGTCCACTCCTGGGGACAAAAGCATTTGTACTGTTCACCTCGGTCAACACATGTTCCTCCATTCTGGCACAGGTGACTGGTGCAAACCCCAATATCTAAGAAAAGGCCAATAAAATAAGGAGGCTTCAGAGCTTCAAATTATTTCCGCAACCCATTTGAAGTTCTTCAGTGAAAGCCTACAACATTTTAGTACAAATTTCTCCTCATAATTTTCTTTCCGGTATAAAATTTGGATTGAATCTACTGATTTTTCTCAAGCATTTCCCTCTAATATCCCCCCCAATCCACAAGATCCAGACGGCACCTCATTGGCTACCCTTGCTCAAGGGCAACCTGTGGTGAACACAACCAACAGCAATATGGCAGCTATTTGCATGTTTGTGACAAGGTTAGGCAGCTTCCCCCTGGTTTTGCAAATGCACATATTCTTCCCAAGGTAAAATACACTTTAATGGAAGAAGCAAAATCTTTTATTTGCAAGAGCTGGCCAGATTCTCCCCTGCCCCCCCATAAAAAATCTCTATTCACCTGAGGCACCCTTTCACCTCTCCCTGGCTTATTATGTGTTGAAATAATTAGCGCAGTGGAATTCCTTGAAGAAACAGACTGCGTGAGTGAATGCCTCATGGATTGCCACTGCTTCCCATCTGCCAAAAAGCCAAGCTCCCCTGATCATCAATAGAATACTCTAAATAATCAGGGGTCGCCAGACCATGAAGTTATTGAACAAGCAGCCAAGGAGTTGTAGCCGAATTTTTCCACCCGCTCCTGCTTCCTTGAACTTTCTACAAAGCCGAGATTCTCATCTGGCTTTCTGTGTTGAGTGTGTGCACTAGGCCTCATCGACACCTGGGCTAGGCAACGTGAAGAGGACCAGACACTGCCCAGATGTCCTAAAGAGAACAAATGGTGGTTTTTCACCTGCATAGATGCCAGCTACCCAAGGAAGACACTGGCCATACTTAAGCCATCTATGCAAAAGCACTATGATACCACTTTAAACAGTCATAGATCCATAGACTTGGAAGGGACCCTGAGCATCATCTAGTCTAACCCCTGCAATGCCAGAAGAAGCATACGGGAATCAAACCTGTGACCATGCCATTATCAGCACCGTGCTCTAACCAACTGACCTCTCTACTACGGACAACCCCCAAAGGGTTATGGGAAATGTAGTTTGCTTAAGAGTGTTGAGAGTTGCTAGGAGAACCACTATTCCCCTCCCAGAGCTGCAATTCACAGAGTTCCCTGTGAAGAGGGATTATTATTATTATTATTATTATTATTATTATTAATACCCCAACCATCTGACCAGGTTTCCCCAGCTACTCTAGGTGGCTTCCAGCACATATAAAAACATAATGAAACATCAAACCTTAAAAACTTCCCGATACAGGGACGCCTTCAGGTGTCTTCTAAAAGTCGTATAGTTCTTTATCCCCTTGACATTTGATGGGAGGGTGTTCCACAGGGTGGGTGCCACTGCCAAGAAGGCCCTGTGCCTGGTTCCCTGTGATTTCACTTCTCACAGTGAAGGAACAGCCAGAAGACCCTTGGAGCAGTGGCGAAGCTGCATGCTACGCTATCAGGGTCAGAGAGCAGGCGGGGGCGTGGCACACCGCCTGCAGGGGTGTGACGTGTGTTCTGGGGGTGTGACGCGCTGCCTGTGGGGACGTAGTGCCCGGCGCATGGGGGGTGTGCGGCGCGTGTCCGGGGGGGTCGCCGCAATGGCACTCTACCAGAATAGTGGTGCAGGTTGCAGTCCGCACTCCCATTCCTTTGCCAGTGCCTTGGAGGTGGACCTCAGTGTTCAGCTGAATGGTTTGACCACTCTGAGAATTGTAATTCTGTGAGGGTGAAATATATTTGGAGTTGAGAGTGGATTTCATGCTCTTAATTCAGCTCATAGTAGTGAGGAGGAATGGAAGTTCCCCCAGAATGTCTGCTTTATATACATTATTTACACAATGGGCCCCACGTGATTCCGGGATTCTCCTGTAGGCCAATCAGGTTGCGGATTCACTTCCACCTGGAGCTGGATTGGGTGGCTCCTGTGGACCAATCAGACTGCTGCATTCTGGGTCCTATTGTTCTAGGACCAATCAGACTGCTGCATTCTGAATCCTATTGTTCTAGGACCAATCAGACTGCTGCATTTTGGATCCTAATCAACTCAGTACATAACAGAGGGTAAAAGGGTCTCAGCACTCTTAAGAATGACAGGTCCCAGGATCCTTTTGGAGAGGCACCATTACTGTTTACAGTGGCATCATGGTAATCTAAATTTATGTTGTGAATGAGACCGCTGTGGACAACGGCAACGGGCATTCTCCTGATTCCCACTGCTCACTTAATTCTTGGCCTGAAGGTCAGAAACCTTGGGCCAGAGGCCAGCACATCCCCATCAGACCTCTCTATCCAGCCCTCCTGCCTCTCTCCATAGGGGACACCCCCCTTTTAACCCCACCCACTCTTCCTGTGCTTTTGCCCTGCTAGGATGTCGCCTTGAACGCTGGTCCTGCCTCTTGGTTGCATGGAAGAGTTTGGATTTGATATCCTACTTTATCACTACCCGAAGGAATCTCAAAGCGGCTAACGTTCTCCTTTCCCTTCCTCCCCCACAACAAACACACTGTGAGGTGAGTGGGGCCGAGAGACTTCAGAGAAGTGTGACTAGCCCAAGGTCACCCAGCAGCTGCATGTGGAGGAGCGGGGAAGCGAACCCGGTTCACCAGATTACGAGTCTACCGCTCTTAACCACTACACCACACTGGCTCCTATGGATGGAATTGTGCATAGAAACCAACTTACTGTACAGAAGTAGATTTCATTGCTTTGCACCTATTGGCTCCGGCCCCTCCCACCAGTGCCATGTGGCCTCCACAACATTGCCCAGATGGGGAATACAGCCCTTGGTCTGAAAAGCAGCTCCCCACCCCTGTTCTAGAGTCACATCTGGCTGGCTGTCTAGCGCACTGTGTCATAATCTCTTTAGAAATGTCTGTCTTCTCAAACACAATGGAGAGTGGCAGGTCTCTGGCCTTCGCAGCCGTTTGGTCAGCCAGCGGCTCAATGGCTCATTAGCATTTTGCACAATGAGGTAGGAATTCACTTAAACAAACAGCGCTGTCAATGCACAGGGGCCTAAGCACCCTATGGAGGAGCGTGTGAAAATGTAAACCACACAGACCAGGGCCAAGAATTTTTGCATCGAGTTAACTGAGAGAGACAAAGTCAGGAAAATGGATGCAAATCTCCCGCACACTAATTTAATCCAATGTTTGAGATGGCAATCTCTCCATCAAATGGCAACGTGTGGTGAAGGACCAATGTTAACAGGAAATAAAAATTAGCTAGCCATAACAATCCATCTATTTGCTGCTTATTTACCTGACCCTTGGCTTTCCTCGTATAGTTTAAGGTGGCTTACAAATATAGTAAGACATAGCACAATAAAAACCAGCAACATCTCTAAAAGGAGCAATAAAAGGCTGCTCCCATGATCAGGGTGTGCCTCGTGGGAATTGTAGTCCAAAGGATCTTGAGGAGCACCAGTTTGAGGAAGGCTGAAGGAGAAGAATTCCATGTGCTACAAACATTTTTAAATACCGGTATTCTAAAATGCTAAACAGGAGTTCTAAGGCAGTATTCCGCAACCTTGGATTGCCAGCTGTTTTCAGACTACAGTTCCCATCATCCCTGACCACTGGTCTTGCTAGCTAGGGCTGATGGGAGTTGTAGTCAAAAAAACAGCTGGAGACCCACGGTTGGGAAACACTGTAAGGGGCCGAAACCAAGGAAGGAAAGGATTTTTTGGCACAGAGATGATTGATGAAAAAGCTTTGATGGTGGGATTTTTGTGTGTAAGGCTTCTGTAAAAGACACAGGAGCAAGGCCAGAGGCCAGTTTCTATAGGTTATTGTAGTTAATTTCATTCCCCAGTTGCATTTCAATAAGCAAAATACAAGGAAGGCACACTTTAGGGATAAGTGCAGGTTCAATTCAGAAGAAATTTCTGTTCAATCCAGAATTTTCATACTAGTAGTTTCAAAATAAAGAAGCATTTTTGGAGAGTCAAAAGACAACTAATATGTTTAAAGAAATGGTAATCCAATATGCAATTTACTGTGCATTAATAATATCTTGCATCGCTCAGGATTCCAGCAAAAGCAATTCTAACAGTCGTAATAAAATTAGTCAAGAGATTTCAAATGGGATGGGTTAGCCATCTCTTTTCTGCACCCAGAATCACTGATGGGCTGCAGTGGCTACACGGCAGATATACTATTTGTCTGCATCATATCTTTTTCAATTCCTGCCTGTATTGTATCCCTTTGAAGCTGTCACACACCCTTTTAAAGTACAGCTCTGCGTTCAAGTCTCCCTACAGCTAAGAGGCAATTGCTGTTATAGAGGCCCCCCAACCAACATGCTGCAGCTGGTCCCTTAGTCTGGTCTCAGATTGGCCTTTCCCAATGTCCCTAGTCCCCATCTGTGGTACAGTATTCTAGCCAGAGGTGGGAATCCTCTGGCCCGCAGGTCTAATTACACCAGGCACAAGTTCTTACTCGACCCATGAGGCCATTTCCCCCTAAACCACACCCACTTTATGTCATATGTGGTGGCTGGGGCTGATGGGAGTTGTAGTCCAGAGCATCTGGAGGGAACCAGATTGGAGAAGGAAAGCTTTAAGCACCCGGCAGTAGAATCTTAGTTTGCAGAGACCTTGGAGTTTAAATTCTCAGCAGAAGTTGAATTTGCTGCAGAATTCCCTGCTGGAGGATGGAATCACATTGTGACTCTGAGTTTGGAAAATGAGCTACTTTTAATGTAGGAAATGTTTACTTTACTGAATTTATATCCCACCTTTTAGAGTTTGGATTTAATACCCCACCTTTCACTCCCCTTCAGGAGTCTCAAAGCGGCTAACATTCTCCTTTCCCTTCCTCCCCCACAACAAACACTCTGTGAGGTGAATGGGGCTGAGAGACTTCAAGGTGATGTATAGGGTTCTCCCAATCTTCATTTAATTCCCACAAAAACTACATGAAGTAGGTTGAACTGAGAGGCAGTGCCTGGCCCAAGGTCACCCGGAGAGGTTCATGAAAAAGAGGGGATTTGAACCCTGGCCTCCTGGGTCCTAGTCTGACACTCTAACCACTGCACCATGTTGGCTTTTGATGGGAAGGATCCCAGTTCTATCTAAGATGCACCATGCTTGGTCTACCATCTCAGTGGAAAAGAGTTTCAAGTATGTCTGCTGTCGTGGTATGGATAGGGTTGCCATATGTAAGCTTTGCCAAAAAAACAAACAAAACAGCTCAACAACATTTCTGTCCAGATTTGAAATATGGCATGGAGGAGAAGGAGAAGGGAGTGCCGTCAGGTCAGCAGCCCAAAGAGAATTAATACTGAAGGAAGAGCAAAAGGTGAGCATAAATAAGCTCGGAGAGTCGTCTCTATGCCTCTCATGCAGGTACACCAGCCTACAGTGTAAGCAGAGTTGCACCCTGAGGCTTCCAACCACGTCTTCCCTCCATGGTTTGACATTTCTATCACACTTTTCTTGCCTTCTTCAGCTACAGGCAAGCACAGTAACAATGGCTGTTCAGGAATATAAAATGCGTGTGTTATGCCAAATGCCTGCTCGTCATCAACAGAACCGACTTCTGCCCAGTAAACAATTTTTTTAAATAGAGGTAATTATGTATGAGTTTCTCGTTTGCCAATCTGGATAAACCTCACGTTGGTCCCCCCCCCAAAAAAGCACATAAGATTAATTACTGTGTTTGTGCCAGTCGATTTCTCAGATGTTGTCATCTGTTTCCTAGTAATAAATTGCCTATTAAAAGATTTGACATATGCTTGGATCTGCAGCCTCATACACAATGAACAACAGTCGCGTGGATTTAGAGCAATCGGCAATAATTTGGGCACAACAAATCCATTCTGTGAAACAGCTTTTCTCTTTTTCTCTTTTTGCATTGCAAAGAAAGCCTCCATTGGCATCAATGGCAGTTTACCCTGAAATGCAAATATCAGTTTGGGAAAGCATTCAACTCTCACACACCCCTTCACCCCCATCCCTGCAAGTAGTCCTAAGGCTGATCAGCTTCCCCATGGATTCTATTTCCATTCTACAAAAATATGCATGTTCAGTGCATTCAAATTCACTTCTAGTTTGGCCCTAACCCTGCACATCAATGATGAGTAACACCTGAGGATAAATGCTAAAGTGATAGTCTTCTAATCCTATGTGGCGTTTGCACGTTCGTTTAGAGCCTATCTGTACAGGGGGGAAGAAAGGGTTAAAAATGTAGACCAATAGGAAAGCTGGAGGCGGAGCCTACATGTGTATAAAAGGGCTTAGCCCGAGGTTTGTTAGAGTTGTTGGTGGGTAGCTGGTTGGTTTTAGTGGGTTGGCTGGTTGGGAAAGGCAGTTGGAGGAGCAGTTGGCAGGCAGTTGGTAATAGAGAGACTGTTAGGGCAGTGGGTTCTTGCGTGAGGGGAGGTAGAAGAGATAGAGAGAGGAAAATAAGACTAAGAAAGCAAAGAGTAACAATGTTTGGAATGCTGTAAAAGTTTGTTTGTGTCTGAAATAAAACACACTCTTTATTAACTTGAGAACCAGACTGAGACTGAAGTGATTTTACTGGGGAGGACCTGGTTAGTGGCAGTGGATTAGTGGTGTACAGGTTAATAGTCCGTGAGATGACCGGGGGCTCTGTACGAACACCACACCATATAATGTGCAAGAAGGATTAGGATCCTGTGACTCTCCAGGTGTAATTATACCCAAGCTCCCATCAGCCTCAACCTGCATAGCCAATGATAGGGGATTATGGAAGCCGTAGTCCACAAGAGCCAGCACCGTGGTGTAGTGGTTAGAGTGTTGGACTAGGACCCAGGAGACCAAGGTTCAATTCAGTCATGTAGCTCACTGGATAACCCTTGGGCCAGTCACTTCCTCTGAGCCTAACCTACCTCAGGGTTGTTTGAAGATAAAATTGGGAACGGGGAGAACCATGTATGCCACTTTGAGTTTCTCTGAGGGAAGGTGGGATACAAATTCAACCATCTTCAGCATCTGTGGCTACTCCTGAAACAGCTGTGTTTGATCATCTGAAGGTGAGTGTTTATGCCCGAGTCAAGGGAATAAAAAAGTGAATTACCTGTGCACTCAGGAACATCTCCTGTCCAGCTGCCGTTTGGCTGACACACTCGAGAACTGGAGCCGACGAGTCGGAATCCAGGATCGCAGGTGAAATGAACTTCATGGTCCACCATGTTCTTGGTGCCAAATCTTTTGCCATTTAGTGGGGCATCCAGGGCAGGGCAGAACACTGTGAGTTGGGTACACAAAAATAATAAAAGACGTGGTTAGCAGTGGGCTCGTAATCTGGTGAACCGGGTTCGCGTCTCCGCTCCTCTACATGCAGTTGCTGGGTGACCTAGGGCTAGTCACACTTCTCTGAAGTCTCTCAGCCCCACTCACCTCACAGAGTGTTTGTTGTGGGGAAGGAAGGGAAAGGAGAATGTTAGCCGCTTTGAGACTCCTTAGGGTAGTGATAAAGCGGGATATCAAATCCAAATTCTTCTTCGTCTTCTTCTTAGAGGAAAGAGGGCAAAAGCATCACCATCACAGAATCATGCTGGGATGCAGGGGTGTGGTTAGGGGGTGACTCAGGGGGCCAAGACCCATGTCTTTTACAATGGGCCCTGGATCTTGCACCGTCCCAGCATTTTACACCCATAAGGTAAAGGTAAAGGGATCCATGAACATTAGGTCCAGTTGTGACCAACTCTGGGGTTGCGCGCTCATCTCGCTCTATAAGCCGAGGGAGCCGGCGTTTGTCCACAGACAGCTTCCGGGTCATGTGGCCAGCATGACTAAGCCGCTTCTGGTGAACCAGAGCAGCACACGGAAACGCCGTTTACCTTCCCACTGGTACCTATTTATCTACTTGCACTTTGACGTGCTTTCGGACTGCTAGGTTGGCAGGAACAGGGACCGAGCAACGGGAGCTCACCCCGTCGCGGGGATTCAAACCGCCGACCTTCTGATCGGCAAGTCCTAGGCTCTGTGGTTTAACCCACAGCGCCACCCGCGTCCCTTTTACACCGATAGTTTTTTTTATAAAAAATGTTACTTGTTTTGTTCGAAGACTTTCCTACCTCTATATCCAAGAGAGACTAACAAATGTCATTTAATAATGGATGAGCAGTATATAGGGGTCATATGACACAAGGAGCCAATCGGGGTCCATCTGGTCCTATAATGCTGCTGGCTGTGCCCTGGGTTCTCCATCTGAGCAATGTTGCTCCTGCTCTTGCACGGCCATCACTTTAGGCTTGTTGTTTTAATTACCAGCTGGTGGGTCAGGGGTGGTTTTCATGACTGTGTTTTGCAGAGTCGTCAGCCGGTGTTTCATGACACGGAGCCCCTCGGCAAATCTCGTTTCCTGCCCCTTTAGAAATTGCTGCATTTGGCGGATGGCAGTCAGAAGCTGCTGCTTGTTCATGCAGTTCTGTGGGAAACACAAAGACTTTAAACAGCTCGATCAGGCCTTTAAATGTGCCTTTATATGTACGGCGTTAAACATGATGGTTGAGTACAATTAGAAAGCCATTTCCCCCAATGTCTTTGTCAGGAGTGCGTGCAGGAGCCGGGCCCTGTGACCAGTAGGGCTTCGCAGGACTGGGACCTTCCTAAGTTTGTTCTGGAGAGGCAAGGCACGGTGGCACAGGTGAGGCCGCTTGGTAACTCACTGCACCTGGTGGCAAGAGCCGGGAAAAGATATAAGGTCAGCATTTCCCTTCGGCTCTTTGCCACAGCAACACATTTCCTGCCTTGCTGTGTTTGGCTCCTTGCTTCCTGATCCTCGGACCCCAGCTCCTTGGCTCCTTGACTCCTTGCTTCTCGACCCTCAGACCCTTGACTTCGTGACTCCCTGCTTCCTGACCCTCAGACCCCTGGCTTCTAGACTCTCGTTCCTGTTCCCACCCCACCATCTTGCCCCCGGTCCCAACCTCCTCAGCCGGGTCTTCGATCACCCGTTGGCTGGACCGTGACAGTCTTCCCCACTTGATTTGTATCATAAAATCGTAAAATTGTAGAGTTGGAAGAGACCTTGAGGATACAGGAATATGTAGCTCTCCCATATGGGAATCGAACCTGCAACCTTGGCATTATCAGCACCACACTCTAAGCAACTGAGCTATCCTGACCTTCCTGCACCTCCTTCAGGGAATCCACAGTACCAGCCTTGTAAGGCAGAATTAACTGAGTCATTGCAACCTGCCCATGCCACCCACCAAGATCTGTAGCTCAGTGGAGCACAGACTTGAGCTCAGTGGTCATTTCACACATTATATTTTTTATAGCTGGAACCTGAAACAATTTGTGTACTCACAACATTGTAAGACATGTGTCAAGGACTGGCTGGACAAAGAGGAGTGGTGGGAGGCACCAGCAGGGGAACCCCCAAGGGAAACCAGAGGAGGAAGGCTCAGAGCCAAGGGTTTGGTGGTGGGACACCAAGGAGAGGTCAGAGGGAAAGAACTGGGAGGCAGGGCTGGATGCTGAAGGGGCAACAGGATTTAGTGAGCAGGAGGAACCTGTGACAGGGAGCAGTTCAGACACCGAGGCTGAAGCAGAGGGGGACTGAGAGGCTACTGAAGAATCCAGGGAGTCTCCCTCTCCTGCTACAACAAGCTCCCCTCCCTGCTGGTCTCCAAGAATGTGCAGGATAATAAGGATAAGGAGGAGGGCAGAGCAGAGGCCAGAGGTGGGCAGATGCAGTTTGAGACTGCTCGGGAAACATCCGGGAGAGGAGGGGCCTTAGAAAGGGTTGAAGGCAGGGACCTTCAGTCCTGGCAACTGTTTCATAGAGGCAAGATCTGCTTGGAAGTGTTGCTGAGTTGTATGCCATGCCCCTGAATAAAGAGTTAACTTCACTGACAACCAAGCCCTGCGTCTTTCGTGCTGACCTGTGTCTCATGCATGTGACAAATGTGTTTCAAAGCAGTTCTGACGTGAGCAATGGTTCCAGCAATTGCCTGGGAACTCTGGACAGCTCTGTGCAGTGCTCAGGTTGAATGCTGTAGGACAGTAGAACTTAGATGTTGTTTCAGCAACAGCAGTTCTTAGGCTGAGCCTTATGGAGGAGTCAGCTCCATCATCAGTGAAAGGTCACTTTTCATTTAAAGGGCCCTCGCCTTCTCTAACATTTGTCAACTCTGACAGAGCAGGTTGGCTGAGGCTGATGACAGTTGTAGTCCAAAATATTTGGAGGCTTCCAATCTGGCAGAGGCTGACCTGGTAAAACATTCAAGCCAGGTGACTGTTGTTTGGTTGCCCTGAGACATTATGCTTTTGAATAGGTTATAGTTTTCTTCTACTACTGATTTTGTACGGTAATTCAGTAGTATTTATCTATTCTAAGGGTGCATTTCCTATTGATGGAAGTTGCCAAAAGCAGGAGTTGGCAATCTGTTTTCTGCTGATGGCTGCATTCTTTGGGGGCCACATGCAAGGGATGGGCAGGGCCAGGGATAAAAATGGGTGGAGCCATTGCTCCCCCCCCAACACCCTTCTCTCTCTCTCTCTTGCCCCTCCCCACCTCCATTTCTTTCTTTCTGCCACTCTTGTTCCCTACCAAATTGGGCTGGGGGTGTTTGAGTGTTTTGTTGGGCGAGGTTGCTGCTGCTGTATTTTGTATATTTTAGATCTGGCTGTCATTTATGTGGAAATTGTTCAATTTGGTCATGCATTTTTTAATATTTTGTTTATTGTTTATGACTACGCTTGTTGTGTTGTAGTTATGTATTTTTTCCATGTTGTAAGTCACCTATGAGCATGGTTTGAACTGTGGAAAGGTGGCATAAAAATAAAGTTTTGTATGTATGTACCAGGAGAGGACCAGATTGCTCTTGCCAGGGGTCTGAATTGTACAGGGATTTTTTAATCAGGCTGAAAGCCATACAAGGCTCTAGGGCTGAACGTTGCCCGGCCCTGGTCTATGGCTATTTACAAGATTGGCAGAGAACAAATTAAATGTATTAGTGTAACAAATAAATCTGTTGTTGTTGCTATTAAGATAGCGTGAACTTTTCCTTGGTCCAGCAAATGTCAGAATACAAGGCCTTGACAGGGGCCAAGAGTCATAGCTGTCAACTTTTCCCTTTTCTTGTGAGGAATCCTATTTGGAATAAGGGAATTTCCCTTTAAAAAAGGGAAACGTTGACAGCTATGCCAAGAGTGGCTAGCAAAGCCGTGAGCTGATGAGATCATTGGCATACGACTGTCATTGTCCCCCTGCTAGCATTCATGGCCTGACCCCTTCCGATTCTCCTCCACTGTGCTAAGCAATATACAAAACTGGTACTGGCCTTTCCAGCTGGGCCAATGTCCTGGCAGCCAACTTTGGAAGTCAATAATATTGGTCTTCTTGGCAGGGTGTTGTACTTGACGGTGCAAGGGTGGAGCCGGGATGAAATCTGGTGAGTGGTTCTTCCGGGGTGGCGCCATCAGCAATGGCGGACTCCCTCTGAACCGGAGGGACCAGCTCCGCGCGAAACGGGTCTTTTCCGCTGCGGCGAAGCGGGGACCCTTTTAGAAATCACAGGCGGATGAAGCCTGTGACCGTGGGACTCGGCGGGCACCCTTAGCGCCCCCCCAACCCGCAAAGGAACCCACTAACGGGCTCCGAAGCGAAGAGGGGGAAGTGGCGCGGTGCTGTGAGTCAATTGCTTTTCCGTGGAGCGAACCCGCATAGCCGTTGCCGGAGAGCGCGGCCTTTGTCCTGGGACAATTTGGCAACTCAAATAATCCCCCGTGAGTACCTAAACATTGAACAAGTGGACTTCAAATAAGAACTGGCAATTAGAAAGGAATTGGACTTAAAAATTTACCTTAATTTGGTACTGAAGCAGGAAGGTCTAAACAGGAAGTCAGCCTTCCGTTTCCTTGTAGTCAGAAGAAAGCAAAGACAACGTAAACTAGAGCTTAGAAAATCACTTTCAAAGGATTGGTTTTCACCATTTAAAATCGTTGAACCCCCCTTCGGTAGCAGGAGAAGAAGGGGGATTTTTTTTGGACTGTTTAAACCTGCAGAAGTGAGTTTAAAGTAAAGTAACTTTCCACTGTCCTGATCCTGGAGCGGGTGTCAGAATTGATGTTTGAAGCTCATTGACCAGAGACAAATGTTTTTGACAGACAGTTAAAAGAAGAGTAACATTGTGATTCCACTGTTTCCTTTCGCATTTTAAAGGAACAAATATTGACATAATATCTTAAAAAAAGAAACTTTGTTGCTATTGTCCTTAAAAGAAAGAACAACCAGAAGTTTTCCCCCTAGAGGGGACTGTGAAACTGTAACTAATTCTAGGGAGCTTGCAGCTGCCACAGATTACAACCGTGGGAAAGGATTTGTGACCTTGCAGGACAATGTTTTCAGAAGCACTGTTGGGTGCTTTCTGTAAAATAAATGCCCTATTGGTTCAGTTAAGTCAGAAGACGGATTTGATGACTAATGCGGCCAGAACATTTGAACAGGTAGTGGGAAACTATATGGAGCCCACCCAGGAACTTAAACAGGAGTGTGCCATGACAGAACAGTTGAGAGAAGAGGATGTTGCTGAATCTTGGGTGCCAGAAAGGGAGGAACTTTTGGCCCTGCAGGAAAATGAGCCTTTGGATTTGACAAATGAACTTGGAAAAAACCAGATTTGGAAAGATAAAGTTTGGATTGATTTGGAAATGGGGGGTTGGACTGACCCCCCCATGCAGGGATGTTTGGACTTTCCGAGTCTGGCAATGGGCCGTCAGATGTTTGGAGCTGTGGGGGCTCCCAATTTTGGAGGGAATTTGAAACATGTCTTAAAATACCACATGGAGTCTAGTCTGGACTATGGGAAAGGGGCTGATTTGTTGAAAAGGGTCAAAAACACTACCAAGCTGGAGTTCCCACGAGTGAAAGGAAAATATGAAGAAGAGCTGCGGAAGGGACATGGAAGAGACTTGAAGGCCTCAGATATAAGATCACCAGGTTAATGTGCCAGACTAATGGGATAAAAGGACTGACAAACCCGGGACCAGGAGGAAGGGACGCTGGAAGAAGATTGGATTGTTCTTATTTCTTTTTCTATCATTAGGAATGTTTTCTAAAATTGATGAATGTTAGTAAAATGTTGAAATGAAATTACTTGGCTCTCGTAAAAATGTTTAAAGAATTAGGTAAAAGGTAATGGTTATGAGAAGTTGGTAAAAATAAGATTTAAGTCTTAAGCTTTAAGGTTTTTATAAGATAAGATGAAAATAGAGTAAGGTAATGTAATGACAGAATACTATGAATTATGGAAAGGATTTGCTGTGACAACTATTAATCAAGATACAAGAAAAGGGAGGAGGAGGAGGTCATAGAAAGAAGGTAATGAAAGTGGAGAATTTGAAAATGATGGTTTTCTTTTTTCTTTTTCTTTTTCTGTTTTGTCTTTTTTCTTTGTAATTTTTAAAAAAATTCTTTTTTCAATAAATATCATTAAAAAAAAAAAGAAATCTGGTGAGTGGTGTGTGGACCATCAGGTGATATGGCTGGTCACACATGTTTTGTTTTGTTTACTGGGTATTTGGCTGCCCATGACACTTGATCTCCTTTCTTCCATGGCGACAGGCTTGGTGCAAAGTTGGTGGGTCTCTTGTGCTAGGCAGCTCCTTAACTGGTCCAGGCCCCCCAAAAGCACCCAAATTTTCCAACTGCTAGCGCTGACTTTGTCATGCTGACATAAGCAAAACTGTGAGTGTCTGATTAAAACAACAACAACAACAACAACAACAACAACAACAACAGTTATTTTCTGCTTTGTATCCCACAACATGCTGGAAGAGCCCCCAGAATCACTTTTAGTGTCACGTGAGAAATACTTTCATGTGAATGACTGCCAAGAGAGCAAATGGAATGCAAGGAACTCATTCAACAGCTGCTGCCCCCTGCCTTTCCTTTATGCCCTGAGAGTGCCAAGTTGTTCAGTCCTGTTTGCCTCCTGCAAGAAAGGAATGTTACCTATTGCACAAGGGATTAATTCATCTGTTACGCTATCTAAATCCTATATCCACTCAGCCATAAATGCATATCTATTGGTCTGTCTGTGCAAGTGTTATGTATTGAGTTGAATAGGATCCAGAATGCAACAGTCTGATTGGTCCACAGGAGCCACCCAATCCAACTCCAGGTGGAAGTGAATCCGCAACCTGATTGGCCTACAGGAGAATCCTAGAATTAGCCAATCACATGGGGCCCATTGTGTAAATAATGTATATAAAGCAGACATTCTGGGGGAACTTCCATTCCTCCTCACTACTATGAGCTGAATAAAGAGCATGAAATCCACACTCGACTCCGAGTATATTTCAGCAGGTTTATCACTATCTGTCCATCTATCGCAAATAGGGATGCACAAACCTGTCATTTTCAGTTTCTTTCGATTTCCCATTTTCCCACCCTTAAGTTCAGTTTGCCTATTTCTGCATTACTTTGAATAAAAAAGTCAACACGAAAATCAGCATGCATTTCCATGCAGGTTAAGCCTAATATATGCATCTCTTTTTCTTTTCTTTTGCAATTTTGCCTATTATACATATGTTTGCAAGCAAATCCATAGGTTAATATAGTTTCCCCCCCCCTGTGCACTCTTCTTGGTTTGAAAACTGCATCGTGAAATCCAGAGAAGTGCAAGTTTTGAAATATAGCTGGGTTTGCAGGGCGGCTTGCACTAAAATCAGGCAAGGTCAAAGTAAAATGCGAACTGAACAAAATTCTTCTTATTGCTGATCGCACATGCACAGACACACCCACACAAATGCTGCTTTTGCTATGAAATTGACTTTCTTTATCCGTTGCACAACGTCTTCACCAGGATCAAAAGTCAGCACTAAGTACTGGGACAGGAGCCAGTCAAAAAGGAATGACTGCAGACACAATAAACCTGACATTTCCTTACAATTTGAATGAACAAGAATTTAATTGCCATGTTTTATATGAAGCATGTTCTCGGGGTTTGGGGAGTGAACAAGTTTTCTCTTGCCGAAGACTCTTATCATATGTAGCATGCAGCAGGCATTTTTTTAAAAAGTCGTACTGGATACCTTTATAATAAGCTCTTTGTTAAAGAGTTATTTTTAACCTGAACTACTGCGCTACAGTTAAGCATAATAAACTTCAACACTGTGCAGCTCGCTCAGCCCATGTTGATATTCCTGCAAAGTGACTTGAACTCACAAGCTCTGCAATCACTTGCCTGCGCTGGTTTATTCAGGCATTAACGGAGGAGCAGGTTGAGTTTCCTAACCCAGCAAGAGGGTTGCAGTTGCATTATTGGCAGGGATACAGGGCAAGAAATGTAAGAATTTTCAGAGGCAGATAATTTGCAAAAGTAATTACATGCCCTACACTTCTGGAGCTGCATTCTTCACCTCAAACAGTGTCGAGGAATTCGAGAATTAAGTGATGGGAAGGCTATCTTTTTAGTCTTCAAATTTCTCCTGATGAAGATTTGCATTTTAGTCTGGACTGATGGTGCTTATTTGGCCTTGGACTGGCCTTGTTTCCTGCGTGTCTTTTCTGATTTACACAAAATATTAACCACACCTCTTGTCATTGGTGTGAAGTTGAAAATTAGAGGATGTGTATCAAAGGGCATTAGCAACCATAATTTTACTTACCTGTTGTTTTTGCAGAAAGAGACACATGAGGCTGGGGAGGGGGAGCTAAAACAAAGTCCAGCCTTTTAAGCAAAAGTTAGCAATAATAATAATAATAAAAACCCACCATTTGTTTTACTGTCAAAGGAAACATGTCCTTTCTTTCATGCATTGCATTTATAACCCCTCCAAGATTTTATAGATGTTAAAGATAGATAGATAGATAGATAGACAGATAGATAGATAGATAGATATCAATAGATAGATAGATATCAATAGATAGATGATAGGTAGGTAGGTAGATTGGTAGATAGATAGATAGGTAGGGAGATAGGTAGATAGATGATAGATAGATAGGTAGGTAGGTAGGTAGATAGATCGATAGATGATAGATAGATAGGTAGATTGGTAATAGATAGATAGATAGATAGATAGATAGATGATAGATAGATAGATAGATAGGTAGATAGATAGATATAGATGATGATAGATGATAGATAGATAGATAGGTAGGTAGATGAAATGTTATCCAGACCTAACCAGTTGTTGATTGGGAGAATGGGGCTTACCTGGGATGCTCGAAATTCCTGACATGATGTTAGGCACAAGAAGAGAAAGAGGCTGTTTTGCAATCCAGAAGGCATGGCACTATTATTCCAAGATAGGTAGAGAGATAGAAAGAAAAAACTCTTCTCAGATTGCACAGGAACACCTGGCAAAACACTTTCCTCGACAGCCAAGTTGCCCTGACTGTAGATCAGGAGGGATAGAGAGCACTCCTGTGCTCAGATCAGAAATGACTGCAACATCACACAGCAGGTTTTCCAAAGATCCAAAGAGTAAAAAAAAGAGAGCTCAGTTTCCACCTCTCATTGGTAGGCTGCCTTCGCTGCCAGTGTGCTGCCTCCTAGGAGCTGTCCTCCACAGAAACACACCCCAGAGAGAGAGAGAGAGAGAGAGAGAGAGAGAGAGAGAGAGAGATCTTGCAAAATTGCATCTCAGACTGATGCCTCTAACGTGGAAGTTTAGCTTGCTTTATTTCTGCTACTCAAAGACGATGAGTCGCCTCTTCCCCACCACAGTCAAAAACTTGTGTGTGAGAGAGAAATAGGATGACTTAAAAAAAAAATCAAAGTGGCCCATAATTTAGGATATTATTTAGATATATAACCTGCCCTCCCAAGCCAAGAGCTCACACTAAACATTTGCGTTTAAGTAGTCAGGATCAGTAGGTGCCACTCACATTTTCTTTAATAGGTTGGAGATTCCTGTTTGTTTGTTGTTGTTTTTTTAATAATATTTATTAAATTTTAAAGGGTTACAAAAATAAAAAAATAAAAAAACAGCATATTTAAGAAATACAAAACATCACATCACATCACAATAATAAAAAAAGAAGCAAGAAGGAAAAAAAAAGAAAAGGAAAAAGAAAAAAAAGAGAAAATACAATAAATCTTCCCATATCTTATCTTTCATTTGCTTATTTCCTTGACCTCCTCACACCTCCCTTTTTTGTATTCTAGCTCAATTAACTATTTCAGCAAATCCTTTCCCTCCTTTCCAGTTTTTGTCCTCTATTTTATCTTAATATAATGTAACTTTACTTTCCCTCCTTCACCGTTTAGCAATCTATTTTTCCTTAATCCTTTATAACATTTCTGCTAAAACCGCATTATTTCATTCCAACATCCAACATTCCTGTTTGTTTTGGCTCGCAAGGATTATTATTATTTTGCATTCATCTGGCATTTGACAAAATTAGCTCAGCAATCCTTACGGCAACCTTGTAAGGTAGGCCAGGATCATTCTCTGCAGTATTCATCTGCTGTTGCAGGGAAGTGGCTAAGGGCCAAAGTACACATTACATTATTCATAGTGGGTCGTTTTGTTTTGTTTTGTTTAAGTGAGCTCAAGCTTTTTATTTTGGAAGGAAAGCAGCCTTGGAGCGCCCCAGTCAGGATCAGACCACAGCATCCGTTTCCCCACCTCACCTTCAGATTTGATATTTGTCCCTGAAGTGGGTGTCAAACTGACACTTGTTCAGACATTCGCTTATTCTCGCCAACAATATCTCTGGCATTGGGGGCAAAGGAGCCTCTCCCCCCACAGACCTCACTGGATGGTCATAGTACAGTGGACGCTCGGGCTGAGAACGTGAGCCGTGCGGGAGGCACATTCGCAACCCACAGCGTTCGCAACCTGCAGCGCCGCATCTGCACGCATGCGGGTCGCGATTCGGCACTTCTGCTCTTGCACAAAGCACAATGCTTCTGCACATGCGCTGAAACCCAGAAGTAACCTGTTCCGGTACTTCCAGGTTCGGCACGGTGCGCAACCCGAAAACGCACAACCTGAAGCGTCTGTAACCTGAGGTATGACTGTAATGGGCAGGCTAGATACAGAAGCGCTTGGAGCAATAGATTCACATTTGTATACTAAGCTATATTCCAGCCATGCAAAAAGAATTCAGAGGTTTTTGCATATAAAAGTAAAGGTAAAGGACCCCTGGACAGTTAAGTCCAGTCAAAGGTGACTATGGGGTTGCAGCGCTCATCTCGCTTTTCAGGCCAAGGGAGCCGGCGTTTGTCCACAGACAGCTTTCTGGGTCATGTGGCCAGCAGGATTAAACCGCTTCTGGGGCAACTGGACACCGTGACAGAAACCAGAGTGCATGGAAACACTGTTTACCTTCCCTCTGCAGCAGTACCTAGTTATCTACTTGCACTGGTGCTTTCAAACTGCTAGGTTGGCAGGAGCTGGGACAGAGCAACGGGAGCTCACCCCATTGAGGGGATTCAAACTGCCAACCTTCCAATCAGCAAACCCAAGAGGCACAGTGGTTTAGACCACACACACACACACACACACACACACACACCTCTCAAGGACACATTCCAGGCGAAAGCACTCAAGAAGTGTGTGGCTTCTGGGACGCTGTGTGGATCCCCTTTGGCCCATAGGTCTAAGGTTCCGCACCCCTGACCTAGTGTGTCCTCAAGGTGAGCATGGTGGGCAGGGAAGTTGGCTGGAGTCCAGGACATGCTGTGTCACCACTCTCTGTGGATACGCTGCAACATTTTGTTGTCGTCATCCCCCAACCTTCTTGCACAAAACAAAATCCCGATAATTTGCATGGGCAAAATTGTCGAGGATTCCCAAAGCACAAGACCCCACTATCAAGATTTTAACAAGCTAGGCGCATCTGATTGCATCGATTAAGAAAAGTATTCATTTATCCTGACCTCTAGCACCATCTGCTGTAGAAACAGTTAAAAGCGCCACCAGTGCGAAAGCAAAAGCCATAGGTTTAGTAAAGAAAAGGAGGTGGGGGCGGTAAACCTTAGGACGAAAGAGAAATACATTTACCTTTTTTTTACCTTTACGTCTCCAGTGAAGAGGTATTACCTTTGGCAAGGAAACGTAGGTACTTTGGAACATAGGTTTCTTTCGAATCCTGGGTCACACCATTGGTCCATATAGTTTAGCATTGTCTGCACATACTGGCAGCAGCTCTCTGGGGTTTGGGGTAAGGCCCTCTTCCTGTCCTCCCAGGAGATGCTGGGGATTGAACTCACAACCTTCTGCTTGCAAAGCGGATGCTTTGCCATTCACCTGAGACCCCTTCAGAGCAAGCCAAGCTGCATTATGTCATGGTAGCTTGATGTCTGGTGCCACTCTTATCAGGATAAATTAGTGGACGTAGGAAAAAATCACCCTCCTCACTAGCTTTCAAGTGTGAACTGCAAATTACTTGGAAGATGCAGTTTGGAGAATGGCTGCTTTAAACATAGTATTAGAAAGATTCTATTGTTTCTATCTGCCATCACTAAGGAAAGAAAACAGCATGTGACTTATACTTGTAAAAAAAGCAGAAGCATTTTTGTTAGGGATTGTAGGACAAGACCTGCCAAGAAAAACAAAGAACTTATTTATGTACGCTACAAAAGCGGCAAGAGTCTTGATAGCACAAGGATGGAAGAATGAGGAAATCCCAACGAAAGAACAGTGGCAAGAAAAATTGATGAGCTACGCAGAGTTGGCTGAATTGACATACAAATTGCGGGACAAGGACAACTGTGACTTTAAGGAAGAATGGGAGCTTTTTACAACTTATCTAAAAAGGCAACAAAATGATTTGGACTCCTTGGCAGGTTTTGAATAAACATACACAAATTTATTAGTTGATAATGTAAGGACATGTATAATTTTATAACATGCAGAGAGTAATATGTGCTGAGAAATCAGAGAGAGGAGCTCAGGGAAGTCTCGGGGGGGGGTTGAAGGGGGGGAGGAAAAAAAAATAATGAATATGATTTGACAATTTGTTATGTGCAATTTGTTAATAAATACATTTAAAAAGGGGGGGGGACAACAGTATGTGATTTATATTAAGATCTTAAGGTATGGTATCCTCCAGGAAGGAAGATAAAAAGGTGGCAACTCATGCAATATTGCCTTATCCTTGCCTTGCCTCTATGTCAGGGGACGTACAGCCTGCCAGAATTCCCAAAATCTGCCATTTTGCTGAAGAGCACAAGTGCTCCACCAGTAGGGAACTGAAACTGCAAGTAACATAGGGTGCCAGGGCCTGCCTAGCAAAAGATGGTTTGGATCCACGGACCTCTGGGTTCTGAATTTAGCCACTCCCTCTGCACCTCTCTGGTTCTGTCCTGGGTGCCTCTGAGCACGTTCCCAGACTAGGAATTTGTTTCAGGCCTGCAGGGATTTTGCACAAGAACCCAAAGCTTTCAATCGATTGGCATGTTTTCTTCAATGGAAATTGCTGCTATAGTACCATTTAAAGGAGCAGTGGCCTTTTCAGGGACTGATGTCACACGTGGGTGGCGCTGTGGTCTAAACCACAGAGCCTCTTGGGCTTGCCGATCGGAAGGTCGGCAGTTCGAATCCCTGTGACAGGGTGAGCTCCTGTTGCTCGGTCCATGCTCCTGCCCACCTAGCAGTTCAAAAGCACGTCAAGTGCAAGTAGATAAATAGGTACCCCTCCAGCAGGAAGTTAAACAGCGTTTCCGTGCGCTGCTCTGGTTCGCCAGAAGCGGCTTAGTCATGCTGGCCACATGACCCGGAAGCTGTGTGCGGACAAACATTGGCTCCCTCGGCCTATAGAGCGAGATTAGCGTGCAACCCCAGAGTCGTCCGCGACTGGACTTAACGGTCAGGGGCACCTTTACCTTTTTAGTATTTAAAGGAACAGTGGCCTTTTCAGGGACTGATGTCAGAGATTTCCTCATGTGATTTATCCTAGGAAATGAGGATGATTGTGCCACTCACCAGCTTTGCACATCCTATTTTTTTAATCATCTTCTGTTTCTACTAGTATATTATGAACATTGTGGTAGTTCCTGTTGTCCTGCTGCTTTACTTTTCGCAGCCATTTCCCTCTGCTGTGGTGGTTTTGCTTGCCTATGCTTACCTCTAAATCATTTTCTAGTTCAGGGATGGAGAACCTGTGTCCCTCCTGATGTTGTTAAGAGCCTTCCCCCATCAGCTCCAGCCCGCAGGACCGATGGTCAGGGATGAGCAGAGTCGAGGTCCTACAATACAGTGGTACCTCGGGTTAAGAACTTAATTTGTTCTGGAGGTCCGTTTGTAACCTAAAACTGTTCTTAACCTGAGGTACCACTTTAGCTAATGGGGCCTCCCACTGTCGCTGTGCCGCCGGAGCACGATTTCTGTTCTCATCCTGAAGCAAAGTTCTTAACCCGAGGTACTATTTCTGGGTTAGCAGAGTCTGTAACCTGAAGCGTCTGTAACCTGAAGCATCTGTAACCCAAGGTACCACTGTATCTGGAATGCCACAGGCTCCCAATTCCTGTTCTAGCTGAAACAACTTAATGAAAAATGAGATTCCAGCTAACATCAGGAGGAACTTTATGACGGCAAGAGCTGTTTGAACATGGAACGGTCTCCCTCAGGTGGTGATGGGCTTGCCTTCTTTGGAGGTCTATAAGCAGGGGTTAGATGGCCATCTGTCATGGATGCTTTGGTTGAGATTCCTGCATTGCAGGGGGGGTTGGCCGAGGTGCCCCCCGGAGTTCCTTCCAACTCTACCATTCTATGAATTCCTCTCCCATTCCACTGTGTGCTATAGGAAATACAAACTTTGCTAGCATTTCAGATCCTCGCTCCTTGCCCCATGCTGGGAGATTCTGGTACATGCTCCCAACTTGTAGAGCACTGATCTACGTCCCTAGAGCAGGGTGCTATTGGACTACAGTTCCCCTACCCATGCCAGCATCGCCAATGGTGGAGTATGATGGAAGTTGTAAGTTGTAGATAAAGGACCCCTGGATGGTTAAGTCCAGTCAAAGTTGACTATGGGGTTGCGGCACTCATCTCGCTTTCAGGCCGAGGGAGCCAGCGTTTGTCCACAGACAGCTTTCCAGGTCATGTGGCCAGCAGGACTAAGCTACGTCTGGCACAATGGGACACTGTGGCAGAAGCCAGAGTGCATGGAAACGCCATTTACCTTCCCGCCACAGCGGTACCTATTTATCTACTTGCACCGGCATGCTTTTAAACTGCTAGGTTGGCAGGAGCAGGGACAGAGCAATGAGAACTCACCTGACCTTCTGATCAGCAAGCCCCAAAGGCTCAGTGGTTTAGACCACAGCGCCACCCGCTGTCCAGTCTAGATGTCCAGTAATATCTAGAAAGCACCGCCACGTTCACCATCCCTGCTCTAGAGAGATAAACCGTCTTCTTAACTACAAGATGCAACCGTGCTTCCTAATGTTCAAAGCACTTTGTATCTTATTTCAGTAAAACTTACAACCACCCTGTAAGACAGACCACTGTTATCATCTCCATGCTTTAGATGGGACAGTTCTTCTAGTGAGTTTGTGACGGAGGCAAGCTTTGACGGAGGCAGCTCACAGTTGTAGTCACTGTGCTGTCTTCCTTTGCAGAAGCAAGCCCAACCCTTGCTAGAGGCAGGAAGTGCCTTATACTGTCTAGCTCCCACTGACTGGGAAAGAATCCCCAGGGTTTTGGTTAGAGGATATTCCCAGCCCCACCTGCAAATGCTGGCGATTGAAGCTGGGGAACTTCTGCATTCAACACAAACCCTCTACCCTTGAACTACCATGGTACCTGGGTTCTCAAACGCCTTGGTACTCAAACGCCTTGGTTCCCAAATGCCGAAAAACCGGAAGTAAGTGTACCAGTTTTCAAACGTTTTTCGGAAGCCGAACGCCCGGTGTGGCTGTCGGCTATTGTTTCCGGGGCGCCTGCGCCAATCAGAAGCCATGCCTTGGCTTTCGAACATTTCAGAAGTCAAACGGACTTCCGGAACGGATTACGTTTGAGAACCAAGTTACCACTGTACAGCCCTTTCCTTGCTATTTAAAAAGAAAACAGGATTTCCATATATCCCCTTTTTCATTTTCATGGGTAGAGTCATCATAGCGATCCCTTGTTAAAAGCAGACGTCGGCAAATGCGTCCTCTTTTTTGCTCTTCAAAATACGGCAACCCTAATATGTTAACACCATGTTTGGTGAGGATAATACAGAAGTTGTGGAAGGAGCCAGAAGACAATCTGTAGGCAAAACCATATCATAGTGAACGGGGGGGGGGGGGGAGAGAGAGACCAAAACCCCGTGAAAAGAGCAAATGAAAGAGACCGTCCTAATGGGGGTGTTGTTTATTAAAATATAATCTCTATAAAGATACCATATTATACAAAACAGAGATAGAACATTCTATTAATCACATGCTGTACACAAGGCTTGCTACACAGGGCTGGCTTTGCACGGCAAGGGCAAGACAAGTCCATTCAGAACATTTCTGGCCGAAGAGCTCGGAAAGTCCTGCTCCTTCTTTCACAGCAGAATCTCAGAGTCCTCCAAAGAGTCGTCCGCGTACAGTAGTTCACCGGCTAACGTGCTGCCGACAGGAAGGGTGCTGGCCTGAGACCACAGCAGTCCGTTCTGTGAGGGTGTGTGCTGAAGCAAAGGGGTATCTTCGTCTTCTGATCTCCTCATGCTGCTGAGGTGATCTTCGTTAGCCCCACTCAAAATGTATCTGTCCCCCATCCCATTGCTGTCATGGACGTCCACGGTGACCACAGTGGTCTCTGGTTTTTGGGAACAGGACTCTATGATGTGGTTAGGGTCAAGGTCCGTGTCTATCCGGGGAAACTCGGAGTCTTCTGTCAGCTCTTCCACACTGTCCTCCATCAGGCTGGTGTTAATATAAATTACGTCCTCGGGTTCGCTGAGGGCGGGCAAACTTTCCGACAGCTTCTCCAGGTGAAGCTTGAGTTCGGAGAAGACGGGCCGCTCCGCGGGATCTGCCCTCCAACAAGAGTACATTATTTCGTACCTGAGGTAGAAAGGAACAGGGTGGAGTGAAGCACGTTCTGTTTGCTTTAGAGATTTATTGGCCAAAATTCTTCCTGCCGGGGCTTACAACTTTTAAAGCAATTAAAAAATACAATAGAGTCTCACCAGAACAGCAGCAGTAAAAGCAAATACACCTGTGCCTTGGGAACAATGTTTTGGAGTGGAGAGAACAATGGAGGCTCTCTCTCTAATCCATAGTTTCCCAAACTTGGGTCTCCAGCTGTTTTTGGACTACAGTTCCCATCATCCCTGACCACTGGTCCTGCTAGCTTAAGGATGATGGGAATCGTAGTCCAACTGGAGACTCAAGTTTGGGAAACTCTGCTCTAATCAGTAATAAATTATGGTTGCTGATGTTGACATGAGTCTGAGCTGAGGTGGTGCAGCCACCTGCTGAGGCTAAAGTGTTTTTGGCCCGGCCAGTGCTTGATTGGGAGTCCTAGGTGCGCTGCCTTTGAGTTCCATGAAAGAAGGAAGGTGGAAGACAAATAAAATAGCTCTGGGAGTGGTTTTTAATTTTACTTGGGTGTGTACTGGAGAGGAATTCTCTTTATTATTTATTAGACTCCTTATCTTTCCCTTCACCATGAGGATCCTCCAACATAGTGGAGAAGGAGATGTTATAAGGAGGAGGAGCTATAGCAGAACGATGCCTCAATGTTGCATTTTGAGGACCAAGTGGTCAAAAATGGGATATGATACCATGTATATGTAGGGATGCGGGTGGCACTGTGGGTTAAACCACAGAGCCTAGGACTTGCCAATCAGAAGGTCGGCGGTTTGAATCCCCGCGACGGGGTGAGCTCCCGTTGCTTGGTCCCTGTTCCTGCCAACCTAGCAGTTCAAAAGCACGTCAAAAGTGCAAGTAGATAAATAGGTACCGCTCCGGTGGGAAAGTAAACAGCGTTTCCGTGCGCTGCTCTGGTTCGCCAGAAACAGCTTAGTCATGCTGGCCACATGACCCGGAAGCTGTACGCCGGCTCCCTCGGCCAATAAAGCGAGATGAGCGCCGCAACCCCAGAGTCGGTCACGAATGGACCTAATGGTCATGGGTCCCTTTACCTTTATATGTATGGCGCATAATACTCAGAAACATACAGGAGACAAAGCATTCAAAATGCTGGGAATCAGGAGTGGTGAAGAAGGTCAAGCGAAGAAACAAACAGACCTCAGAGCTTCCAGCTTCCCAAGCTGGCAGACTGCAGCAGTGACAATTGTCTTGAGCAAACCATTGTCTTTTGCATTACTGCAGAATCTCAGCCAAATTACAGGGAAGGGCTGTATGTAGCTCAGTGGTGGAGCATCTGCTTTGAATGCAGAAGGTCCCAGGTTCAATCCCCAGGAAGGGGTGGTTCAGACCCCTGTCTATAACCCTGGAGAGCCACTGCGAGTGAACACAAACAATACTATGCTGGACCAATGCTGGACTCAAGTATAAGCCTACTTTTCCAGGACATTTTTTATGCTGAAAAAGCCCCCCTTGGCTTATACTCGAGAGCCAGTGTGGTGTAGTGGTTAAGAGCAGTAGACTCATAATCTGGTGAACCGGGTTCGCGTCTCTGCTCCTCCACATGCAGCTGCTGGGTGACCTTGGGCTAGTCACACTTCTCTGAAGTCTCTCAGCCCCACTCACCTCCCAGAGTGTTTGTTGTGGGGGAGGAAGGGAAAGGAGAATGTTAGCCGCTTTGAGACTCCTTCGGGCAGTGATAAAGCAGGATATCAAATCCAAACTCTTCTTCTTCTTCTTCGGGCTGCTCCTTCCTCCCCCTCCTCCGCCTTTGCCGCGGTCGGCAGCGGAGGACGAGCAGCCTGAAAGCAGACCTTTCGGGCTGCTTGTTCTTCCTCCGCCACTGTCGCCACCAGCCTCTGCCCCTTGGCACCACCCTAGGTAGGCAGGGGGACGGGGGGGGGGCTGGGGAGGAGAGAGAAGCCCCCTCTGCCGTGTGCGCATGTGCATGCGCGCGCACACACACACACACACACACTCTGGCCCACCAGGAGGTTTGTGGTGTGGTGAATCGGCTTATACTCGAGTCAATATGCTTCCCCAGTTTTTTTGTGGTAAAATTAGGTGCCTCGGCTTATATTCAGGTCGGCTTATACTCAAGTATATACAGCGCTTCCTATGCATTATTACTGCAGTGAGATAAAATACTTACAACTCATCTAAGCAGCCTTCTGGCTGCTTCAGCCTGTGCCCATGAAGGAGGTAGTCGTAAATTTCATGGTTCTGCACTCCTGGGTATGGAGTCATCCCTCGGGTCGCTATCTCCCACATTGTAACACCGAAAGCCCACTGCAGGGAACACAGAGATAAACATATATTTAGTTGGCGTTACAGAATACCTTGGGAAAGATTATCTCCTAAAGTGCAACCCTAAACACACTGACCTGGGAATAAATCTCACTGAACTCGGTGAGACTGATGCCCAAAGGAAGCTAGGATTGGGCTCTGTTCCTTCATACATTGTTTGAAAATTCTATTTGTGTTTGGTACAAATGCAGTGAAGCTCACATTTGGGGGTGGGTGGGTTGTAGGTGTTGTCAACTTCATCAGATGCCCTTCTGCTGCATCAGAACTAGGTGCACAGGCAAGCGTCAAAACGGACATGAGTATATAAGGGCTCCTTTTTCAGTTCAAACGAATGGATAGATGTTGCATGAATTTCTCGTTTCCCCCAATCTCATATAGTATTCAGTTTGCTACATTTTCTGCACCAGTTTGCGAATTTCAGGGTGCATTTATCCTATTAGTCATACCTTGGGTTACAGATGCTTCAGGTTGTGCCTTTTCGGGTTGCGCACTGCACTGAACCCAGAAGTACCGGAACGGGTTACTTTCGGGTTTTGGCGCTCGCGCATGCGCAAAAGCACTAAACTGCGCTTTGCACATGTGCAGAAGCGCCTAATCGCGACCTGCACGTGCGCAGAAGTGGCGCTGCGGGTTGTGAACGGATCATGTTCGCAACCCGAGCGTCCACTGTATACACTTTTGGGGACTAATTGCTCCAAATAAAACATACTTGTGTATATTATTTCCACCAATATATTCATTTTTATGCATACATTCCCCTGATATATACTTTCTTTGGGTGACAGGAGTGGAGACGTGCATTGCAAAATTCAGACAAGGGCAACTTTCAAAGAACCGCTGTGTTCCATTTTGCATAATGTTTCAGGAAGCCTGAATTACATCGGTGTGCATTAAAATGCAAACCAAACTGAATGTCCCTCCCATTACGTACCACGTCGCTTTTTGTCGTGTAGACGCGGTCGGCGAGACTTTCTATCGCAATCCATTTCACAGGCATCTTTGCGATGCGCCCCTGCCGGTAATAATCGCCGCTGTAAATCTTCTTGGATAAGCCAAAGTCTGCCACACACACAGTCATGTCGTCCCGTAACCTGCCCATCGATTAATATGAAGTAGCATTAATACAGATTCATGTGAAAAGGACAAAGGCAACTGAAATATGTAATATTATGTGCAGGCTTCTGGAAAAGACAAAAGGCATGGCAACGATGTAGCTTTGAAACCCATGTGGTCCTTCCCACAAAGAAACCCTGGGAAAATGAAGATCTATTAAGGGATTAGGGATTTCTAATAAGACTGTTCACAGCATTCTCACAAAACCACAACCCCTGGGAAAGCCCTTGAGGGTTAATTAGGCCTTTAATTTTATAGCTTGGATGCACCTTTTAAATGACTCACAAACACTTCCAAAATAATAATTTGCACTGATGGGAGGTCTCCTGCCACGATTCCCATCAATCTACCCATTTATTATTCTCATGCTGTTGCTCCATTGTTTGCCTTTTTTAATTGGTATGTTCTTAATTTATATTTTATGTACGATTGCATTTTGTGCATCGACGAAAACCACCCTGAGATCACATTTACACAGCCAAAGGCTATCTACAAATTGGAGAAAACAAAATAAAATAAATTGCACAGGTCCACAGATAAATATGTTCTGGATCAGGCACAGGCAAACTCGACCCTCCAGATGTTTTGGGACTACAACTCCCATCATCCCTAGCTAACAGGACCAGTGGTCAGGGATGATGGGAGTTGTAGTCCCAAAACATCTGGAGGGCTGAGTTTGCCTATGCCTGTTCTGGATCCAGGCAGCTGCAGAAAATAAAAGTCCCCCCCCCCCTTTGAAGCCCCAAACAAGCTGCAATTGTTGGGTGAGGCCTGCTAGGATCTTTTATCGCTGCCTCAACAAATTGCTAGGCAGCAGTCTGAAAAGCTAGGAAAACCTGGGCTAGACCTGATCCAGATTCTGGCACATTTTGGGCATATCCTTTTATTTGAAGCATTTCTTCCTTGCAGTTCAGCCAAAAAGGCTCTGAGAGAGGCTTGCATAAGATCAGAGACAGTCCATGCCTGCAGGCTTACAGTCTAAAATAAATTACACCAAAGCAAACAGGGATACAGAAAGGAGAGGAAAACAAGCAAACTCTGGCACCAGTTCTTAAAGTCACATGACCAGCTTGAATGAAAATAGTTTAGGAAGCGGAGACCACTTCCCACCATCACTTTTCACCAGTTCGGTGGCAACCCAGATTCTCAGATCTGGGCTCTGTAACTGGTTCATCTAGGCCAGGCCACAGAAAATTTGCAAACTTGGGAGAAGGATTCCTCTTTAATGTGCAAGTTTTCTAAGTGCAGGGAGCCTTTTTGCCTCCGATAGAACATTCAAATCTGAACGCTCCCCGCAACTGCAGACTGAAGTTCCAGCATGATTATTCTGAATCTGCTCCTAAAAAGATGTTCCAAAATTCAGAAATAAAGTAGTTTCTGCTTGACTTTTACTCAAACCTGCAGATTCACAGCAAGATTAACATGCACTTTTCATTCCTCTTTCTGGAGCGGCAAAACCCAGAAAGAAGACTGAAGCTGGACTGTTTTATTAAGAGTCGAAGGAAGGAACGTAGAAACTCACATGCAGTTTCGAGCAGCCAGGTCTCTGTGGAGGAAATGCCTGTTGCTGAGGTATTCCATTCCTAGAGCAATATGGATCATAAACTTCAACAAGGTCTGCAGTGGTACATACTGGGAAAGAGGAGGAGAAATGAAAAATCGTAATGAATTCAACGTATTGTTAACAAGCAGCAACAACAACAACACCTCGGGTTGAAGTAGCTTCAGGTTAAGCATTTTTGGGTTGCGCTCTGCAGCGACCCAGAAGTAACGGAGCGCGTTACTTCCGGATTTCACCGCTTGCGCATGCGCAGACGCTCAAAATGACATGACGCGCATGTGCGGAAACAGCAAATCGCGACCCGCGCAGACGCGGGTTGCGTTCACTTCAGGATGCGAACGGGGCTCCGGAACAGATCCCGTTCGCATCCAGAGGTACCACTGTAATGAAAACTAACAAACCTCCATTTTTAATCAAAGGTTTAAGGCTGTTTACAAGGATGAAAGAAAACCCATTCAAGAGCAACCAAAACACATTTCCCTAAACATTTCCTAGGACAAGGGTGCCGCTCCAAATGTTCCTGGATTCCAATTTCTATCGGCCCTGGCTAGCATGAATTTTCTTAATTCCTTACCTATCAATCTATCAGGTACTTATCTATATATTCCATTTATATTCCACCTTTTCTCCAAGGTGCTCAAGGTGGTGTACATGATTCTTAGTCTCCCCTTTTTATTTTCACAACAACCCTGTGAGGTTAAGCTGAGGAACAGTGACCAGCCAAGGTCAGCCGGTGAGCTTTGAGGCTGAGCAGGGACTAGAACCCTCCTCTCCCAGGTCTTAGTCCGATGCTCTAACCGCTACACCACACTGTATCTCAGTGAACTGACGACAAAATATATCTGAGGATTCCTTGCACAACAGAAAACCTCTTCCCCAGCCAGCTCCTCACTGACCCTGTACTGAACGTACGTGCTGCTTCAGAGCTGGGCTCTAGTAAATGATAAAATGAAATTCATCCTGCTCCTTTTAGAAGAGGGAGAAATGTGGCCCCCATTTTCCAGTCCAGCACAACGGCAGGCAGGATAAAGCTCTCTTTGACTATTCCCAATTACATGCAAAGACATCATTTAATTTTCCACTTGTTTGCAGCTCACGCAGATTCATATGCTTAGTTATGAACAACTCCTTTGTTTACAGCTGCTGGACAGAATCATCATTTGTTTATAGCAGGGTTCATTTCCCCTCCATATTTTCTTTAGTGAAATAAATGCGAGAAATCAAATTAAGCCATTCGTTTATCACCAAAAAGAGCACCGTCAGCTATTGTGATGATTTGCTTTCCACTGAAAGGCCCTTCAGTGGGTTGTCCTGTTTCAATAGGACTCCTTTGTGAAAACTACGGAACTGCTTTCGCCACAAAACGTAGGACAGCCATCTCTTCCAGAGACCTTGTCTCCAGAACAATTAAAGCCTTTCTCTGCTGTTCCAGTACAAGGATAAGAGTCCATCCGTTTTTGACACTAACAAGGAGGACCACAGCCTGGTCACTTACAGGAACAATCTTCCAGAAAGCTGTCATATTTCTTGCAACTGGACTTTAGCATCAGTGGGGTTTTGAACAGACATCAGATTTCCTTCTGTCTGGCAAGATTGTGGCCTTTATATCTCGCCAAGTGCAACATAAGTAGGCAACACTCAAAGGTCAGGAATCAGTAGCTCAGCAGATGCACACAAGAATGAAGTCCCAGCCCGTTCCAAACCAAGTGACAAAGCAAACTGATCTGAATACTCATTCTGCCTGGCAAAAGTACCTGTTCGCTTAAAGTTCCAGAGTGCAACATCCCTTTATCCATCCAAGGCAATTGTGAGAGGTGAGAAGAGGTTCATGGGCCAGTCTACCTTTATCCTCCACTGTCCCCCACACTGATGCCTCCATGAACCTCTCTTGCCAAACGGTATCCCTCCAGTTATTGAATTTGGCCGCTGAACCTTTGATGGAGCCCTTGTGTCTTTATAAAGCCTTCTCCACCCTTAGGGCCCCAGATATTGTTGGACTACAACAGCCATCGTCCTTAAGTCAGCATGGCTAATGGTCAGGGATGATGGGAGTTGTAGTCCAACAACATCTGAGGACCCAAGGATGGTGAAGATTGCTTTATAGGAGATGTTATTCTTGTGTGGCTGTGGCTTAAGCTCCTGTGCTGGTGCAGTCATGTGACTACGGGCAGGTGACTAACGGGATTCAGAATAGCAGCCTGCGGAAACTTTCCTGGAAATAAGCTGCACTGAACACAGTGGAACTTTAAGGTGCTGGTTTTGACCTTTAAAGCCCTTCACGGCCTAGGATCCTCGTACCTACGGGACCGCCTCTCCCGGTATGCCTCAAGGTCCATAAATGGCAACACTCTAGAGGTCCAGGGCCCTAAGGAAGTTAGATTAGCTTCAACTAGAGCCAGGGCCTTTTCAACACTGGCTCCGGCTCGGTGGAACGCTCTGCCTCATGAGACCAGGTCCCTGCAGGATCTGATTTCTTTCCGCAGAGCCTGTAAGACAGAGTTGTTCTGCCTGGCCTTTGGCTTGGAGCCAATTTGATTCTCTCACCCTCTTTCTTTTTTCTTTTTCCTTTCTCCTCCTGTGATGAGGCTGCATTTTAATATTTTAATGTTTCAATATTTTAATTGTTGTATTTTAATCTTGTTTTTAAGTTGTCTGGGGAGGGCGGGGTATAAATAAAAATTATTATTATTATTACATAGGTTTGCACTGCATATCTCTTAAAGATCTTCATTTGTTCATTTGTTCACCCCCCCTTTTTTTACATGGAACCACAGACAAATTGTATTTTTTTTCCTCCTTAAAACAGTTTTGCTTTCTGCGTGGCACAGCATGCCTTTTGTTTTGTTTTCTCAGCTGCAGAAAAGCAATGCTAAAAGTACACTGAAATGGCATAGCAGGATTCAGATCAAGCCTCTAAATGTTTTCCTGCACTGGACAGTGTTGCCGGATGAGGATCTCCTCATTTCTTAGAAGGAGGAAGCAGGGGTTTTGTTCTCTCTCGCAATACAAGCAGTACAACCTTTCCTCAGGAGGTGGCTGGACTCTCCTTCCTTGGAGGTTTTTAAGCGGAGGCTGGATGACTATCTGTTTTGGATGCTTTAGTTGAGATTCCTGAATTGCAGGGGGTTAAACTAGATGACCTTTGGAGTTCCTACACTGGCTCCCAGTACGTTTCTGAGCACAATTCAAAGTGTTGGTGCTGACCTTTAAAGCCCTAAATGGCCTCGGTCCAGTATACCCGAAGGAGCATCTCCACCACCATCGTTCTGCCCGGACACTGAGGTCCAGTGCTGAGGGCCTTCTGGCAGTTTCCTCACTGTGAGAAGCCAAGTTACAGGGAACCAGGCAGAAGGCCTTCTCGGTAGTGGCACCCACCCTGTGGAACGCCCTCCCACCAGGTGTCAAAGAGAAAAACAACTACCAGACTTTTAAAACACATCTGAAGGCAGCCCTGTTTAGGGAAGCTTTTAATGTTTAATAGATTGTTGTATTTTAATATTCTGTTGAAAGCTGCCCAGAGTGGCTGGGGAAACCCAGCCAGATGGGCGGGGTATAAATTATTATTATTATTATTATTATTATTATTATTATTATTATTTTCCTTCCAACTCTATGGTTCTATGATTCTATGAGCAATACAAGCTATTATCACATTTCTAGACAGACTCCCAGTCTTCTGTCCTACCAACAAGGCAATTCTCTCCCAAATAATTGATTACCTGTGGGCCCATTCCAAGCCTTGAGCGAAGGAGGAAGCTATGCAAATCTCCATATTTCATGAACGGGAGAATCACCATGGGTTTGGGGACGTGCTGAGAACTTGGTTCTATACACACACCTAGAAGGGATGGAAATAAAATCAGCACAGCGCTTTCATTCAACAAATGTCTGCTGGAAAACTTGAATGGGGGGTTGGTCCAGCAGAATTTCATCCCAAGGATCCCAAGGCATCTATCTCATGAAAATGGGGAGTGGAGGGCTCCTGGTCTCCACCTACTTAAGGGAGAAGGCAAGGGGCTTTAATCTCTGCTCATCAGATTATGAGCGGAGATTAAATCCTGAGCATGGTTCAGGGAAAACGGCCCGGTGGACCAAACTGAGCATCCCTCCTCACCCCAGCCAGATTGGTTTGCAGGCTAGATGTTCCCCAACCCTGATTTATCAGACAAAATAGCCACTACTTAGGCCTCCGCAGAGATAGTGACACCCACCCACACCCCGGCCTTATGCTACGAATAAAATCTTGTCCCTGACAACTGCCACTTGTTGGTTGACCCACCCAGAAGTTTGATGACATTTGGATGATCGAAGTCTTTCATGCAAGCTGCTTCTCTGAGGAACTCTTCGATTTCTCGCTGGGAAAAACTGTCCACTGAAAAATTGCAAGAAAAGGGGAAAAAATGCTTATTACAAAGGGTAATATCCCCTTCCCCTTTTTTTTAAAAAAATGTAAATATTCCTTTGCCTGTGGCAATTAGTCCATTAAATTTATTTTATATGGCCAAAGGATTTCACAGTGAACAACAGAGGGCAAAAGCAAGGCATTGCCCTAATATATACATTTTTTCCAGCATTTGCCAGTTTAACTATGAAAGGAAGAGGCTGCCTGGCTGGAAATTACAAAACAGACTCCCCCCTCACACACACTTTGAGTTTATTGAAAGGTCACCATATATCCAGACCAGAGTTGTTACCTAAGCAACATTTTTTTGGCACAACTAGATAGTTTGGCTGAATATTTCAAGATAGATTTTCTGTGTTCAGAAAGCAACCCTTTCACTCTGTGGCTAAATAGGGATCCAGATCTCCCAAGCACCAAAACTCTAACTTTGATCCTTACAGGATTATATATATTTTTAAGATAACACCAATATAATCAGATTCTGTTGCAAATTTATTCTATGATTTTGGATTCCCAAAACCAGAAATGTGTGACTACCTCAGGTTCCAACTCTCCTTCTTTTGGGGGAATGAGGACAATTGATTCAGAGGAAGTATCAGAATGGAAGAGAGATTTGCCCTCAGAACTGGCCCTAGCCATCCCCATTGTTCCAAAAACTCTAGGGCAGGAAAAGCCCAGTTTTCTTGTAACTCCCTGGGCTCCCATTCTCAAAGCAGAGCTCATTTTTGAGGGCATGTATGTGTATTTGATGGAGGCAATCACACCAGGAATTGTGGGGTTGGGAGGGAAGCAAACTTTCGTCAAGAGAACTCTGGTTCACGGTTTAAGCAGGTCCAAAGGCCTGTCCTAAAGGCAGAAATGTTTTTGTCTGCCTGTATCCCATGCTGGAACATGGGAACAGAAGGCTTAGCAAGGCTTTAGTCAAGCTGAAACCATGTACCAGGATGGAAAAGATACACAATTTGTTCGCAGCTGTGAGTGACCTTCACAAGACGCCCTAAGAACAATGGAAAACTGTTTCTGCCAAGTGTTCATCTCATCACCTTCTGTGTACCAATACAGTTTAGTTGTGAGCAAGGGGGAGGTTTAAAAGGAACCAATCCGTGTGTGCAGGAAAAGGTTTCTGGGATGTTGGGGAACAAAGACAATGTCCTTTGTGCTCTGGCCTCCATTTCAGCTTCATCTCTTTTCTATCCAAGCAGCTTTTCCTAACGCATTTTCTGCGCTGTAACTTTACACGTCTTGGGAACACGCACACAGAGAAGAAAACTTTGCTTTTAGATTACTGCTTGTAATAATTTTACCCAGTGTTATGTCTTCTGTGCTGAGATATTTAGGCCAAGAAGTACTTGCTGGACTTCTAAATCTAGAAGGATTTTCTATTATTTTCTTTTGTAGAGGAGCTCCACAGTACTGTCAAAACTCCCTCGGAACCGTTGCTGGATTTATGTATAAGCTAAACAAGCTATAGCTTAGGGCTCCACTCTTTTGGGGCCCCCCAAAAAATTTAAAGGAAAAAAACCTGGATGTACATTCCCAAAATATAAGATAAAAAACAAATAAAATAAAACCTACATACAGCAACAGTGTTTTGTGTTGTGTAGGCTCCTGTGATGTAAGTAATAGGCCCTGCCTGTATTTCACTATTAATATACTTCTTCTTAATTGTATTTCAGTTCAACAATTACTTTGATAAAATACATATTTTGTTATGTGCAAATGGCTTTAGATACCTATTAGGCCCATAAATTTGATCGCCGAAGAATAGATGCTTTTGAATTATGGTGCTGGAGGAGACTCTTGAGAGTCCCATGGACTGCAAGAAGATCAAACCTATCCATTCTTAAGGAAATCAGCCCTGAGTGCTCACTGGAAGGACAGATCGTGAAGCTGAGGCTCCAATACTTTGGCCACCTCATGAGAAGAGAAGACTCCCTGGAAAAGACCCTGATGTTGGGAAAGATGGAGGGCACAAGGAGAAGGGGATGACAGAGGACGAGATGGATGGACACTGTTCTGGAAGCTACCAGCATGAGTTTGACCAAACTGCGGGAGGCAGTGGAAGACAGGACTGCCTGGTGTGCTCTGGTCCATGGGGTCACGAAGAGTCGGACACGACTAAACGACTAAAACAACAGGCCCATAAATTACCATATAGCATATATTTATTACAAAAAACAGCGACAATTTGTTGTTGAGAAAGGACAGGTGGACATATAAAGGGCCCCATTACCTTCAGTAGCTTAGGGCCTCATCAATCCTAAATGCGGCCCTGCTGGCAACACACCTAGGGGCATCTGAATGTTTCTTATGAAAAAACCAAAACAACTCTAGGCCTACCAGATCTGCTGGTACTTACACTTCATAGTTTTCACAGCTACTTTCTGGGTAGTTCCATCAGGATTGCTGAGATTCCCTTCCATGACTGATCCAAACTCCCCTAAATGAAGAAGGGGAAAAAACACCTTGCATTTATATCTGTCCAGCACTTAGAAATCAGTCATTAGCTTTATTGGGCTTTCTTAAGGAATGTTTCATTCTGGATGGTTTTATTTGATGTTTTAAATATATGTTGCACACCGCTTTGAGATTTTAAAATTAAAAATATAAAGCAATACAGAAATGAAAAGAAATGAAAAAAGTGGAAAGAAGTAGAAGTCTCAGCAAAGGAAGAATGGATACAAAAACATGGCATATGCAGAAACAGCAGAAATATGCAGAAACTTACTGGAAGAATAAGAAATCAAGATAAACTTTTTAATGAAAGAATGGAAATGGTTTATTGAATATTTACAGATAAATTGCAAACAGATAAAAAACATTGGCAGGATTATTGTAATAACCTGCAGTTTCACAAGAGTATATATTTAAAGTAGATAATTAAATGAGGAGATTAAATGAATTTGGATATGCGGAAGATATTAAAAAATAAATTTAAGGAACCGCAGAAAGAGGGGGAAGGAAGGATGTCAAACTTTGAAATGTTAAATGGATTGTAAAACTAATGAAATGTATAAACTTGAAAAGTAGAAATAAAAACTTTTTTAAAATAATGAAATGAAATGAAGTAATGAAATGTAATGAAATGATGATAATGAATTTAATAATGATGATGATGATGATGATGATGTAGCCTTTCCTGTGAGTTAAGTGTGCTTCAACCCTTTGATGTTTTCCCAGGGAGCAAGTCTGGTCTTGTAGATGTTAAGGGAGCTAGATTTCACCTTGCCCAGCAGAGGGCAAGCAGGAGCTTTCTCCTGCCAGTCCGGGGAGCAGAAGGACTCACTTAGGGTTTGCCATTCTTACCTTCTCCCAAGATCTTCCCCAGAGCCAGGTTGGTCCTAACAATCACAACATCCTGGAGTTTCTCCTGTAGCTCTTCGCTCACACCAAGGCTGCCCACTGCAAGAGAGGCCTTCTGATGAGTTGGGGAAAAGGGAGACGGCACACATTTTGATTCAAAAGCCTAAGACAACCAGAGGACACCTGCTGGCACCCAAGGAAGCGGGGGGGCCTCTTTTATGCTTTAACTCATTGGTAGGCAAACTAAGGCCCGGGGCCTGGCCCAATCACCTTCTAAATCCGGCCCACGGACGGTCCAGGAATCAGCGTGTTTTTACATGAGTAGAATGTGCCCTTTTATTTAAAATGCATCTCTGGGTTATTTGTGGGGCAAAAGAATTCGTTCACCCCCCCCCAAAAAAAAATATAGTCCGGCCCCCCACAAGGTCTGAGGGACAGTGGACTGGCCCCCTGCTGAAAAAGTTTGCTGACCCCTGCTTTAACTTTAGCTTGGTGAACACCAAGCTGCAAAGTTACGTAGTACAGCTTTTCCTTGACTATTCTACTTCAGAGCAGGGGTGAATGATCTAGTGACTGACTGACCCTTGAGAGGGGGATTTTCTCTTCCTTACCAAAAAAGAAAAGTAGAGTATCAGCAAGTGACTTATAAAACTTTAAGAGCGTCTAGCATAACATAGATAAAAGCCATACAAAAAACCCATAAGGCAGGCAGCAGCAATGTACATATATATCTCCATCAATAAGCACCATCAACCGCTAAACGCCTGGGAGAAGACATACGTTTTACTTGACAACAAAAGGATACTAATGATGGTGCGGGGGGGGGGAATCTCTCTAGGGGTCCTCCACAAGTGAGGAGCCACCACTGAAAAGGCCCTGTCTATCATTGTCACCCTCTGTGCCTCCATCTTGGAGGGGGCACCCAGAGGGCAGCCTCAGATAAATAATTTTAATCCATCAAATGCGTTACAGCGGTACCTCAGGTTAAGTACTTAATGCGTTCTGGAGGTCCGTTCTTAACCTGAAGCACCGCTTTAGCTAATGGGGCCTCTTGCTGCCGCTGCGCTGCCGGAGCACGATTTCTGTTCTCATCCTGAAGCAAAGTTCTTAACCCAAGGTACTATTTCTGGGTTAGCGGAGTCTGTAACCTGAAGCGTATGTAACCTGAAGCGTATGTTACCTGAGGTACCACTGTTTTTTGTTTTTTTTAAATAAAGAAACAAAACATTAAGCAGCTGTAGTGACACATCCAAAACTTACGTGTCAGTTCAACAGCTCTGCGGCCGTAGGACTTCTTTGCTCTGTAATTTACAGCCAGTTCTGACTCATCACTGCTGAAGGCGTACCTAAGAGCGGGTGGGTGGACAGAAAGCACAACATTGTCATGGCGCCGTAACAGTATTCCCCGCAGCCTGAATTTTATGGAAAGCACGGAATTCACAGCTGCAGAACGAGGCCAGGGGGTCGTCACAGACAGGTGTTGGGCTCACAATGAATTAAAAACAATAGGAAACGTCACTATTCTCATGTTTTTCCTTTGAATGGCTTGACCGATACACTCAATTCCATTACTTTATCTCAAATAGACTCCTGAATTAAACTTGACTATGAAAGAATGCTGAGTCACTCAGCTATTTTGGGGCAGGGGGGGAAAGCTATGTGGATTATTCATTTCCTATTCCTATAACCACGCTCTTATGAATAACAATGTAAAACCCTATAAACTTTCGCTTCCGTACACTGTTGTGCTTTCCCTTCCTGGCTCGCAGTTCCAAGCTTCTCAAAGAGAAACCAAGACTTTCTGAGCTGGAAAGGCCAAAGCGATTAACCTGAAGGCAATTAACATGCATAGAAAAAGAAAGAAAGAAAGAAAAGGAGTAAGAATCATAGAAGAGGGACAAAGCACACAATAAATGGTTTATCTTTTTCTGAAATCCTGTCCCTCACCTCCCAAGTGGCTATTCTTATTGTTTTTAAATGCTTAGAGCTTTTAGTTTTTGAAATATGTTTTTATTTTATTTCAAATTATATTGTTTTACTGCTTTGTTGTTTGCTACTCTGTGCACCTTTGGGAGGAAGGCTGCAATAGACATTAATCATCATCATCATCATCATCACCCGAAGAGGGAAGTTTCCATCTAAACAAAACTAAGAGAGTCAGTTTCCTTACTTCCTCTAATATCCCAGATCAGCACAACAGAACACAAAAGACCAACATTTCACAATATCTGAGCTCAAATCACCCATAGTGCCCTCCAAAAAGCTGTGGTTTTGGTGATGTGATGGAGCTTGGGAACTGAGCAACTTGGAATAGCACCACTCAAGTGTACTAAGCTGTTGGGAGTTTTGCAAAGAAGGTAATAAGTTTACTTTAAAGCCAAACTCAACAAGTGTCTTTACTGAAAGCTGGTGTAGCTCAGAGGTATCTGAGGAATCGAAGACCTGTTAATATTTCTGCAGCAGGGTCCCAGCAACCTCCATGTCTCCAGCAACTTACAGCCACCCAATTGGCAGGGAAAGGGAGACTTTTTACCCACTGCTAAGAAGTCTTCTCACTTAAGAGTGAAAGGAGGAAAGTAAAAGGAGGAGAGTCAGCCATTCTTAGGGTCATTCTGGAGAAGGGAGAACACCAAGGAAGAGTTATTTTGTACGCTCCAAAGCAAAGCATTTAGAGACACCGAAAACATAAGGTGCTCCAGTTTCTACAGAATGGTGTGCACGTTCCGTTGTGTGCAGTTGAACCTCAAGGAAAATACAACTTACATTGCGCCAAAATAAGACATTGGAGTGCCAAACTGTTTGCCCGCATGAAGGGCAGTGTGTGGAGTTGCAATGCATCTCTAAATATTATTCTTGCATAATTGTAGGATTATACTGTTGTCTTAGAAGGGTCTGTCATGACGCGACACTGCACTTCTGAATTTGCCACTGCACTACCAGTATAACTTGCTAAAGGGCAGACCAGATGTGTATCTGTTGATTAAATATATGGATACGAAGAGTTGGTGGGAGGGTAGCTTTCTACACTAAAGGAGTGCATGGGGAAGGGAGTGACCTGACCTCCCTACACTCTGCTGTCTAAAGACATTTTTGCCAGAGAGCTGGCAAGGAGGAAATGCCTTAAAGCCTTGGAAAGCAGAGGGAGGTGGTGGCAGCTGTCACACTGCTCCTGTAAGAAGTTCGCCTCTCCATCTCTTTTAATAGCCACACACCCCTCACCAGCCCTGCTTCATATACTTCTGGAACGGGTCCTAAACACTGGCAATGCCTAGAGGGGACAGAGTGTGCATGTTGCCCAGATAAGAATGAAAAACCATTTTTTTCTGCCTGAAAAAAGTTCCACACCCCTTTAAACAAATGTCACAGCGACTTGTTCGCTGTGATTCTCCAGGGTTCAATCTTTTAAAAGTTAGATCTGTGTAGGTTTGTGGGGGTGGGAAACACACCTTGTCCTTCTTGAACAGATGTGCAGAAACATGTACACAATCACCAATTAGGGCATTATTATTCTGCATCAAGGCTTTGCCACAGCCCGGTTTTCAGAGGCACATTAGGAATAAACTTCTCTCTCTCTCTCTCTCTCTCTCTCTCTCGCTCTCTCTCGCTCTCGCTCTCTCGCTCTCTCTCTGGCCCACTCAGAACAGCTGCTCATTTCAAAGGGTCTTACGAGAAAAGGGCAAGAGCTGATCTGTTTGGAACTTCGTTGTATAAGGTCACAAGGGAAGGAGTTTTGTGAGCTAGGATTACAATGGGCCTTTGTTGATGCAAGAAAACAATCCTTGGATAAAACAACAGCCTCCCATGTTAAAAGTGACTAAGGATCAGAAGAGCTGCGTGTTGTAAACAGGATTCACAGTTGCAAAGCACAACCTGTTCTATTTCTAGAGGGCTGCCCCCCAAAAATAAATCTGATTCCTGTGATTCCTCCCAATTCCTCTGATTCCTGATTCCTCCCAATTTTAGAATGACCAAAAGGGGACCTAAGGCAGAGGGTGCAGATTAGAGTGGCCTTAAGTTCAGAGAAACTTGACTGTGTGTTATTATTATTTTTTGTAAAAATATCCAAGACAATTAAAACCTTTAGCAGTCAGAAAACTGTTCACAATCACATGCTCAACTGAATCATGCTTCACAAAAAGGTTACAGAGCCTCTATTATCCAAATCTGCTCATTACATGAATTTGGGCTCTGTGTCCTTTCTTACTACTCACTGGGGCATCATGGAGCTAAAATCCAGTTTATTTAAATCCAATTTTGTTTCAGCAGGAGGAAATTAAACGGATGCTTAAGGCTGCCATCCTGTGCATTCTTGCTGGGGAGTCAGTCCTACAGACCTCTGTAGTTTTACTCAGAAGTAAGCCCCACTGTGCTCAATGGCTGTTACTGACATGCAAACATGCATACTATTTCAGCCTAACTTACTTAAGTCTTGGGCTGAGCCTGGGAGTTCAACACTTAACTAGCCAACCACACTGACCTCTATTCAATTATCCTGCTTAATATAGACTTTAGAAGGTAGCTTTCATCACAGAGGATCGTGACTATCCTAGATGCATGGAGGTTTTCTTGCTCAACATTAAAGGTGGACGTTAATGCCAGCTTTATGGCAGATTCCTCCTGAAACCCAGTGAACTTTTGCATCACTCAGTGAATTTCGGCTAAAGGTGTGAATAGGCCCCTAGAAACCAGCTCCCAAGCTTAAAATGATTAGAATTTTGTCTTTTTGTGTGTGTACTTACCCAAACTTGGTCTCTTCTGTGAACTTTTTCCTGATAATCACAGACACATACAGGATTAACCCGACGATGAAAACTCCACATATAAACCCGAGGACTATCGTCAGTGAATGTGTGCTTCTTGATGCTGGAGTTGAAGAAGAGGCAGTAGATACGAAACCTAAGACAATAAGACGCGTTACAGAGAAAAGGGAGTGGAGATCTTCATACAGTTTGGGGACCTGGGGAGTGTTACAGCGATGATTCTTCAACATCAACTTTGATGGACTGGTCATGTTGTGCGGATGCCTGATTATCGTCTTCCAAAGGAACTACTCTATTCCCAACTTAAAAATGGAAAGCGTAATGCCAGTGGTAAACAAAAGAGGTTCAAAGACTCAAGGCAAATCTTAAAAAAGATAGTATAAGCACTGACAACTGGGAAACACTGGCCTGTGAGCGCTCCAGTTGGAGAACAGCCTTTACCAAAGGGGTCATGGGCTTTGAAGACACTCGAACTCAGGACGCAAGGGAGAAACGTGCTAAGACGAAGGCACGCTTGGCAGACCCTCACCATGATCAACTCCCATCTGGAAACCTATGTCCCCACTGTGGAAGGACGTGTGGATCCAGAATTGGCCTCCACAGTCACTTACAGACTCACTGTTAAGACCATGTTTATGGAAGACAACTTTACTCGGCTATGAGTGATCGCCAAAGAAGAAGAAAAAGACAGTTTGGGGACCCGGGGAGCTGCTTATGAGGGAGAGTCACAAGAAGATTTCAAATATGTTCAGAGTAGGTGCAGGTGGATGGCTTCACTAGATTTGCCTGTTCCAAACTGGCCCCTACTGAAGGTTCAAGATGCAACTATAATGCAATACAGGGACGCGGGTGGCGCTGTGGGTAAAACCACAGAGCCTAGGACTTGCTGATCAGAACATCAGTGGTTTGAATCCCCGCGACGGGGTGAGCGCCTGTTGCTTGGTCCCTGCTCCTGCCAACCTAGCAGTTCGAAAGAACATCAAAGTGCAAGTAGATAAATAGGTACCACTCCGGCGGGAAGGTAAATGGCGTTTCCGTGCGCTGCTCTGGTTCGCCAGAAGCGGCTTAGTCATGCTGGCCACATGACCCGTAAGCTGTACGCCGGCTCCCTCAGCCAGTAAAACGAGATGAGCGCCGCAACCCCAGAGTCGGCCACGACTGGACCTAATGGTCAGGGGTCCCTTTATCTTTACTTATATTGCAATATCCATCTCTCAGTTCAATCACAAAATCATAGTAGAGTATTTACACGGCATGCGCCCTGATTTGTTTGCAAGGATGCAGAGGAACATTATGTCATTCAAAAGCTATCTCACGCCACAGTGGCGAGAATGTTAATTGCCCCAAAAAGGAAAGAAGCAGAAGTCCCAGCAAAGGAAGAATGGATACAAAAACTTATGGAATATGCAGAAACAGCAAAACTTACCAGAAGAATAAGAAATCAAGATAACAAACTTTTTATAAAAGAATGGAAATGGTTTATTGAATGTTTACAGGTAAACTGTAAACTGATAAAAACATTGGCAGGATTATTGTGATAACCTGCAGTTTTATAAGAGTATATATTTAAAGAAGATGGATAAATGAGCAAATTAGGTTAATTTGGATATGCAGAAGATATAAAAAATAAATTTAAGGAACTGCAGAAAGAGGGGGAAGGAAGTCAAATTTTGAAATGTCAAAATGATTGTAAAATTAAGGAAATGTATAAAATTAGTGAAATGTATAAACTTGAAAACTGTAATTTTTTTAACAACAACAAACAAAGTTGTCCCCCGCCTTCCACTGCATTTCTCCAACACTTTTCTTATTGCAAAAAGTCTGATTTGGGGGTGGCAAGCATGTGTGTTGCGCAACAGCTCCAAATAAACTTTTATTGCACAGCCTTGAATTTGCCAGATTATGATAAGAACATAAAGATGAGCTTGCTGGATCAGACCAATGGCCCGTCTAGGCCAGCATCCTGGTCTCACAGTGGGCAGCCTGTGAGAAACCCTCAAGCAGGGCCCAAGCACAAGAAAACTCTCCCCACCTGTGGTACCCAGCAACGGACATTCAGAAGCATCACTGCCTCTGACTGTGGAGGCAGAGAACAGCTATTGTGGCTAATAGCCTTATGCTTTGTTCATTCGCCCAATCCTCTTTTTAAAGCCATCTAGGTTGGCCACTGAATTCCACCTGAAGAAACAGCCAGGCTGCAAGTGTCCCTTAGCTCATTATCGCGCTACATTAGTCCAACTTACCATTTCCTGGAATAAAAACTGCCACTGGATCACTGAATGGCCCCACTCCGCCATTTGTAATGGCAGCGACTCGCACCATGCAGGTTGCATTGATGGCCACGATTGGAATGTGAACGGCACTGGAATCTTTACCGGTACGCGAAGAGAGATTCTGCTGCAAAGGGGGGAAAGGTTCTTTAAAATGCAGAGGAATTAATGGGGAAAGACTTTCCCCTTCGTAGACCCATTTCCTCCCATTAGACTAGATAATTAGCTGAAAAGCCAACATTTATCCCCATCCAACAGATTTCCAGATCAGATTTCATGCTTGTTTGCTGAACATAAACAGGCAGCGCTCATGTCAAGAGAACAGCTATTGATTCATGGAGAGCCACAGTTTCCGTGAAGAGAGCACTCCAAGTACGGGATGGTAGCTCTGGCCAGCATTTCTTTGTAAACGCTCTTACTGCCAGAGTCAAAATTCAACATAAATTTTACCCAGTTCTACAAGCTTCCAGCTGTGGACCATCAAGCCCCGTCATTGCAAACCTGTCCTCCTTACAGGCAGAGCCAAATAATCAAGAGGGGGGTACAGACGAACAAAAAACTCCCCAAACTGGAGTGCTATCAGAAAGCCGAGGATGGGAATGGTTTGTAAAATTCATTGCTTTCTCTCTGTGCTCAGCCTTTTCCCACTCCTTTCTGAATTTGCAAAGCCACAGGAATGTTCCCAGCACGAAGTACCACTTAAACCACAAAGTTAATGTGTTTAATTAGAGAAAAACCATTACTGACATTGATTAAGGATTGTAAACCTTTTATGGATTTTTTGTGTGAACGAGAGAATGAACTTGGAATATCTGGATTTGAAGACTGAAAAAATATTGGTTTACGGAAGATAGAGTGGTTGGAAGTTAATGAGTGAATATGATATTTAGCTGCGGGACAAAGAACCGGGAGTCTTTTTATCTTTCTTTATTCTTTATTCCATCTCTCTCTCCTTTCGTTCTTCCTTCCTCCTTTCCCCCCTTTTTACTCTTTTCTTCTTCTTTCCACCTCCGTTCCTTTTAAGATGAAACATCTCTTTTATTTCAGTGTATTATGAAAAGATACTTTGTATTGGATATGAACTTTTGTATATCTTTGGACAAGGATCAATAAATATAATTAAACACATAAAAAGTGCCACTTTGAAGATAAACAAATGGGGCAAAACCAGTTGCTATACAAGGAACAGAGAACAGGCAAAATAACTGGGCTTCAGGAATCTTGGGAACCCAAAGCCAACCTCATCTCACACGTTTGCCCATGACTATTTGACACAGAGCATCAGAGTGCAATCTTATGTCCACTTGCTTGAGAATAAGCCCAATTAACAAAAATGAGACTTAGAAATAATTACTTAAACATGCACAGGACTGCAACCTTAAGATATTCTTGAACGCTTACTAATGGTCTGGAAATTACCTGTGTTTAAAGCAGCACTGCCTTTAAGGAAAATATTAATTCTGACAACTAGGCATTCTCTTAACACTTGTGATATTTGTTTGTTTACATGGGAATTCAGCAGACAGGCAAGGTGCCGTTTTGATCTTAGATGCCATGCTTGTAGCTAGAATTCCTCCAGAGACGAAATGGGCATTTGGGCACTTACAGCTAAAGCACCTTTACGCAGGAGCAAAGCAAATTGTTTTAATAAGCTTAAGTGACGCAGCGGCATCCCAGCCAGATATCCCTCCAAGAACGCTAGCATATCTGATTTGACACAAGAGATTCCCCTTTCCCGTCAATTCCCTGTTATTTCCTGGACATCTAGTGAGTCAGCTGAACAGCTGAAAGAATGACAGGTCCTGCTTCCTGCTGAACCGCTACTGAAAACCAAAACACACACAAAATAACTTCTTCTGTGACTCACAGTCCAGCTGGCAGGCTGGCATGTAATGCTCAGTGTCTTTGTAGGGCAATGTGTTACGGTAGTACAGCTTCAACTGAATAAGGCTGTATCAAAGGTCTGTGTAAACAGGAACTAGGCAAAATTATGAAACGATTAAGGCTCTCAGCTGATCATTAATAGACCGACTGGCACACACACCACCCCAAAATGGGGAAGCTTTAACAAAGGAGGGATTGGATACTGGTTAACATGGAGCAAAGGGTGGTGATGAAGGGTCACAAGTCCAATCTGTTTATGTACCCCTTTATCTAGCCAAGGTTTGTTCTTGGTTTACAGCTCGTGGTTTATCTGGAGCAGGGCCAGATTTAGGTTTGATGAGGCCCTAAGCTACTGGTGCTGTGGGTTAAACCACAGAGCCTAGGACTTGCCAATCAGAAGGTCGGTGGTTCGAATCCCCGCAATGGTGTGAGCTCCCATTGCTCGGTCCCTGCTCCTGCTAACCTAGCAGTTCGAAAGCACGTCAAAGTGCAAGTAGATAAATAGGTACCGCACCAGCAGGAAGGTAAATGGCGTTTCCGTGCGCTGCTCTGGTTCGCCAGAAGCGGCTTAGTCATGCTGGCCACATGACCCGGAAGCTGTACGCCGGCTCCCTCAGCCAGTAAAGCAAGATGAGCGCCGCAACCCCAGAGCTTACTTGCACTTTATCTACTTGCACTTTGACGTGCTTTCGAACTGCTAGGTGGGCAGGAGCAGGGACCAAGCAACGGGAGCTCACCCCATTGCGGGGATTCGAACCGCCGACCTTCTGATCGGCAAGCCCTAGGCTCTGTGGTTTAACCCACAGCGCCACCCGCGTCCCTTGCACCATCTTACAAGCGTATTAAACTCTTGCCTAAGCAACTTCTGCTGCATAATAAATCCGTCCTGTTCCTAGAAGCCACTTGTCTTTTGAAAGGGCTTCATTAAGAACTTACAGCCTAACAAATGATTTTCTGTCGTACTCAGGAATGTTCAAGAGCAAACAATGGAGTGTGTTTTATTACATCTCAGAAGCTGCAGGCACATGCAGAATGTGAACTGCCTAGATATTAAAAGTTTTGGCATCCAGCGTTTTTCTAGAGAGGGAAGATGCTTAGATTTATGCCTTCCTTCTCTGAGGATGAAGGAAGTGACCTTTAGTTAAGACAAGTTGATGAGTTTGCGTCTCCACCCTAGACTAGTCACAAGACCATATTATCACTTTGCTGATTTCAGTGGGTTTGAGCCCTTTGATATCCAGATCCCAAAAACATTAAAAAGGGAACAGAAAACTCAAGTCGTACAGAAAACAAGCATGAATCACATTCCCCCCTTCCATGGGAGATTTGAAAACAACGAAAACATTTGCACACTGACATGAGCGCAAGCCCCAATGAACACAACAGTGCTTACTTCAGCGTAAGCATGCATAGGATTTTGGTGAGCCGTGGTGCAGTTTCTTTTCAATACCTCAAACTTTGGACTCAAAAAGCCAATCTAATATAAATAAAATCAACTCAGTGGAAACCTAAACTAGGAATCAGGATCTATTTTGGATCATGCTTCTATCACAAGTATAAACTTCTTGTTTTCTTTTTTCCTTCCTCATGGGACTTGTAGCTATGTGATGCCACAATTTTTCTGATGTAGGCCAACACATTTCAGATAAAAGTGGGGACTTCACTGCCGTTCTCTACCTGCTCAGAGGCTGGGAGGGATGAGTGAGTCTTGCTGTGAGTAAGACTCCCCACTCGACAAGGTCTCGAAGTTCAACAGGCTTTTTGCAATGCTCTCATAAGCAAACACAAAAGGCTTCAAAGTATTAGATCACAGGGTCTTCCCAAACATCCTTTTAAGCTACAAGCAGCTGAAGATTTTAGGGCCAAATCTTCTTCACTCATTCATAAAGCCAGGGATATAGGATGAATGCCAAGTCTGGAGCAGTGCAGACTTAAGAGCCTCACGGTGCAATCCTGTGCATGTCTACTTAGAAATACATTCTTACTGAGTTCAGCAGGACTAACCATGAGATAAGTGAGTGTAGGACTGCCACCTCAATCTCTTAACTGCTGCTAAATATCTGGGGCCATTTGCAGAGGGAACATCCCTTTCCCTGAGCAAATTCACCACTCTGCCTTAGTTGCATTTGTGCGATACATCAGTACCTGCATTTCCCTCAATCAGTGTTCAAAATAACTTTAAAAGCTCTGGTCAATAGGAACCTGGGTTGTTCACTGGCCTGGTTTGCATGTAACACTAACCCATAGTTTATAAACCATAGTTTAGCAAACCATAGTTGATCATTGGGCCCAGCCTTACTGCTTCTCTATGGTTTATAAAATACAATTCAAATATGCTTGGCAAACCAAGGTTTCCTGTTGGTCTAAAAACCTTGGCTATCATTAACCATTGTTTAGGGTGACATGTGAATGAAGGCATTGTTTCAATACTTACAAACACCTCTGAATTCTGCCACACATGAGAGATGCTGTAGCCTTGAAGTTCACCGTTCATCTGTGCAGAGGGAGGCTTTATCCACGTGACGATCACAGAAGAGCTGGACTCATTGACGGAGAGCGTGACATTCCCAGGCGGAGCAGAGGGAGCTGAAAAACACACAGTGGAAAAACAGAAGGCTGGTCATTTCCCCATTTTGTTGACTTTGGGAAGATGCAAGCTTCAGAATTGTTGGGGTGAGAGCATACAGCATTCAAAGAACAAGACAAAAACAAAAGTATGTAGATCACAAGATAGGCACAGGGTATGTAGGGCTTGCTAGTGCCTTCCACTCTTGATTTTTTTTTTAAGGGCTACATGCACTGCTTGAGTGGCACAGAAAGTGAATACCCATCTGCTAAGAAAATGGCACAGATACGAGAGCAGGGTGGGTGGGTGCGTTGCTCATCATCAGTGATGTCACTGGCGCTGTCCAATAGGCGCCCACAACATTCACACAACTACATTCCCATGCAGCAGCCGCTATCCTAATTGACAGTACAGTGGTACCTCGGGTTACAGACGCTTCAGGTTACAGACTTTGCTAACCCTGAAATAGTTTGTTTTACTTACCTCCTTCTGTTGTATTGGCAGTTATCCACGGGCTGAAGGCAGACCAGCCTACTTCGTTCATACAAGAAACACGGATGTTATAATCCTTCAAGGCCCCCAGATTCTGAATACGGTACAGATGAGGAGGCACAGAAGTGTTGAAAACCAACACAGAGGCATTGCTTGGTGCAAAAGCATCCATCACCTGAAATGAGGAACAAAAATGGTTAAGGTAAAGATGATTCAGCAAGGAGTTCCAAAGCTACAGGCACAATTATCTGCCAGCAGCCCTGTGTAATTTGCAAGAAGAGAAGTGGCAAGCCCACCCTCTCGCCACAGAAAATAAGCATGTTGAACGGCAAGGAATGGCTCATGGCTGAGCACATGGGGAAACTTTCCTTTCCACAGAGTTACAGCAAATGCCCCAAGGCGAGAGGAAGAGAGGTTTCAAGGCCCAACACAAGCTACAGAAACACATTTGGAGTCAAACCAAAGTTTCTCCATGCGTTACTCATGTGAAGAGGGAAAGCAACTAGAAATTCCTGAATCTGCCTAGGCCTAGTTCTCACCTGAGTCATAAAATGAGCTGCAAATCTTCACGGTGAGGGCTTATGTGACTAGATGTGTCCAGAGAGAAAACAAACATACAAATCCCTGTACCTAGAAAATAAGAATGGCAGGGAGAAACTAGAACCCTCATCCCTGACCTGCTATCTTTTTGTGTGCAGGGTGTCTGAGTGTTTGTTTTCGCAAATACATTTAGTCTTTGTATTTAGCCACATGATTTCCCACCTGCAGCCAAATAAAAGTGAAGGCAATGATTCTTACCGTCACCCTCAGTGGAGAACAATTTTTCTCTGTTTTGTCGCCCCTCTCAAATTATCATTAAAACAAGCCAGGTACATTGTACAAGGGACGCGGGTGGCGCTGTGGGTTAAACCACAGAGCCTAGGACTTGCTGATCAGAACGTCGGCGGTTCGAATCCCCGCAACAGGGCGAGCTCCCGTTGCTCAGTCCCAGCTCCTGCCAACCTAGCAGTTCAAAAGCACGTCAAAGTGCAAGTAGATAAATAGGTACCACTCTGGCGGGAAGGTAAACGGTGTTTCCATGCGCTGCTCTGGTTCGCCAGAAGCGGCTTAGTCATGCTGGCCACATGACCCGGAAGCTGTACGCCGGCTCCCTTGGCCAATAAAGCGAGATGAGCACACAACCCCAGAGTCGGCCACGACTGGACCTAATAGTCAGGGGTCCCTTTACCTTTACCTTTACATTGTACACGGCACATTTATCTTTATTTTTTTTAATTTTTCTTTTTGCAGAACCCAGTCTCATTCTCCCTGCCTGTATTGCTCAAATCTAGTCTCATCTCTGGCAGCATTCACTTCACTGCTGCACACCACCAGACAGTAAACGAAAATTAAGCAGCCCTTGATGCTACCAAATGCTCTGGCAGGCAAATACGCAAGCATAATCAAAACCAGCTGTTCCTGTTTTTGGTGTACTTCATTTGCCATCCCCTTACTGGCTCTTGTGTTCCCAAAGGTGTCTGAGGCCATTTGGTCCAGAGAAAGGAACCAAACCAAATCACACACCACACCGCCTTTTAAAAACATCAACACCATAGTAATTCTGGCCTGGTTTTGTGAGTATCAAATGCTAAGAGCTCTAAAAACGGTCTTGCCTTGGGGATTTTGAATGCTCTCGAATTCATAAATTCTGTTCCTTTATTACAGTACAGTGGTGCCTCGCAAGACGAAAAACACGCAAGACGAAAGAGTTTTCCGTTTTTTGAGTCGTTCCGCAAGACGAATTTCCCTATGGGCTTGCTTCGCAAGACGAAACGTCTTGCAAGTTCTTGCGAGTTTGTTTCCTTTTTCTTAAAGCCGCTAAGCCGCTAATAGCCGCTAATAGCCGTGCTTCGCAAGACGAAAAAACCGCAAGACGAAGAGACTCGCGGAACGGATTAATTTCATCTTGCGAGGCACCACTGTATCTGTAAAGTGGCCAGTTACAGAATATTAAGTCATAGGGTTTCTTTAAAAATATTATTTTTTTCCAACCTATTTCCGGAGTTTCAGCAGGAATGCAGCATCAAATACCACTGACATGACAACATCAAGAAAGGAAAGGCATCACCCTGTTCCTGATCCACCCACCGCAACTCACAAAAGCAGCTTATTAGAGTTTCCAGAAGGCAACTGGTGCTGCTTAAGCTGATACTGTGGAAATATCACATAGGAAACGCAATAACCAGGCTCACAGATGCTTTTATGTTTCGGCACTAGAAGGAATACATCTGTGCAAAATGAGATATGGGGGAAAATATGCCCTGACCTTTCTTAGGAATAAGTCCCAGCTAGAGGAAATCCTGATGCTGCCCAGTTATCTGCATGTAAGGGCACTTCCTCAGCTGAATGAAACAATTATTTAAAAGCGGAGCATGATCACAAAGGGCGGCCTGCTGTGCGGATGTGACTCTGCACCCCTGCATTGCCCCGGACGTTGGGTTTCTGCCTGCATCCTGGGGCTTTCCATTGGTCTACAACCAGCCATGGAAAGAACAGGGAGCAATGGGCTTGTGGCTTCCAGACCGGAGTTCTTGTGACCTGTTTTAGCCAATCGTGGCAGCTTCGGAGTGTGTTGCTCGGTCACTTATCCATGAGATCTTGTGGCTCTGCAACGGATCTCTGGCTGGGGTTTTTCTCTGTTCTGCACAGAACCTAGCTGGTGCAAAAATTTATTTTATAACTAGGGATGCTGGCGAATTCTGACGGAAATGAGAGCAGAAGTCACTTATTCATCCAATGTCCAGAATGGAAATCAATCCAGTGAATATTTACTCTTGCTTTTGGTCTGCAAACAATACACCATTGAATTTAAGCCTCCTGCCATTTGCATCGAGTTTCCTTTGCATTTAAATGAATGGAGTGGAACAACGAAATTAAATGGGTTGCATAATTTCACCACAGTGGGCAGCAAGATGAACAGCATAGTTTGTGGCAGAAGGCGGACTACAGCAGAATGGAAGCGGCGGTGCATGTGACAAATACAGGGAATAATAATAATAATAATAATAATAATAATAAATTTTATTTATACCCTGCCCTCCCTGGCCAGAGCCAATGCCTTCTTTCATCCCTTTCATCCCTTTACATAGGGATCTACTTGGTCCATTGAGCTGATATTGTCAACATTGACTGGCAGCAGCTCTCCAGGGTCACGGCCACAGTCCCTTCCCAGTCCTACCAGGAGATGCCAGAAACTGAAGCAGGTACTGCCTGCTTGCAAAGCAGAGGTGGTGGTCAACTAAGTTGTACTCAGAGTAGACCCGTTGAAATTAATGGCCACAAGTCTATTAGGTCCAGGGACGCGGGTGGCGCTGTGGGTTAAACCACAGAGCCTAGGACTTGCCGATCAGAAGGTCATGGTTCGAATCCCCGTGATGGGGTGAGCTCCCGTTACTCGGTCCCTGCTCCTGCCAACCTAGCAGTTTTAAAGCATGTCAAAGTGCAAGTAGATAAATAGGTACCGCTCCGGCGGTGAGGTAAATGGCATTTCCGTGCGCTGCTCTGGTTCGCCAGAAGCGGCTTAGTCATGCTGGCCACATGACCCGGAAGCTGTATGCCGGCTCCCTCGGCCAATAAAGCGAGATGAGCGCCACAACCCCAGAGTCGGCCATGACTGGACCTAATGGTCAGGGGTCCCGTTATCTTTACTATTAGGTCCACTAATTTCAATGGCCCCATTTTTCTGTTTTCCAAAAATGTTTTCTGCCAGAAATGATAGTGGTGAGGAAAGAATCAAGGGAACAGGTACCTGCCACCTTGCTGCTGTTCTCCTAGTCAAAATCACCCCTGAAAAATCTTTTTTTAATAAAGAAAAGAATAAAACAGCGCTGTTAGGATGCAGTCGAAACATATAAAAAAATCTCCAGTAGCACCTTAGAGACCAACTAGGTTTGTTCTTGGTATATGCTTTTGTGTGCATGCACACTTCTTCAGATCCTAACAGATACTGTTAGGATGCAGTTACTTGAGTTTGTGTATAAATGTGTAGCTGGACACTAATGAAGTTGTGGCTCTGTAGCTTATTGCCTCCAACCGGAGAATCCTGTTGCTTTTCTGGCAATCGCTAGCATGCTTTTGAAACATCCTTTTCCCCATCTCCAGCAGCAAATCAGTCTCCTCCCGGCCACTCAGAACATGCATAGGTGTTTTGTTGCCTGAACTAGCAGCTTCCATGGGATGTGGATTGCCACCAGCAGCATAATGTAAAGAGCAGAATGTTAAACAGAGCAGGGAGACTTAGTTCACAATCCCTGTCCAGCTGCAAAGTTGGCCAGTTATCTGCTCTCAGCCCAACCTATCTTGCAGGGTCGTTGTGAGGATATGGGGAAAACATTCTGCACTCCTCTGTGCTCTTTTATTGGGGGAAGCATGGGTTGAAATGGCAGCAACGAAATAATTGAAGCATGCTTGTGTTTTCGAGGTCATAAACGCTGGATGGCAAGAGTGTTGTTCCTCGTATCCCGTTTCTCCAGGCGAAATAAACAAGCAAACGCCCCCTGCTTCAGCATTCAACAGCTACATTAGGGGCTTCAGCCCTAATATACAGGCTGCCTCCACCCCCCAGAAATCAACGGGATGCAAGTTGTTTAACCATGTGGAGGATGGCAGCCCACAAATACCCTCCCCCCAGGAATTTAGGATGCACAAACTGTTATTGTGAAGCCGGTGGCTTCTGAGAAACCCCAAACGCCAACCGCTTAGATACCAAAGCTATTTGGCTGCGCTCCAACATCCACACAGTTCTGTTCATTTGACACGGCATGACCAAAGGGAAGCAAGATAAAATGCGTTCAGCGTTACTGTGAAATGTGTCAAATGCTTAAGCAGACAGTGCCTCGCTTGATAACTTCTGGCCATTTTCAAACTGCAAAGCGTTTTGCCGGTACAATCTTTGAAAGTTGAAATAGTTAAGGCAGAATTCACAGGAGGGGCAGGATCCAACCTTGTTGTTTTTTTCTCCAGCCACCATCCCAGCCAGAGGGCACTCAAGGCGACATGCAATAAAACCTAAACTCATCGCCATAAAACCCAGAGTTAAACATTTAAGAACAGCAACAGGAAAACACACAGACACCCTGCACACATTAAGCCAGCGTGTTCAACAACTTGGCAAACAAAAAGGTTTCTGCTTCCAGGAAGAGCATTAAAAAGAAGGGACCTCATCTGATCTCCTGGGGAAAGGAGATCCAAAGTGTTCTCTGTACAGTATCATAAAAAAATAGGCAGGTGTCTAACACCAGGTCAGCCCATTTAGCTCAGTACTGCCTACACGGACTGGCAGCAGCTCTCCAGAGTTTTAGACAGGTTTCTCTCCCAGGGATGCAACTGAACTTGGGTTCTTCTGCATGCAAACAACCATCATCTTATAGCTGTGCCCGCTTGGAGATGGGGGGGGGGGCTCAGTGAGAGCCTCTTGCTCAAGGCCTCCCAAAATCTGGCACCAGTAACTATACAATCCCGATCCATACTGTTGACCAGGGCAGTTTGTGCATAGGCAGCCTTTGGATGTGTGCACACAGACTCTGGCACAAAGGATGCCTAGAGCATGTGGAGTTTGAAAGCCAAGCTAGCAAGTGCCACCTTGTTTCTCTCCACCGTGCACTCAGTTACACCTGGAATGGATGTTTGCAAAAAGCTTACGTATCAGCTCCTGAAAGCAAGGGTGAAAGAGAGGCCTGTCCCAGATATAGAACCCCTTTGCACCTGAAACTCGGCCCTCTGAGCACATTTCAGGAGTATTTTGAGGTCTACCTGTTTAGGCTGGCCCTCAGTGCTTTGGGTTAGGTCTGCAAAGGTCTTGTGAGACAGCAAGGTTTCATTCTGTTACGCTGGGATCTTCTGCTCTTGTTCTCCCCCTCAAGCCTGAAGGAAAGGGCGGACCACGGATGTAAGTAAATCAATGAACTCAAAGGGAGCTGTGTTGCCGTTTCACCTGCATGACTGAGCCAGTCATCACCAGACGCTTGCTATTTAATTTCTTGCAGGCAGACACTGAAGGAGTTGACGCCAGGCTTTTGTACCCTGAACTCATAAAATCGACAACAGCCACTTGGACCTCGGTAGCTCAGATGACTCACTTATGAACTCTGATCGGAGTTCCTCCTACATGTGCCACCCAGAATTCTCTTTAAGAAGAACTGAAAATGCCAGTTGCGCATATTACTCCAAGCAATGAGGAAGGCGACTCTCTCTTTTTCTTTCCATCCACCCTTTGCTTTCTCTTCCTTTAGCTAAGCCTGGCTTCCAGGAACCCAGGTTAACAGAGGAGAAGCAGCTTACTGTATCCTTTATTTTCAGTTTTATTCACTGCTTTAAGAAGAGCCCCAAAGCGACTTACAAAAAAAAATACAATAAAATAAAATAACCCAAACAGTAAAAATTGTACTTAATGCTAAAAAATGCAAAGTATCATTTCCTGTCCAGCCAAAAGATGAACACGAAGAACAAACCACATCAAGGTCCAAATGGCTGGTGACCATCACAGGGTCTAGATATATTTCCCTTCTGCATAACACTAGTTCTGTTTTCAAGGTTCCCTTTGCAGGAAGGCAAACTAAGACACGCAGGGAAATCCTGATTTGCAGCAGTGCACCCAGAAGAATTGCCACATTCCCCCATATTCTGCAGCCAGGGCTGGGGCAGCCAGAGGGCAGGGAAGTACTGTATTTTTTGCTCCATAGGGCGCACCGGACCATAGGGCGCACCTAGGTTTTAGGCGGGGAAATAAAGAAGAAAAAAAAATCCCCCCCCCCCCAGCCCCAAAGAGCAAAGAAGCCAAGACAGCCAGCGGGATCCATCCTCTTTAGCCACGCACAACCTCTCCAGCCTGGAGAGGCTGCGCGCGGCTTCATTTTTAGCCGCAGGGCTGGGACAGGGGAAGCCCGAGCTTCCCCCGACCCCAGCCCCAGAACAGGTCCAGAGAGGAGGCAGGTTAAGCAGCCTTGCCGCTCCCGGAGCTTGCGGGCTGGGGGAGTGCTCCAAAGGTTTGCGGATAGCTGCCTGAAGCCCGGGGAGCGCAGTGGGAGTTGGTGCTGCGCACCGACCCCTCTCGCTCTCCAGGCTTCAGCGAAAGCCTGCATTCGCTCCATAGGACGCACACACATTTCCCCTTCATTTTTGGAGGGGGAAAGTGCGTCCTATAGAGCGAAAAATACGGTACCAATGACTGCAACCTTATGCTCACTTGCTTGGAAGAAAGCCTCAACAGGACTTACTTCTGATGAGATTTGTATATATGACGGCACTGGAAGTACCATACGAAACATCAGGCAAAAGGAACCACACAAATGCTGAACAACGAATAAAGGCATACCTGAACTCTGCAGCGGCTCAAAAACGAATAGCCATCGAAGCCTGGGACCCAGGACACTGCTATCGTGTGAGCTGTTCTGCTCCTCACTTGCACCTCAAGAGGAGGGGAAGGGATTCCTGCATTAGAAAGAGCAAGATCTTCAGCAATTGTGCTTGAATATGGCAGCCAGCACAACACACACACACACACACACCATTGCCAGGCCTTCTGGACACCATGCAAAACCATCAGAATTGCTTGATTTTATGCATTGGGGAGGGGGCAGAAATAAAAACGGCCAAGCTATCTGCTTGCCAAATTATGACCAGACAGTGCCCACTATCCTATATGGTGGTTTACTCAAAATCAAATTCCACTGTATTCTGCAGGGTTTAAGAGTCTGGGAGTGTGCTTAGGATGGCAGCCAAAAAAGACATTTAGTAATAATAAAATAATAATAATAATAATTTTAATTTATTATTTATACCCCGCCCATCTGGCTGGGCTTCCCCAGCCACTCTGGGCGGCTTCCAACAAAGTATTAAAATACGGTGGTCTGTTAAACATTAAAAGCTTCCCTAAACAGGGCTGCCTTCAGATGTCTTCTAAAAGTCTGGTAGTTGTTTTTCTCTTTGACATCTTGTGGGAGGGCGTTCCACAGGGCGGCTACCACTACCAAGAAGGCCCTCTGCCTGGTTCCCTGTAACCTGGCTTCTCACAGTGAGGGAACCACCAGAAGGCCCTCGGCGCTGGACCTCAGTGTCTGGGCAGAACGATGGGGGTGGAGACGCTCCTTCAGGTATAATATGATTTTGTGTTTGTATTTGCTCCTCTCCCTTCTTCCAAGATGCTCAGGGTAAGTTTACGTGGTTCACCCCATCCCGGCCTGCCAAGCACACACCCCACACTTTTTTACTCACAACCATTGCAGAGAGGAGAGTGCTATTGCATTCAGGGCACTGTGAGAACAGGATGCTGGACTAGATAGTCAGTGGCCTGATCCTGCAGGGATCTTCTTCAGTGCTTATGCCTGCAGGGATTTGAACCCAGGTCTCCTGAGTCTAAGCGCAACACTCTAGCTCAGGTATGAGAAAGCTGTGGCCCTCCAGAGGGTGGACTTCAGTGTCCACCCGTGTCAGCCAGCATGGCTAAAGATCAGGGATAATGAGAGTTTTAGTCCAGCCACAACTGGTTCCCCACCTCTGATTTTGCAGCTTCAAAGCACCGTTAAGAAAAATGGGTGAAGATGACACTACAGTCACAGGGTTCAGTCTGAGCTCTGCAGCATCCTGACCACTACCTGGGACTCTGGCTTTCACCTTAAGTGTTGCTCTTCTGCTACGGAGGGGAAAGATCCCATAAAGGACTTTAAATAAGTGTCTGAAGGTCTCTTCTGTATGAGTGTTCCAGACAAGGCGCTGAAGGGACAGTGCAGGAACATCTGCTCCCACAAACACACATTGCTCCTGACTATACATCTACACATCGTCACAGTCTGGTTTTAATGAATTTTGAGTTATACAGTTTTATTTTTAAGTTGCTGTTAGCTCCCAGAGCAAGCTAGAAACGCAAGTAATTTTAGAAAAAGAATAGAAACAGTGTTATCCAAGCCAAAAGCCAATCCGTCTCGAGCAAACAAGAGTGTGTTTAAAAAAAAAGGCTTGGCAGCCAGTTTATTCAGGGATCACCAACCTTGAACACATTTGGAGTCATGAGAGAGTGTTTTGGGCAACAACCCCCCACCCCAATTGCTTCTCTCCCCCTTCCCCTGAGTCACCATTACTCTGACAGGGAGAAAAGAGAGTCAGAGAGAGAGAGAGAGAGAGAGAGAGAGAGAGAGAGAGAGAGAGAGAATGTGTGCATACACAGACATATTGCTTGCTTTTCCAGTTAAATCTGGGTAAAAGTCAGATCCATTAGGATAAATACAGATTTGTGTGATTCTGCTCAAGGTTCCCCACCCCATAAAAGCCAGCATCAAATTAAAGTTTACATCAGTAGACAGCGCAATAAAAAATCAAAAATCTGGTGCTTGACAGTAGCACAAAACCACTGATCCAATTTACAGATCTTTATGGTTTTAAATAGGATGACAACAAAAACAACCAATCACAGAACAATCAATCTATGATTGTGGGTTTGAGAGAATCCCTTGTAAAAATGATGAGAATCCATAAGGATCTGTGCCTCGGGTCCAATGGGGGAAAAAATCATGCCATTTCAAAATCTGTTTTATGGCGGGTGGAACTGGTTGGAAAGAAATAATGGAATAACTATTAGTTGACCATTTGAGGAATTACAGAATGATGAACTATTTTTGGAACACATTGCAAGAAACACAGCAAAGCAGAGCTAAGTATGATCTCTGTTAAGGACCCAAAATAACAATTTGCCTTATTTAGAAGTAAACTGTGTTCTTTCTGAGTCCTAAATCTAGGAAGATATATGGAGAGCAAACAAAGGAAAGGAAAGGGGATTTTTATTTTTACATTAGGCTGCTGCTGACTGGAATACCTTAACAAACTTGAGCATCTATCCCAGGATCTTGAAAAAAAAATCTCTCCCGCTACATAAAGTCCCCTACAATGTGTGTCAGTCAGGGACAAGAGGATTCACTTCTGCCCAAAGTATATTGGGGCCAATCATAACAGATAAAATATATGAATTTAAATCAATCTATTTGATATTCAGGTCCATCCCAAATCAACAGACCCCCATCATGCTTCCAGTGACATCAATGAGAGCCAAATAGGACCTAGAGCAGAGCTTTCCAAACTGTGTGTTGTGACACATTAGTGTGTCGGCTGCAGTGTGTAGGTGTGTTGTGTGTTGTGTGTTGTGCAAACGCTCCCTGCGCTCCTCCCGGGGCTGGAAAGGGGTTAGTTTAACCTCCGGTTTGCTAGTAAAACCGAATTACTGTGTCGTGAGATGATGCATGTCTAAAAAGTGTGTCACCAACATAAAAGGTTTGGAAAGCTCTGACCTAGAGGTTTCTCCAAACATTGCAAGGGCAGAGGCAGCAAGAATCACTGCCTTGACATGGCTGTAAGCACATCATAGAATCATAGAATCATAGAGTTGGAAGAGACCACAAGGGCCATCGAGTCCAACCCCCTGCCAAGCAGGAAACACCATCAGAGCACTCCTGACATATGGTTGTCAAGCCTCTGCTTAAAGACCTCCAAAGAAGGAGACTCCACCACACTCCTTGGCAGCAAATTCCACATGCAGGGTCAGGGACAAGGATTCCTCTCCGTTGGGTGATGGAGGTGAGGACCCCGAACCTCAAGAGGAAAGGCATGCAGGATTAGCCCCCAGACTCCTCCTATCAGTCACACCTTCAGGACTGATGCTTCCTTGGCTTGAGGATGTAGCAGTGGTACCCTCTGACTCAGAAGACTCCACTGTAGAAGACCCAAGAGGACCTGAGACTCCATTGCTCCATCACTGTAGGAGATTCCTGGAGCCTTCATCACTGCAGGACACCATCCTTGGGGCAAACTTGTTTGCCTTTTGACCCAAAATTCCCTAAATTGCTCTTCCCGAAACAGTGCACAAACTGAAACACAGCTATTCTAAATGGTCACTCTTCCAGATTTTGTGGTGGCAGTCCCCCAAGCAAATGCAGTGTACAGATATGTGTCTATTAGTATGCATAAAATAATAACAACAACAACAATAACTATTTGTACCCCACCCATCTGGCTGGGTTTCCCCAGCCACTCTGGGTGGCTTCCAACAAAGATTTTAAAAAGTATGTGTCTTAGGGAAGTTAGCATGCAGAAATGCTGTTCAATAATAAAAAAAATCACTTATTCCAGCAAGTATTTTAAGATAGTGTTTGGGCCTACTACGAAAGGTGCAAGAGCCTTATCTTATTTTCCACATGAACGTTGGGAGTCATAATGACAGATCTGCAAATTTCAGTCTGAATCATCTTTCAGGCTCCACCTCATCGCTAACGACAATTGTTGAGAAATCACGCAGACCAAATGCTGTCCAGAAATTGGCGCAGCTTCCCACTGATATACAGGCAGGTTCTCAACACTCCCCTTGTGCTCATCACAGAATATCTGAACCTGAGCAAGTTGGAAGTAGTCAAGAATTGCAGGCGTGCACCAGCAAAGCTTTAGCGGGAACAATCAAGCTCATGTCATACTTATGGCTGACCTTTTATATTGATTCGGGCTTCCGTCGATGTAGCCACACCCTTCACGTTATGAGCTTCGCAGTGGAAAACAGCGGTTTCGTTAAGACCTGCAACCCAATTAAAACAAGGCTATAAATCATAAAATCAAAGTAAGGCGGAACAAAACGAGAATCTCAGCAAGGTGGCCAACAGGAATGTGACAGAGGAAGAAAGAAAACGTCATTGAAACCACTTCTCCTCCAACTCGGCTTCCTTCTTGAACACAAGACCACAGAAAGAAACCCGACTCCCAGGTGTTGTTTGTGACGATTTGGATAAACATCTCGAGTGTGGCACTTTGCTAACCGCAAGGGAGATTCTTCGTGGGAAAGACGGGCTCATTTTCTTTTCTTTTCGTAAAATTATTTCCCTTTGCCAAAGAAGTGATTGAACACTTTGACAGAGCTATTTAAAAACCTGCCCATGCCGTCTGCTGTAGATATGGCCAAGCGGAGAACAAAGTCATGAAATGGAGAATGTCTGACAAACTGTCAGTGAACAAGAGAGGAAGAAGAAGAGTTTGGATTTGATATCCCGTTTTATCACTACCCTAAGGAGTCTCAAAGCAGCTAACATTCTCCTTTCCCTTCCTCCCCCACAACAAACACTCTGTGAGGTGAGTGGGGCTGAGAGACTTCAGAGAAGTGTGACTAGCCCAAGGTCACCCAGCAGCTGCATGTGGAGGAGCAGAGACGCGAACCCGGTTCCCCAGATTACGAATCTACCGCTCTTAACCACTACACCACACTGCCAGCTCGGTTGCTTTTACAGCAGCAGCCTTCCCCAGCTTGGTAGCCTCCAGATGTTATAGACTACAGGTCAACAAACTTTTTCAGTAGGGGGCCAGTCCACTGTCCCTCAGACCTTGTGGGGGGCTGGACTATATTTTTGGGGGGGGAAATGAATGAATTCCTATGCCCTACAAATAGCCCAGAGATGCATTTTAAATAAAAGCACACATTCTACTCATGTAAAAACACGCTGATTCATGGACCAACTGTGGGCCGGATTTAGAAGGCAATTGGGCCAGATCTGGCCCCCGGGCCTTAGTTTGCCTACCCATGTTATAAACTAGCTGGCAGGAGTCCAAAGCATCAGGAGAGGACAAAGGCAGAGGTTACACCAGGCAGGGGAGGGGCTGTGGGCTACCATATCTTATTGGGACCACGACTGCCATCTTCCTTGTCAATTGGCCATGCTGGCTAAGTCTGAAGAGAGCTGGAGTCCAATAACATCTGGAGGGCCACTGGTTTCGCATTTCAGGATTACACCCCTAAACCCGGGCTTGCTGACTGGGTTTTCTGAAGGCAGAAGGAAAGAGGTTTCCCCTCTGCCCAAGTGAGCTGCCTGTAATGCAATGGAACTTACTTTTGAGTAGACTTGCATAGGATTGTATTGTAAGGCTATCCTATACACACTTACTCAGGACATTCTTCCAATCGGCACTCGAACATGTGTTTTCTAGACACTTAGGCTTGTAGAAAGGGCAATACAAGTTTTTTGTTACTACAGTGATAAAAGGTAAAGGTAAAGGGACCCCTGACCATTAGGTCCAGTCGTGACCAACTCTGGGGTTGCGGCGCTCATCTCGCTTTATTGGCTGAGGAGCCAGCGTACAGCTTCCGGGTCATGTGGCCAGCATGACTAAGCCGCTTCTGGCGAACCAGAGCAGCGCATGGAAACGCCATTTACCTTCCCGCTGGAGCGGTACCTATTTATCTACTTGCACTTTGATGTGCTTTCGAACTGCTAGGTTGGCAGGAGCAGGGACCGAGCAACGGGAGCTCACCCCGTCGCAGGGATTTGAACCGCCGACCTTCTGATCGGCAAGTCCTAGGCTCTGTGGTTTAACCCACAGTGCCACCCGCGTCCCTACTACAGTGGTACCTTGGGTTAAGTACTTAATTCGTTCTGGAGGTCCGTTCTTAACCTGAAACTGTTCTTAACCTGAAGCACCACTTTAGCTAATGGGGCCTCCTGCTGCTGCCACGCTGCCAGAGCACGATTTCTGTTCTCATCCTGAAGCAAAGTTCTTAACCTGAGGTACTATTTCTGGGTTAGCAGAGTCTGTAACCTGAAGCGTATGTAACCTGAGGTACCACTGTATAACCACTGCTTTTCCATTCATTCATTCTACTTAAAACTCTACCTAGGGTGGCCAGATGGAAAAGAGAACAGGGCTCTTATACCTTTAATAGTTGTGTGCAGAAGATGGATGTTCACCAGGTAGCCAGCTATTAAAGGTACAGAAGCCTTGTCTTCCCCCTCCCCCATCTGGCCAGCTGAGTTCCACCTAAGATGGAAGGCTCTGGCTTTGGGCAGAGGTAAGATTCACTTCTTGAGAAGCAACAAAGCCAAAAGCAGAAGAGACAACTGAGGATCCCCCCCCCCTTTATGTTGCTTGGGTGTAAAAAGAACAGCTTGTCCTTTGCAGAAACAATGTGATCCACCCAGCCCTGTTGTTGCCCTCCCTTTTAGTGGGGCATTATTCCATCCAAGCCCTTGCTGAAACTGATGTGAGCTGAACAAGCAGCAAGGCTTGGCAGAATTCGCCTTGTGGCTTCTCCTCCTGTGGGAAGTGCTGTGCAGTCTGGCTGGTGGGTGGACAGAGTTATTTGTAGATGGCTGGGGTGACCTGATTTTTAAAAAGACAACTTCCTTCTTTTACTTATTTTTTAAAAAAATAAAACCAAGAAAAACTTTGCAGAGTTTAAACAGCAGGAGTTTTCCTGATGTTTTAAGGTCTGCAACTTTCCCCCCCTGCCAAAAATCTGTATCTCTCCAGGGATAACTCAGCGGAAGGTTCTCCTCATTCCAGCTGAATCATGGGAAGATTAAAATACCACACTTGGAATCACGTACCCAAAGTTAGATAATTTAACGTTGCCTTAAATTCTGATCCATTTCATTTCTTAATCCACCCATCCCTCCTCCTCCTTGGAAGAAGGCAATTTTAAAACTAGCCTGCTAAGAGACTAGCAGCTTGCACTTCCATGTTAGATAAAAGTTCTCCTCAATGACCAGCATGAAAACACAGACTAGTCTCTTGGCAGGCTAGTAACTTTGGTACGTCTAATTTACAAGACTGACAGAAGCACAGGAAGCTAGAGTTGGGTTCCTTGCTGTCATCTAGTCCATCCTCCAGGTCAATGGAGGAATCGCGCAGCTACAACACCCCTGAAATATGACTGCCCAACCCTGCTTAATACCTCCAGTATGGAGAGTCCTCACCATTGTGCCAAGGCAGTTTCTTCGACTGCCAAACAGCTGTTACTGATGTGAGGTTTCCAGCCTTCTTCCTGCAACTCCGAATAAATTTCTGAAGAACCTCAGATTTCCCAAGCATGCAGTTTGCAAGGCCTTTGGCTGAAAGCCAAGCAAGATAAGCAGCAGCTCGCTTCAGAAAACAAGACGTGCGGCCATGGAACGAGGCGAGATTTCATTCAGGTCAGCAGAAAGTAAAGCTCAAAAGAAACACTGCAATCTAAGGCAATCCCTGGTTAACTGGAGTTCGTCTTCTTTCTCTCTTCGAGTTCTCAAACCTTGAAAGTGACTTCACTGAGAAAATTAGCCAAGCTATTTAAAAATGGTTTAAAAAAAGGAAATGCCTACCACATTCTGCAATACTGAAACGATTTTCTCAAAGGCTTTGGTAAGAACCAGATAAGCCACTTGAAGGGACCACACCCATTATAACAATCCCCTAAACCAAGGAAATTGTGTGGCTATCTCAAGGGGAAAAAATGCCACAAGGGGCCCTCCTTTTCCCCCAGCAATAGCTCTGTAGAACAGCCTTCCCCAGCCTTCAGTTCCCAGAAGCCCAGACAAAATGGTCCACAGTCAGAGATGCTGGATGCTGTGGTCCAAAGTATTTGGATGGCATCCGGTTACAGAGAGCTCCTGCATCTTTAATGCACAGCAAGCAACACCTGACGAAACTCCTTCTTCAACATACCAACTAAAGGCGCAAGAGCCCATCAAACGGACTTGTCTCAAAAACTATTCGGCTCACCTGGCACGGCCAAGACAGACGGAGAAATGTCAGCTTTCTTGGTAATTTGGCTGCTGTTCCAATGCCAGTGAATCGCAATGGGCTCAGGGGGCCCCACAGCATGGCAGGTGAGATTGAAGGGCGTGTTCCGGGTCACGTTCAGCCCCTGGGGCTGCTTAATGAAATACGGCAGTCCTGCAACGCAACAAGAGAAAGGATGGTTAGGCAGACTTAAGCGACCAAGTGCAAACTCCAAAGAGCAAACTGTAACGACACAGATCAATAGGGATGATCCCATCATGGCAAACTTCAAATCTGGAACCAGGGTATTTGTGTGTGTATCCTGGGTTTTTTTTTCAGAGCAAGAGCAATTACCGTATTTTTCGCTCCATAGGGCGCACTGGACCATAGGGCGCACCTAGTTTTTAGGGGCGGAAATAAAGGGGGGGAATTATTCTCCCCCCCCCCGATCCAGGAGCGGTGGCAAAATTGCGCACAACCTCGCCGCCGCTCCCAGAGCTTGCAGGGCTAGGGACAGGGGAAGCCCGAGCTTCCCCCGACCCCAGCCCCCAGAACAGGCAGCTATCCGCAAGCCTTCGGAGCGCAGCGGGAACTCCCGCCACACTCAGAAGGCTTGCGGATGGCTGCCTGAAGCCCGGCGAGCGCAGCGCCAACTCCCACACTCCGAAGGCTTGCGGATAGCTGCCTGAAGCCTGAAGAGTGAGAGGGGTCGGTGCGCACTGACCCCTCTCGCTCTCCAGGCTTCAGCGAAAGCCTGCATTCGCTCCATAGGACGCACACACATTTCCTCTTCATTTTTGGAGGGGAAAAGGTGCGTCCTATAGAGCGAAAAATACGGTATGTCATCTGCCGGAGAGCCAAGGGCAACTGGCAGACCCTCCTTGCTCCTCTGGCAAGTGAACCGAGGTGATAATGAGGCTTTAGCATAAAAGAAGGGCGAGAAAGAGACAAATAAGTACAAGGTAGACACTTCTTTCCTTTTCTTTGATGGGCTTCCCCCTGCCCCCTACCATTTTAAATGGTAACACTTCTTTTGCAAGAAAGCTTTTAATTAGAAACGCGAACTGATGACGTATCTTTTGCTAAAGCGTTTGAGAAGTCGACCCCGTGGAATCAGAAATAAGCACCACTGAGATCAATGGAGCATCCTGAATTTGTGGCTTGGAGTGGCCACTGTGATTTGCTCCCAACACTTCAAAAGTTACCACTGCATGGAAAGAGTCCCAGATTCCTTATCCCTGGTCTAAAGAGAGGGTTTCCTTGAGGAAGCCCCACTACAGTTCACAAGCACGGGTGAACTGTCCAGAAAACACGATTCTGCCTCTGATGGCACAACTCTGTGCACTTCTACTCAAGAAGGAAGTTACACTCCCAGGTATGGATTGCAGCATGATCCTGACTACCTGGACATAGGGAAAGTGAGAAGCCAAGAGGCAATACTGACCAGGCTATCCTGCAGTTCAAACAAGGATGCCTGCCCTCTGTTCTGGAAGCAGATGGATAAAATACTGTATATGCCTTTTTGAACGTAACATGGGTTGCAAACGGAAGACCGTTCATACAAGGGGTCTTTTCTCTCCCCTTCTCCCTCTTGCAGATCCCTTTACTCTTCAAAAAGCTTCTCCACAGGATCGGGGCGATCTACTGACCTTTGTAGGCTACGCCATGTGGATTTGCCGGAAGATAATGGGGAGAAATTGCCTGAAAATGGCATCTTCCTCCAGGTTTGTCTGCAATTTCCCAAATTGGTTCTGCATTTAGTTCATTTTTCCCCTTTCCAGTTCTCTCAGAATAGTCACTCTCATATTTGTTATACAAAATCTCCCAAGCTAGCTATTCATCCACAGTTTTACATTATCAAGTGCTTTCTTTCAAATCTAAGCATACCTTCCAACAAAACCAAAATAGGATCTGACACGATTTCTTCGCTGTTGATTTTCAGTTTGCAGGTGTAGGACCCATTATCAGAGCGTAGGACATTGGGTATACTGCATGGGAGAAGTGGAGGAAAGACTTAAAATTTGGGTTTTTTATTATGAAAAAAATTCTATTCCACCTTTCATACATGGTAAGAAGACAGTGTATCCCCACCCCCACAAAAAAGAACAATAAAATTGCAATTCAAAATAGAATGGCCAGTAAGTTACCGGTAATAAGAAACCAATGGATGGTATTATTATTATTCAATACTACCGAGTGCCAAGAAGACATAAAAGTTAATTGCACACGATTGTTAAATTATGGGATAATTAAAATATACTATAATTAAAATACACAATAAAATGATTCAATTGAAACATTAAAATATAACTGCCCATGATTAAAATGTGCAATAAAATAGCACAGCAATAAAAACAGCAGGCTCTTGGCTATGAGTCCTGGAAGACCTGCTCCCTTCCTTTGCAAGCCTTTTCCCACCTGGCCTGGAAGGGCAAGGCCCGGACTGACTCCAGCTACAAAATATGAGGCTGCTGAACAGAATCTTGGACGGGGCTGTTGTTTAGGAAGTTTTGTTGGGGGCAGGTTGTCTCTGTGGAATTTTTGTACCTGCTATTTTGTATCTGCTGATTTATGTGGAAATTGTTCGATTTGGTTGGTTTGGTTCAATTTGATATTTTGTTTATTCTTCAAGACTACTATTGTTATGTTTGCAGTTATGTAATTTTTTTTATATGCTATAAACTGCCTTGAACACAGTTTTAACTTTAGAAAGGTGGTATATGAATAAAATGATTGATTGATGGTAAAGACATCAGAGTAAACAGGTGCATCTTCGGAGGCCAGTGGAATGCCAATTAAGATGCAGTATCCCATGGAATGCAGTCCCTGCTTAAATACAACACTGGTGAAAAAGTGTGCCTTTGCATCAAAACAAACTAATTGGCCATGTTAAGGTTACGTGGGGTCAATCTGTTGGTTTCAGTGTCCTTACTGGGCCATGGAGTGGCCAGTAAAGGCGCAAGAAAAAAAGAGTTTTCAGCAAGTGCCAAAATTGCATCAATGCAGGCATTTGTTACAATTCAGGTAGACAAGGGGTCAGCCAACCTTTTCGGCAGGGGGCTGGTCCACTGTCCCTCAGACCTTGTGGGGGGTCAGACTATACTTGGGGGGGGGGGAATGAACGAATTCCTATGCCCCAGAAATAATCCAGAGATGCATTTTAAATAAAAGCACACATTCTACTCATGTCCTAAGTCTCCTGAGGCTTTATGATTCTAACTCATGCTTTTCCATAAAGGATAAAGGTAAAGGGACCCCTGACCATTAGGACCAGTCATGACTGACTCTGGGGTTGTGCGCTCATCTCGCTCTATAGGCCGAGGGAGCCGGCATTTGTCCACAGACAGCTTCCGGGTCATGTGGCCAGCATGACTAAGCCACTTCTGTTTTTTTTTTTTTTAAATGATATTCATTGAAAGAATTTTTTTTTTTAAGTTACAAAAGAAAACAAAGTAGAAAAAGAGAAAAACAAGCCACTTCCAACCATACAAATACACAAAATAAAAGAGAAAAAAACAAAAATACACCACAAAAATTTAAAAACATTTAAAAACAAATCCATTATTCTCAACTCCTCAACTGTCATTACCCTCTTTCCTTGACCTCCTCCTCCTCCCCTTCCTTGTGTCCTGGTTGTTAACTGTCACAGCAAATCCTTTCCATATTTCATAATATTCTGTCATTACATTACCTTAAACTATTTTAATCTTATCTTACTATAAAAAACCTTGGAACTTAAAACTTAAATCTTATTTTTACCAGCTTCTCATAACCATAATATTCTTACATAATTCTTTAAACATTTTTACTAAAGCCAAATAATTTCATTCCAACATTTTTCTAACATTCATCAATTTTATAAAACAGTCCTAGTAATGAAAAAAATAAATGACTAAGCCACTTCTGGTGAACCAGAGCAGCACACGGAAACGCTGTTTACCTTCCTGCCAGAGCAGTACCTATTTATCTACTTGCACTTTGACGTGCTTTCGAACTGCTAGGTTGGCAGGAGCAGGGACTGAGCAACGGGAGCTCACCCTGTCACGGGGTTTCGAACCGCTGACCTTCTGATCGGCAAGTTCTAGGCTCTGTGGTTTAACCCACTGTGCCACTGGTGTCCCTTTTGTGCTTTTCCATACTTTCAAGATATTAAGCAGCTGCTGACCGGACTTTTGAACTGCACAGAGGTTACTTACTTGAAAGTAGATATCATGGTGGTCACTTCGTTGTCATCCAACTGAAAATACTGGCTGGCTATCCTATCGGCGCCAACAAGCTCCTTCCCATTCTTCGACAAGGAAATGTGCACCGAGTCGTGGTTGATTAGCCATTTAGGAACACTGATAGAGCAATTAAACTTTATGTCCATGTGCTCAGCAACCACGATACTTCCTACTGTAGGGTTGAATTTAAACGACCCAAGAGGGTGAGCAGTGTTGCCTTCCATAGACGTGAGCTTATTCGTTTTCACAGTATTGGAGTCTACGGGACGTGTCGGTGCATAGATTGTGGGAGTGCTATTTATCCTGACCTCCAAGGAGCGGGGAAATCGGTGTGCGCCATTCGAGTCCTTTAAAGGTGAATGTGGTTTTATGGGTGCCAACGAGTTGAATCCCTTTGCTTCTTGTTTCGCTTCAACAGGACCTGCAAATTAAGACACACGGTTTTGTCAAGTTTTGTGTTCCAACATTCTCAACAAGGCTACACACTTTTTAAATCTCCCCTTACCTGCAGCATCTTGCCTTTGTCTACACTGCACGATGGAATACAGATTTTCAGGAAGGGACCTCAGTGAAGGCTGGGCCATTGGGGCAAATGGGGCACTACCCTCTCTCAAACACAGCCTGCCTCCACGTATCCCACTCAAATAATAAGTTATACATTTTAGATAATATTTTGACCCTGGATCCTAATAGCGCCTTTTCAACCTGCGAATTCTTTTCTGCAAATCCATATTTTTCAATCAAGCTTAAATATTGCACTCAACTGTTGATAACATAACCAATCTGTCACATGATCTTTTATCTCTCCATACTCTTTCAATTTGTAATCCTCCCCAGTGACAATTAGCAGGTCTCTATATGTACTCCATGGACGCGGGTGGCACTATGGGTTAAACCACAGAGCCTAGGACTTGCCGATCAGAAAGTCACGGTTTGAATCCCTGTGATGGGGTGAGCTCCCTTTGCTCGGTCCCAGCTCCTGCCAACCTAGCAGTTTGAAAGCACGCCAACGTGCAAGTAGATAAACAGGGAAGGTAAATTGAGTTTCCGTGCACTGCTCTGGTTCGCCAGAAGCGGCTTAGTCATGCTGGGCACATGACCTGGAAGCTGTATGCCGGCTCCCTCGGCCAGTAAAGTGAGATGAGCGCCGCAACCCCAGAGTCAGCCACGACTGGACCTAACGGTCAGGGGTCCCTTTACCTTTACCTTTATATGTACTCCAGTCTGTCTGTATGTTATTTTTCCCCCCTTACCAGGGCTTCTTCTTGCCAGGCACATCAGTGTTTTCCTTTCTAATAGGTTTTTATATTTCCCCCATACCCAAAAGAGATTTTTCCTGATTACGTGGTTTGAAAAGCTCTTATATATCCTAGACTTCCTGTACTACAGGCATACATGCCATCCAAATTTTAGATCATGCCCTTCCAGGTTTAACAGGTGGCTGTTCTTTAGTAAGATCCATTCTTTCAACCAGCATGAACATGATGCGTCAAAGTATCACTGTAAGTCAGGGAGGGCAAAACCACCTCTCTCTTTGGTGTCAATTATAATTTTTTGTTTTATCCTGGGTTTTCTTCCCTGCCAAATAAACTTAAGATATATCTTTCTGCCATTTCTTAAAATTTTGAATATCATCAACTATAGGTATGGTCTGAAATAGGAATGGCATATTTGGGAGTCTATTCGTTTTTATTGGGCGTTCTGTTTTGGTGACAGTAGCCCTGGTTTAAGGAGCCATTTGGTGCTGGAGTTTCAAACGCTGAGTTCAACCAAAATATATCATCCTGTAACTGAAGTCCATTCTGTCCCTCTGGGGGAGAGGAGTACCAGCCGTTGCCCTCTTTTATGGGGCAGCCCTCCGGGGATTTGAAGAGTGCTGCTATCATTCTCCTTCTCAGCTGTCCTAATTCTCTGGGTTACACAGATCCATCAACATCAACTTTTCCTCATAGGATTTCACTCCACCAACCCAGAGGGCTAGCTGTGCTAGGCCCATCTGCCCTGTACATTTTAAACAGTATCATACCAACAGCCATGGCTTCGCCCCAAAATCATGGGAACTATAGTTTGTTAAAGGTGCCAAGAGGGTGCTGGTATCCTCACAGAGCTACAGTTTGTAGAGTTACCTCAGAAGAGGGATTGATAGTTAAAACTATTCTCCAATTTGTAGCTCTGGAAATTGTGGCCATCCATTCTACAGAGAGAAAACAGGAGGGATTTGCGCTGTGTGCCCGAGCAGCAAATGAGTAAGTGCTGTTCAGCAAAAACTGAAATGCAGCACGCCTGAATATGCTTAATAATTAACTAAACTTTTTGCTTGAACTTTGCCTGTGAAGAATTGTGAACGTTCGTCCCAATTGCTCATGCATGGCTACTCAAGGATTTGCAGCCCCCACTGTTAAAGGGCAAAAGACACCCACAGTGCCATAATGTGTGAACCATGTTTCTGTGAAAAAAATAAAAACCAGTCAAGCACAAGTACAAGCCAAGCAAGTCTCTTTCCCCATCTGCACTATGCCTTTAAAGCAGTATGGTACCACTTTAAACTGTCGTGGCTTCCCCCAAAGAATCCTGGGAGCTGTAGTTTGCCAAGGGTTTCTGAGAGGACCCTATTCTCTCCATGGAACGACAATTCTCAGAGTGGTTTAGAAACCAATCCCTTTTCACTTGTGAAAATTACACCTATAAAACCAGTAAAACTTTAAAAAATGAATACAGTCATACCTCATGTTGCGTTTGCTTCAGGTTGCACGATTTCAGGTTGCATCCCGCAATGACCCGGAAGTACCGGAAAGGGTTACTTCTGGGTTTCGCCGCTCGCGCATGCACAGACGTGCAAAATGATGTCATGCGCATGCGCAGACGTGGCGAATTGCGACCCGCGCACACGCGGGTTGCATTCTGCTCATGTTGCGAACGGGACTCCAGAACGGATCCTGTTTGCAACCAGAAGTACCACTGTATAGGTAATGGAAAGATATGCGTTGGTAGGTTTTTCAGGAAGCTTTCAAAACAATGTAGTGTTGACTTCTGCCTAATGCCAAAAGGCAGGGAGTTCCAAACTTTAAGCTCTGCCCACTAAAGGACTGATTCCAATGCGGAACAAACATTAAGGGGCACTTGTAAAAATCCAAGTTTTACTTCCGTTTCACTTCTGTTATAGGCGAGATTGTGTCTATGCCATGACTCAGGGGTGTAGCGTGGGGAGAGCCAGGGGCTGGAGCCCGAAGAACATGATTTTGAGAGGGCACGAACCAGGCACCCCCATGCAGGGATCTCTAACCTGCCTGCTGGTGGGGGTCTCTGGGCCCCGGAGCCTGGCCTGGCCTTCCCGCCACGGACCGAGCCCCCTTGGTGAATGACTGCCCAGCAAGTGCTGGGGGGATGCGCCCACAAAGGGCTATGTCAACTGGTCTAGTTTTCCCCTGCATGGGCAGGCAGGCAGCGCAGCCCTGTGAACCCTCCTTGCCCCACACCTGCCCGGCAGGGGTAAGGGTTGGGCTGGGCGTGTTGGGTTTTGTTTACCCTCCATGCCCAGCCTCTGGTCCCACCTAATACAGTGGTACCTCGAGTTAAGAACTTAATTTGTTCTGGAGGTCCGTTCTTAACCTGAAACTATTCTTAACCTGAGGTACCACTTTAGCTAATGGGGCCTCCTGATGCCGCTGCACCGCCGTCGCGCAATTTCTGTTCTCATCCTGAGGTAAAGTTCTTAAGCCGAGGTACTATTTCTGGGTTAGCGGAGTCTGTAACCTGAAGCATATGTAACCCGAGGTACCACTGTACAGTGGTACCTCAGGTTAAGAATTTAATTCATTCCGAAGGTCCGTTCTTAACCTGAAACTATTCTTAACCTGAGGTACCACTTTAGCTAATGGGGCCTCCTGATGCCGCTGCGCCGCCGCCGTGCAATTTCTGTTCTCATCCTGAAGCAAAGTTCTTAACCCGAGGTAATATTTCTGGGTTAGCGGAGTCTGTAACCTGAAGCGTCTGTAACCCGAGGTACCACTGTACATGTGTGCACGCCAGGTGCACGCCAGGTGCCAGAAAAGGACACAACGCTGGTGCTATGACTTCACCAGAGTAAACCACACTGAATGTTATGTTAGGAGTCGAATACAGTTTCCCTGGACAAAGAATACTGGGAACAGTAGTTCACACCTCAAAGAGCTACACTTCCTAGCACTCTTAGCAAATGACAGTTCCAGGGATGCTGTGGGGGAGGTCATGGGCACTGAATGTGCTTTAATATACAGTGTGGATTTGCTCTATGTGGCATGCAATTCCTATCATATGCAGATGTGCCGCAGAGCATTATATACAGTGGTACCTCAGATTACAGATGCTTCAGGTTACAGACTCCGCTAACCTTCAGGTTAAGAACAGTTTCAGGTTATGCACAGACCTCCAGAACGAATTAAGTTCTGAACCCGAGGTACCACTGTAATTTCAGTTCTTTGCATGTGCAACTTGTAACATACAGTACATGCCTTGTTAAGGAGTGAGTTTATTTGGTGCACACATCCCGCTGCAGTGTGTATGTATATCTAGGGCCTCCAAGAAACTCAGATGAGAATCTTCCCCCCCCTTTTTTTAACAAAGCTCACAAAAATCTTGTGAGCGTAGGTGAAGGTGAGAGGCAGACCACCCAACGAGTTTCACAGCTGAGCTATACTGTAACCACTGACCATATCACTTGGATTAGAAGCACATTGTGCAATGCAGCCCTTTAAGGCAGGTTGAGAAGGTATGCATGCAATCCACTGCAAGGATAGTAATCTACGGCTATTTCTGTCCACAGCAACTTCTTGGTTTTGCAACAATTTTGTTTTGTTTTATTGTCCCATTTTCTGTGGATTGTTCATGCGTACGCCGCTTAGAAACGTAAACAATTAAGCAGGAACATAAATGACTGAGATGAACAAATAAATAAAAGTAAGTTCCCCTCTGCCTGCTTGGCTCCACCCTTCCTGTGAAGGCTGCCAGGGGGGAGAAGATGTGATCCATGGCTGGAGCAAACATCAGGAGGGGATTCCGGGCAAAGTCAATTGGATGGAACAGAAGTGCCAGGCAGGAAGAGAGATGTCCAACAGCTTTCTTCATCCCACTGTGCTCCCCAAAGCAGCCGCACACCCACACCGGGTCAGTTATCTATAGCAGCTACACACTGTGTTTATCTCTGTATACATTTGCACACTAAATTTAGGAATTCATTGTATTCCTAATGACTGTTCAAAAGGAACCAATGGCCATGCACTGCTCCCACATATGCAATGGAAACTGTGGCCAGAGCAAGGAGAGAGAGTGTGTTTTGTGGGCTTAATTTATGGAAAGTTGGGGTTGGTACTCAGACCTACCGAAAGGAATGGACCTGCCTTAATCGGGTTTGTTCATTCCAACGAGTAAAACCTTCGCTGAATACCACCCTTTTAAAAACCTTGCCTGGAAGTTAAGGTCTCTCTACTCGAGAAAACACTATTCCAAGGGATGTATAAGAAGAGATGGAGGCAACCAATCTCTGATCCCCCTCAGAGATTTCTTTCTTTCTTTCTTTCTTTCTTTCTTTCTTTCTTTCTTTCTTTCTTTCTTTCTTTCTCTCTCTCTCTCTCTCTCTTCATTCACAGGCAGGTGCCAAGCCCGAGCTGTGCTCGGATTAAAAGCGAGGACAAAAGTAATCCTCTCTCCCCCCCCAACCCACTTTTGCAAACTCCCTTTTCGCGCAAAGCGCAGGAGGGTGGAGGGATGACGTTCCCCCCACCCCGAGTCCCAGCGCCTTTCTGGAGCCCACCAAATGCGAGGGAATGAGACACCCTCCAAAACGAAGAGTTGGAAGACGGGGTAACCCTGCCGAGCCCCCCCAACAACACCTTTCCGACATCCAACTAACTCCTGTTCCAGCACTTCGGACGCGTAACCGAACGCGGGAGGGGAAAGAGGCGCCTTACCTTTTGCGCAAAAGGCTGACGCCACCAGCAGCAGCCCCCAAAAGCCTCCCATGGCGACTTGGAAGCGGGCTTGGCAAGCGTCCGATCTGGGCACCGCCGGGTCCCCCGCTGGCCCCGCTCCAGCCCCACCAGGCCACCTCCAAAGCCGGGTTTCCCTCCGGAGCTGCCGGGCGAAGAGTCCCCGGGGCGCACAGAAGACGCCGCCGCAGAAAATCGCCCTCTCCGAGCCGAAGACCGCTGACCCAAAACAAAAGTTCTGGGCGAAACTTGAGCGGAGGCGGGGACGGAGAGAGGTCCCTCCTCCTCCGACTCCGGGGCGGGCGCGGGGAGGCGGATTTCGGGGGTCTGGGAGGGTTGGCCTCCTTCTGGTCGGGCAAGAGAAGGGGCTCCGATTCCCGCCAGGGGGCGATTAGTACTTGGAAGGAGAAACGCAGCAGGTTGTCTTGAAGCGCCTTAAAGGCTCCCCGCGGAAGCTTGCATGCTTGTGGCAGGAGCTTTTACGCGCTCTCTATCTCACACACAAACACGTACGTAGAGAGGATGGCACTGTAAAGCAGCCCTCGCCATGTTTTGGACGAAAACTCCCCATCGGATGGGAGTTGTCCAAAAACATCTGGAGGGCGCCAGGTTGGCAAACGCGGCATGTAAACAGTAAAGCCTTCAATGCAAAGATGTGACGCGACTGTGCAAAGCTGAAACGTATACAAGATGTGAATCGCGGGCGCAAAGCTGTCAACGTTTCCCTTTTTTTTAAGGGAAATTCCCTTATTCCGAATAGGATTCCTCGCAAGAAAAGGGAAAAGTTGACAGCTATGCGCGGGCGTAGCCGAGATTTATTGGGGGGGGGGAGCAGAACTGAGTTATCTACAATGCGATGGGTCAGTTAGTTAAGTATTTATTATTTATTTGCTTGATTTAGGGGGGCAGCTGCCCCCCTGCACTCCCCTGACTATGCCCACGATGTGAATGGTTACCTTTTAACTTGTATTCATTTGAGCTTCGCACTGTGAAATTTTATCTCCTTTGCCTGACCTTTTGACTCCACTGTTTACGTCGTCGTCGTCGTCGTCGTCGTCCCCTCGCCACCGTCCGGATCCCTTTGTCTGTGTGTGGCTCTGCCCGGTTAGAATCCACTTTGGCATCTGAGGAAAGCTTATACTGAAACATCCTGCTAGTTTCTAAGGTGCCAGAAGACCCCCTTTTATCCTGAAAAGGGAGATAGCAGGATCTCACCTGGCTGCTCAAATTATTGGGGTGGAGTGATGCTAACCTTAGTTAGTTTTAAGCCAACTACAGTGTTACCTCGGGTTACAGACACTTCAGGTTACAGACGCTTCAGGTTACAGACTCCGCTAACCCAGAAATAGTGCTTCAGGTTAAGAACTTTGCTTCAGGATGAAAACAGAAATCGTGCAGCAGCGATGCGGCAGCAGCGGGAGGCCCCATTAGCTAAAGTGGTGCTTCAGGTTAAGAACAGTTTCAGGTTAAGAACGGACCTCCAGAACGAATTAAGTTCTTAACCCGAGATACCACTGTATGTGGCATAAGATTTTGATAAAATTGTGGTGAGTCAGAGTTAGGGCTTGTTTAGACTTCATTACGGCCACCTTTACCCCATTTTGAGCACAGATCTCAACTTACCAGCCAATGATAGCATTTTAAAATTATTATTTAAAGGGCTTCCCTTTATCTCGAATGTTTTAAACTTCAGGGCAGATCTGCACCATGTATTTAAAGCACATTTAAATCTGTGTCAAATGTGCTTTAGTTGGTGTGGTATACGTACTTTTTATTGCCCATCTCTGTAAAATGTTCTCTTTTGATTATTGATAATACTGCATTTTAAACTTTCTTTTCAGGCAATTGTTGTATCTCAAAGTGGCTCACATAAACTAAAAAGCAGGCCCTGTCATCGGGTTTACAAGCTAAAAGGACCAGAGCCTCAAGGAAAGGGGAGGGGAGGGAAATGTGTACTTCAAGGCTAGAAAAATGTGGCAAGCTGCAAGAATTTATGGTCATATTCTCACATCATATGTTTAAAGCCATGTCATAGGAGTATAGCATCTAGATCAAGGGAAGTAATAGTGCCACTGTATTCTGCTCTGGTCAGACCTCACCTGGAGTACTGTGTCCAGTTCTGGGCACCACAGTTCAAGAAGGACACTGACAAACTGGAACGTGTCCAGAGGAGGGCAACCAAAATGGTCAAAGGCCTGGAAACGATGCCTTATGAGGAACGGCTAAGGGAGCTGGGCATGTTTAGCCTGGAGAAGAGGAGGTTAAGGGGTGATATGATAGCCATGTTCAAATATATAAAAGGATGTCACATAGAGGAGGGAGAAAGGTTGTTTTCTGCTGCTCCAGAGAAGCGGACACGGAGCAATGGATCCAAACTACAAGAAAGAAGATTCCACCTAAACATTAGGAAGAACTTCCTGACAGTAAGAGCTGTTCGACAGTGGAATTTGCTGCCAAGGAGTGTGGTGGAGTCTCCTTCTTTGGAGGTCTTTAAGCAGAGGCTTGACAACCATATGTCAGGAGTGCTCTGATGGTGTTTCCTGCTTGGCAGGGGGTTGGACTCGATGGCCCTTGTGGTCTCTTCCAACTCTATGATTCTATGATTCTATGATTCTATGATTCTAATAACACTTTAAACAGTCATGGCTTTCCCCAAAGAACTCTGGGAGCTGTAGTTTGCTAAGGGTCCTGAGAGTTGAGGAGACCCCTAGTCCGCTCAGAGAGCTACAATTCCCAGAATTCCCTGTGAAGACGGATTGTTAAACCACACCTGGGACTAAGTTTATAAATGCACTAGAAGCTGATATCATCTGTGAAAGGCTTTTCTGGCGGGGATGTTGTGGGGGGGGGGGGGCATGGAGAGGAAAAATGGGTTTTCTATACTTTTAACAGTTTCACAATCACATTATAAAACTGGACAGTTTTCTCTTTTTAAATGGCTCCCAGATTATAGATATAAGCAGTCTGTATATAGTCATGTCTATAGTGTGTCCCAGATATAAAGTACCTTTCAAAATTAAATAAATAATGGTGAGGCCAGGCGGGAGGACAAGCAAATTGTTCCCAGATGCCTTTTAACGTCTGGGAAGAAAAAAAGAAAATGCTTATTCAGTATACAGTCCAAGCTGCACTACTGGCAGATATTGAATTTCTGCTTCTCTCTCTTTTTAGCCCTGAAAACGTCTTGACATCTTGAAGCAATCAGCGGCTACGAAAAGGCACGTGCCTCCGGCAGCCAAGGGACAAGCAAGACGTGACAGCAGCAACAGTCTTGAGTGCCAGGCTTGGATCACAGCAAACTGTGTCTCTGTGTGAATTTAAAGCACAGAATGGGCAGCAGGGTGGTGTTTATGTGTGCCAAATCTTTTCCCTGGCCAGGCCTCTTCCCTCTAACGCTGCTTCTGCCTGATTTTCTCTCCGTGGGGCTAACTCCCACTATGGGCCCCTTTCGACATCCCCTTTTATTATGGCACATTCAAAATCATTTGTGTTCATGAGGCTATCGAGCCAGTTATACCAGTGATGTGCAATGAATTTTTTTTGTAGGGCTGTACAGTGGTACCTTGGGTTAAGAACTTAATTCGTTCTGGAGGTCCGTTCTTAACCTGAAACTGTTCTTAACCTGAAGTACCACTTTAGCTAATGGGGCCTCCCGCTACCGCCGTGCTCTCATCCTGAGGTAAAGTTTTTAACCTGAGGTACTATTTCTGGGTTAGCGGAGTCTGTAACCTGAAGCGTCTGTAACCAGAAGCGTCTGTAACCTGAGGTACCACTGTATGTACATTTGGTGACTCCATAGTTGAACCACCTGCAAGGCAGGAATCTCCATTCAAGCATCCCTGGCAGAGGCCTAAAAACCTTCAATGAAGGAGAGTTCACAACCTCCCAAGGAAGCCCATTCCCCAGCCGGTCAATTTGCCAATTCCTAGCAGCTTGCAAAAAGAAGAAGAAAAGTTTGGCTTGGCTTTGTTTTTTGAAGAAGACAAGCCCAGAGGTGGAAGGGTGGGTTCCTCCTCCCAATTAAAAAGCTATTTTTACACCCCTTTCTTTCTTCATCATCTCCCTTACTATGATTGTGCTGTTGCTGGTTGTGGCCTGTTTCTGCTGATCCTTCAGGTTCTGGCAGATTGGGACTGGCGGTTTATTATAACACCATGCTTTCAAACACACACACACACACACAGAGAGAAAGAAAGAGAGTGGCTGAAGGAGGGGAGGAAGGAAACGAGATTATTAAGGTTGCAGGGGTCTTATATTCCACCAACTGCTATTTCTTACAAAATGAAGGAGAAGGGGCTGCAGTTCTGCTTCAAGCCATTGCTTCCTGCTCAGGTGTGTGCATTGCTTTGCAGGGTTGTGCAATTTTGCAGCCTTTATGGAGGTAATCAGAGAGAGACATGCATGCACACACACATAGATGGAGCCTGGAGGCACTGGCTAAGCAGGTACATGGGAACATTAAGGGGACTCGGCTAGAGCCACTAGTTCATGGACCGCACGGCACTGAGTTATACACCGTCCAGCTTTCAATGATATTTGTGCCTGCAAAGGTTTGGGGGCATACTGAGTTGTACATACTTTATACCTGCTGAAATGAATGAACCTTGGGTGTCAACGGGTCTACTCTGAGTAGGACTAGACTGAATACCACCCACTGCTTTGTTTTCAACGAGTGCTTGTCCTGTAACTTCCTGTTGAAATCCTGTTTTTCTACAACAAATTGGTTTTTTTTAAAGGGGAAGGACCCACTTTCATTAAGCTTCAGCACAGGAGTGCCTCTTCAGAAGATAATAATAATAATAATAATAATAATAATAATAATAATTATAATTTTTTATTTATTTATATATTATTTATATACCACTCATCTGACTGGGTTGCCTCAGCCACTCTGGGCAGTTTCCAACATATATAAAAACATTAAACATAATAAAACATTAAAAAACTATCCTAAACAGGGCTGCCTTCAGATATCTTCTAAAGTTTGTATGGTTATTTATCCACGTGGTTCGGGAGTCGCATAACTCCGGACCCGCCAACATTTCTGCTATGAAAATAAGGGACGTCTTCAGGAAAAGCTGGACATTCCGGAATCAGATCAGAAACCGGGATGGCTTCTCTAAATCCAGGACTGTCCTTGAAAAATAGGGACACTTGGAGGGTCTGCAGTGATGCAAAAACACCAGGGAAGCATCTCTGATGGACTAATAAAGTATGGATGGTCCAGTATAAAGTAACCACTAATGGGCTAGTATTGTGTAGGTGACATGTTGCAGAATGTACCCACACAAAAATGGAGCAGTTTGGAGGGACCCTATAGGAAATATATATATGTACAGTGGTACCTTTGGTTACGAACTTAATTCGTTCCGGAGGTCCGTTCTTAACATGAAACCGTTCTTAACCTGAGGTACCACTTTAGCTAATGGGGCCTCCTGCTGCTGCTGTGCGATTTCTGTTCTCATCCTGAGGTAACCCGAGGTACTACTTCTGGGTTAGTGGAGTCTGTAACCCGAAGTGTTTGTAACCCGAGGTACCACTGTATATATACATCTATCTGGTGAGAAGGAGTTTCAGCTGCAAAGTGTAATAAAAATTTAAGGTCTTATATGTATAATAAATGTTCATAAATGTACCAATGTCTGGAGCAGCACAGGAAGACCTTCCTGAAACCATTTTGACTTCCTGAAAATACCGTATTTTTCGCTCTATAACACGCACCCGACCATAACACGCACATAGTTTTTAGAGGAGGAAAATCCGTACGCATGCTACCCGTAGGCATTCCCTCCATAATACACACAGACATTTCCCTTTACTTTCTAGGAGGAAAAAAATGAGTGTTACGGTGCAAAAAATACGGTATTTTGACTCCCAAACTGACCAAATGAGGGAAGCAGCAGCACCCCTGCCTCCACTGGACTTTATTTTCTCTCCCCAACCCTCCAATTTATCGGAAAATTGGTGGTGACCTGATTCTGACACAGGGTCACGGTGCCATAACATCAAAATCGACCCTTGGAAAATAACAAAGCAAAATGTGAAACTGCTGTTATAAGACAGCAGGGGGAATCGTTTCCCCCTTCAACCTAGAATTCTTAGTTTTGCTGTGTTCCTGTGGGGCACAACTCCTTCTGTCTTTACTAATTTTAAATTTCTACAGATGTATGGTTAGGGAGGAAGGCCTGCAGCCAAGATGCTGCTTCTTCTTTTCTTTTGCTTTTGGTTTGTTTACAGCCTGTATAGCCCACTCTTCATCAAATGTTTTCAATCCCAGAGTGCGGAACCAAGTAATAAAATTAAACAGAGAGAAACAATATACAGAAATCGCCAAAAATAAAATTAAAAAATCGTATGAGCAGGACAACTAAACAACTAAACAATCCTATCATAAGGCAAACAAGCAAAATTGCAACAATGTAAAATAATATTTCCAATTTAACAAAGTTAAATTGCCTCAAGGTCAGCAGGGCTGCTGGGTAGTGATGTTCGGATGGCCCTATTTCAGCAAATACCTTTTTGCAAATATTGTTGTAGTCTTGCCTTATGCTTGAATCCAGTGGCTTACAAACTATCCTCAATAGCAAAATCCTGCTTATACTGTACTAGAATCTTCAGGGAACCCTTCTCATGTCGACTTCTCTGCCAAGGAAGAAATTGTACAGATTTACTAATTTGTATGGCCAGATTGGGAGTCCTCTAAAAAGACTTGCATTTCAATTCTCAGCTTAACAAGAGTTCTGTTGGAAGCTTCTTCTTTTTTTAAGAGTTAGTTCTGCGCACCTCCTGCAATGTGAGACCGCACTATTGTAATCACTTCTGAAATTTTTAAAAAATGTTTGCTTGACACCTACTGCCACCAACTGGAGATACAGTTGGCTTGTCATTACTTCATCACTTATTTTCAACATGTGGCTGTTCAAAGAGCGGATATGCTCCTTAAAGTCTGCATCTGTTGGCACCAGAGTTTAATTAAAAGCTATGCATCAAAGGGAAATGAGTTGCCTTTCTGAGAAGAGATTAACAGTCTGGTGATTAGATAACAACTGGAATAGCCAGGCTCCAGGGATGAAAATTCCATTGCTGAAGAGCAGTCACTAAGTGTGATTTTCTGCTAAGGATTTTTTTTTGGGGGGGGGGTTCAGTTTACATTTAAAGGTGAATCTACTTGAATCACACTATCTGAATCAATCTGAGAATCAAAATACAGCCACGCTTCAAAATTTGCAGTTCTCTGCATCTTGCACTGCAGTTCTCCAATCAAGTTATGTACTGGGGTAAAGAGTTCCCTAAATGCATGTATTAGTGAAAATGCCATACAAAAAAACCCTTTTATTAGGGGAAATTGCTTTGCAAAAAAATGTGTATATTAGGCACATTTGCACAGAAACATGTGTACATTAGCCGAAATTCACACCCAAATGCCGGTGGATTTTTACAAGGACTTTAAAAAACAAAATAATTCTGTAATATATAGTACTATATAATATTTTCTGCTATATTATTAAGATATTGGATGTTGCAATGGATTGTGTTAGGTTACATTTTAATGATATGCTGATTTGTATATTCCACTTCTTTTTTGTACTATTTGGATAACTGGTGACGTTATTTGGCTAAGCAACAAAGCTTTGGATGTAGAAAGAAAGGAGTGACATTTTATTCTTTGATTTCAGTTACATGTGATGCAAACTTCCCATTGGTTATCTCAGTATTCCAAAAAGTGGAATACTCAGTTCTCATTTAATTAATGTGAATGTGGTATTTATATTTGTGTAAGTTGGGAGCATTGGAAAGTGGAGCAGGGTACTTTTTTAAAAAAATCAGCAAAACAATGACTATATTTTGAGCACAGTCACAGAATGTATTGTTCACTGGGGCTGAGCACCTGAATAGATTCCGCTCCTATGTTCTCAATGAGAAGCCAGAGTCCCATTCACAAACTACAACGGACATTGCTTGGCATATTAACTTGCTGGGTCCACTCCAGGGACTTGTCACCACGAAGAGGGGTTTTACACAGCTGAGCCTTATTAAACGCTTGCATAATTGTGGCTTTTGTATTCCACTTGGTGAAAGTAACTTGGACTAATAAGTGTCCAGGAAAATAATGAGAACTTGGTTCCAGGGTATGTTGAAATTCGAGACATGTGCTTGTTAGCCATTTACTGGAACACCAAGACAACCACTGTTCAAGTTAGCAACATGCGCTATTGAAAGCAAGGAGAAAACTCTACATTGCTTTGTTTCAAATGGGGGGGGGGGGGGAGAAAGGACTTCTATCAGGCTGATCCTATGAGCTGACGTGTGAGCAATTAAGCTCATTGGATCAGGCAGTGCTATCTCAGCACATATTTGAGGGCGCATTTGGCACTGTGATGTGACTACAGCATCTGCATGGTAATTGCCATTAGTTTGGTGCCATTATGCCCAGGCTTGTGAGATGGTAGCTAGTTCTCAAGATCACATAACACAGATCAGTTACTCCGAAGAGTGAGGAAAGGCCTCAGTGGCTGTTGTGGTTCCCCTCTGGGCTCAACCACCACCACCTCCAAGCTGAGGCTGCTGCTCCTCTCACCTTTTGGCTTGCTTGGAGAAGCCAACTAAACAGGTAGCAACAGCAAGGAGATGCTCCAGGGATTGGCAGTGGGTCCCCTACTGGGATATGAGGCTCAGTAGGTGCCCAGGAATGCTGAACCCTGTCACCATTCAAGGCCCTCTTATTCTCTAGCTTGGTTGTATTTAGAACCTGAACTCAAAACCCTTTTTCTGCCTGGTCCAATGATGTTTTAGGCACAGATAATGACAACTGAAATCTGTGTACCTAATTCTGCACAGAATTAGGCTGTTACTTGGAAGGAAGGTTCTCCAGTTTCCGTGGAGTAAGTATTATATTTAGAGCTGCAGCCAGCCATTACATCACCTTTCAGATCTCAGGCAAACTTCTGCTACCTTCACACCTCAGTGTGTTTGCATCACTGGGCTTGCAGCTGGTTTACTTTGGGCCAGAACTCTACAGAACATAGCCCCGGGCCTTGCTCTCATTTCCAGGACTCAACAGGGCAGCATGTGACATAATAAAAATACCTTAGAATATGTACTGAGTAGTTTTCCTTTCTCAAATGAGGAACTATACGGAGAATAATAATAATAATAATAATAATAATAATTTATTATTTATACCCCGCCCATCTGGCTGGGCTTCCCCGGCCACTCTGGGCGGCTTCCAAAAGAATATTAAAATACTATAATACATCAAACATTAAAAGCTTCCCGAAACAGGGCTGCCTTCAGATGTCTTCTAAAAGCCTGGTAGTTGCTGTTCTCTTTGACATCTGGTGGGAGGGTGTTCCACAGGGAAGGCGCCACTACCGAGAAGGCCCTCTGCCTGGTTCC